CAGTATAAAAAACTAAAACTGTTTATTGAGTTGTTTCTTGCTTTTCTATTGCAAAAATTTTTTATTAGGTTTTGTTGTGCACTTGTGTATTACGCAGTCACATACGGTTCTATTTATCTTGGAGGAAATATTTATCTGAATTTTGCTCTGGTCAGTCTTGCATCCATACCATCAACGTTTACATCGATTATTTGTATGAACAAGTACGTATGTTTCTCGTTATTATATAAAGATTTGAATGGCACCCTTTGCGCAAATACATTTTTAACTGTCGATACTCGTCCAGTTGAAATATTTTACCAACACCGTCTGGTTAGTGTTGCGGAGTTGGAGTAAGACCTCTAACTTTGTGGAAACTCAAAATGTATTCCATTAACTGGGAAAGTTATGAAAACGTTAACCAGTAAATGACGAGTTGTAAAGTTATAAATTGGTATGTGATAGGAAATATCACTTTAGTACCCTGTGAAGGATGTGAATAACCTACGGTTATTGGTTTTTAACGTCATATTTGTATGTGCCGCTCGTATAGTAAGTTAGATTAAGGGCTTTCACAGTATTTTATCGTGTTTTTCTGTTACATTGTAGATTTGGTCGCCGTAAGTCTCTTATTTATGGCATGATAATTTCCTCAATAGCCTCAATAATCGCGGTTGCTATTCCAACAGACAGGTCTAATACAGGTATAATGTTACAAATTTGAATTTTGTTGATTTTGAAAGTGTCAAAATGGAATTTGTGTAGGGTAGGGCCCAGTGGTGTATTGCCAAAATTTTTACAAGGTGGTCTCTCCGAAATAAACTAGTTAAGACGAAAAGAAAATTTTGCTGTTAAAATGAACTATCATGAACTACTGCGTTTGCGCCAGTGCTTATGCAAACCGAGGAGAACTTTTGGAGTACTGGAGAGTAGATCACTGCAAGCTCGAGACCGAACGTCGAGGGTTACACATGCTCGAGAGTTCTCACAATCGTCTCTGATGTTTGTTTAAGCCAGTGCAAACACGAAAAGCATCTTTTATTTCTTTTATAAAATAACAATAATGTAAGTCAGACAAATGTAATACAAACGAGTGGTTTGCAAATTCTCTTTGATCGATTGATTGATTGTTTTGATTGATTGATTGATTAATTGATTGATTGATTGATTGATTTGATTGATTTGATTAGTTGAGCTCAGATCGTTTTGCACTGGCTAATGTAAACAAACTTATAGTTTATTTTATAAAGTAATCTAATCATTTACTGGTACGTATAGGATTGACCAAGCGTATATAATCAAAAAATCATAAATTTATTGGAGGTGAATCATTTAAATAAATGCTTCACAATTTGAAATTATAAAGTGTTTAAGAACTATAAACGGGGGTTCCCCCTAACTTGATTTAGAAATGTAACAAGGGGAATTGGGTCCCCCAAGCAATTACAACCCTGGTAGGGCCTATCAGTTCAACCTACACAAACCATAGTGTTAGAGTTACATTTTCCATGAACTGTATTTTTACCAATTCTCTTAAACAATTCAAATTGAGAACTTATTTCATGTATATTTTTACTTAGTGGTTTTATGATTTTCTTTGCATTTCTTCACAGGTTATACGATCGGGCGTATAATTATGGCTATGATTTGTAAATATGCAATTCTTGTTTCATTCAACACTGTTTATATCTATAGCTCAGAGTTATTTCCTACCTCAGTACGGTGAGTAAAGAACTCGATATTATAGAGCATGTACATACTACGTATAATTGGTTATTTACTTTATGTTAAAAATAGAAATTCTCAAAACCATTTAAAAAAATTTGTCTAATGGTTTACATTGTTAGGACTAAATGATAGCAGCTTACAAAATTCATGATGTCAATAACTATACCAAACGTTCATATAAATGCACGAATTTCACATTTAATGCTCTTTATTTCTACAGCACGATTGGTATTGGAACATCCTCCGCATTTGCTAGAATTGGTTCATTTTTGTCACTTTATGTTGTTTGGTTGGTAAGTACAATAATGTATTGTACCAGTATTGTACTTACGCTTCGAGGGGTGTAGTGTCTATTTTTTCGTTCGCCGATGACAGAGTTATTGACGACAGTTTCATTTTGTTATGAAAAATATTCTAAGGATGAGGGTTTACTTCCCATGACCGTTCTGATTAGGTTTTATATGCGTACTTTTTCTTAACGATGTAATGGTAATGTGAGCTGTTTTCGTTCATGCTTTAGTCTGACCTGTCTTGTCTTTGGCGGGATACTAGAAATGAAGAATGAATACATAAATTAATCCTTTTATTTCTTTCTTTTATCCCTATACAGATCCGTATTCATGCATTATTGCCGTACAGTATTGTTGCGGTTCTGTGTGCAGTAACTGGAGCGATATGTTTTAAGCTTTTGCCTGAGACAGTGAATAAACCTACACCAGAAAGTATGAGGAATTTTGTTGAAATGAATTTGAAAAATGGAGACTTAGTGAATGGCAAAGACGAAGAAAATAATAGCAAAGTTTAATAGTCGACATCCTGAACAAGATTTTTTCGTTATACTAAAAGACTAGTGGACGAAACAATAATTGAAAGAACTCTTCTCTTTTTTCTCAAAGGCTCGAAGATGACACTATTGATCATCCAGTCGCTATCTTTTTCTTTATCGCGTGTTTGTTGATGTTGTACTGGTAGAAACATTGCTATTTGAGTTTTTTAATTAAATTTTTATATGGTCGAAGGAATTTAGCATTATACAGATTTCAAAAATGAACTACAACTTTAGCTTGTCCCTAATCAGTTGCGGTTGTTCAGAGGGACAGCAATGATCAAGCTTGACATATCTCTGAGAATTTATGTCTTCCGTGCGAGTGTATGCATGTATACGCTTTTAGATTTCAATATCTGCGTATAGAGCGTTCTGTTTATGATATTTTATGTTCGTAATCTAGGTGTACTATTGCTTTGTTTTCGTCCTGCAGACAAACATCGTTGCACTTCTAAAATTGCGTTTGTTTTTTGAAACACACAGTAAACTAAAGCAAATACAATGCGACTCTATTAATTTTTATAGATAATGCATGTGTATAGATATTTTGTCTTGATTATTTTAACATGAAACGCGTTGTTTCCAAAAAACACCGTTCATTTTCTTTGAAAGTTGATGAAACAGAGCTCAATTTGACTTAGTTATAAAAAGTACATATACCTAAATAACCTAATGATAAACAAAAACGAGTTGAAGTATTACTCGATTGAGAATGAAAGATCAAACATTACCACAGATTGATCGTTTTTGATAACCATGTATCTTTTCATTGACAGTGGTCATTATTTCATTTTGCCAAATTATACAATTATGATTTGTATCATTCTGTAACCAAAGGTAATATGACCAAGAAATGACCGATGGTCAAGAAATAAGGTTGTTTGGTGAAACAATCACAAATTGTGAAACGCAATTCTATCTAGATATAAAGAAAAGGCAAAAGTTTTCAAGTCAACAAGAGTACGTGAACTTTCGTACAACATAAAGAATGGCATTTTAAAGTTAAAACAGTTAGGACATTAGGATGTATATTGACGCCAATTGAAAAACGTTAATTTTAACGAGATTTTTATCGTGGATTTTCCTTGTCTTTCATACTCTTTCTGTATTTACTGCGACAGAGGTATTTGCCAGTGACGGTGGCTTATAAGAACCATTCTTCATGTACATATAGTTGGTGGTGTTATTGCCTTTTCTTCATTGAACTACAGAACTTCTAAAATTGTTTCTGAAATACATAAAGGCCAGTTACAGTCTTGGCAATTGGTATGTTACCTCCAATTTTCCAAATTGCAATCAAAGTTTAGCTTTTACAGTTAATTGAAACGATTTTTTATAAGTGTAGCAGCACCAGTATTAGACAAACTGCAGGTGTCAAATTTTATCGTCTTCTGTATTTTTCAATTTTATCGTCATCAAAAGAAAACAAGTGGTTATTTAGACTATACCTTGTGATAGGTTTGTTAATTTTTTTGCCTCTGAAAGAAGTGAAATTATGCTCAACTATTTTAACCATTGACTAAGATTTAAATTTAGTTGCGAATTGGCAAATTCCAATATCATACAAGTAAAAGCGCTAAATTTATACTTTTTTGATATCTTTTCAAGAATCCTTCTATTGCGTCAACTGTGAATATACTTGTTTAGATTATTCAATGCAATAAGTTACATATCTTGCTTTATTTAGCTCTACATGTTCTACTACATTCTACCATCACAACTAAGCATTTAAGGTAAAATAAATGCTGGGAAAATATGCTTTAAAAAATATATTTAATATTTAGTTTCGAAATGCAAGTCAATGGCCTGTTCCTGTGCAAAGTCACAGATTGGATGCACAGAACATTGTAAATGCGAGGGAGATTGTCGAAATATATGGAATGCCGGTGGCTATGCGGAAGATGATGGTGATAATTCTGGAGAAGAAGAATCAGCAAGTGAAGATGAAAATGAAACATGATAGACAATGTGATACGATAATGTTTTATTAACCTGTTTTCAAAAATTAATGAAACATATATTGTAAATGTCACTTAATCGGTGTATATTTGGGTTTTTTAGTGAAAAAATGTTATGAATTGGCCTATCCAAAAGTTTTAATATCATCTAAATATATTAATTTGCATTAAGATTCGCTAAATAAAACGTCTTACAGGAGCTTATGCTAAAAAAAATGATATAAGAAGTATTTTTGACTATCAAGTATTGAAATTTTGGTACCAAGGAATACACGGTTTTTCCGATTTTTCCCATTTTGCTAGTAGGTTATATTTTGCACTTGCCCAGGGTTTGGGAAGTGGCAATATGTCCTAAAATACTTTCATATGGTCCTTGAACACATTTCTGGAAAAAATTTGCACTTAGTATTTTTGTCGAGGTACCCTTGACTCAGCCCCTGACTATACAGCCTCTACTGCTGATTGGTCGCATGTTGCGTCATATATAAAAAGAATGATTGGTATCAAATTACCTGTGTTCTTGGGCCACAGAATATGGGCAGTGGGCTTGAGTCCTAGAATCGAGGGAGGGAGAATATCTCGTAAGTTGAATTCCATGTATTGTCGACCGTGGTTGGTGTGGTAAATAAGTACCTACTGGCATTAAAAATGTCATCTGTTGCATCTTCTCAAAGTGGCTCACGTTTCGCTGGGATAAAGAAGAAATCCATAAAGCCGGAACTTGATGCTGATGGCAAAGTTAAACAGGTTTTCGCCGTTTACAATTGAAAACTGTGTGCTTATAGTTTGACTCATTAGTATTATTTTGTTCAGTTTGTTTTGTGTTTGTATGTTTCGTGATTGTATTGTCAATTTGCTGAATTTGTAAAGAGATTTATAGTGTATGACAGAATAGGATTGAATAATTCAAAAAGTTGATACCATAAATTACAGCTAAATTATCATGTTTTGGAAAGTTTCGTACACAAAACAAGTAAAGCCAGCTTTTTTAATACAAATTTTGCTGGTGTGCAATTGTATTATGTGAAAAGACTTGCACAAGACATAAATCTCTTATGTGAACAACAGGTCCCAATATAAACCTTGGTACTTAGTCTGTGGAAGGTTTAGCTAGGTAAACTTAGTAGGATACAAAAGTAAAGGCAGGAGAAAATTTATGAATGAATTCAGCATCGCTTCTCCCTGTTAACAATTGTAGAGCTACTACTTGAGCAAAGAAAATTAATAAAACATCAGCATTGTCTTGAGCAGATCAATAATTGGGGTACTTATATATGCATGTTATGATCCATAAAAAAATCTATTTCAAATGAACTTTATAGTGCAAAGCCCTATGTGTATTTGATATTGTCTATTTAGTCTGAGCATTAGTTCTCCTGTTTACAATGATGTTTTTGTTTTGTTTCAGTCTTCACACAATGATGTAAGTAGCCAAGGGTGTAATCCTTGGGGGTAAATCCAGACCATTTACCCATTTTTTTAAAACAGATCTGCACCTTTGTGAACAGTTTTGAAATTGCATGCTGTATGCATACCTACATTAAATGTTTTCTCTTGTGGTCAAGTATATTCTAGGAGATCGTGATGCAACATTCTATTTCTAATCCATTGCTAGTTGTTGGTTGGGGTGTGCATGTATATTCATATATTCAGTTGTGCCTATAATGATTTCTTTTGAGATTTAATTGGATTGACATATGTTAACTATGTTACTTTATGTTACAATTGGATTGACATATGTTATAGGTTACCTATATTACTTTATGTTGCAATTGGATTGACATATGTTAACTATGTTACTTTATGTTGCAATCAAATTGACATATGTCATGGGTTACCTATGTTACTTTGTGTTACAATTGGATTGACATAATGTTACCTATGATACTTTATGTTACATATGATTTATGTTCTTATGTTGAGGTTAACCAATAGCTTTTTTGTGTGGTAATCAATATTTACATATTTTGTCAATTAAAGGTTGAAACTCGTGAAGATGAAGAACAGAATCTGAAACTTTCGGAAACTGTTGATTTGCTTTTGGCTGCTGGGTATTTTCGTGCAAGAATTAAGGGACTCTCCTCATTTGATAAGGTGTTTTTTATGATGGCTAATAAATCAATCCATAACTTTGCGTGAAATTAATTTTTATTGTAATATCATTGAAAATAATTCCCTGGGGTTCCTCTTTTGAGAACATGTTGTAATACATAGTTTTGTGGTAAGATGTGGGTGGCATAACTACATATAAATGTATTACAGTTCAAAATGTTATTTTTTCTACATATATTTCAGGTTGTGGGTGGAATGACGTGGTGTATTACGTCATGTGATTTTGATCTTGACGTTGATCTTCTCTTTCAAGAAAATTCAACTATTGGTCAACAAATGTATGAACTTTATTTTTTCACTGATGCAATGTTTTGAGCATTCATTGAATATTTTGAGCTGTTTACTTTGATAAATCTAGTAAAACGCCTCTTATGTTTTTTATGAGCATGACTCTTTATGTTTTAGTTAATCAGTCATGCATATGAACTGATATGAACCAATTATGCATTAAGCAGAAAATACTGTAATAAAATTCAATTTTTACGTCAAGAGAAACTGGTAAGGCAGTTGCCTAGCCATCCCTCAAGTTTGGTCATGATACTTAAATACTTCAGTGCACACTACCTGCCAAAACAACAAATTGACAAAAAGTTAGACAATGCCTAGGGTCTAAAGTTTACATGCACACCCAAAGTTGCCGGCTGACGATGTATGCCACTGTTAGAACCTAGGATTATCTGGTAATTGTCTTTTGTAACCAAATCATAGAGCATTGACAGAAAAGATTGTCGCTGTTTTACCAAAGATGAAATGTCCACATCGACTTGAACCACATCAAATACAAGGACTGGATTTCATTCATATTTTCCCTGTTGTTCAAGTGAGTAGTTTCTAATATTTTTCCCTCCTGTTTTGCAGTATTACTGTTTTCGCAATCATTGGCTTGATTCGGATTGTTCACCATTTATGCACCACAATATGGTTATTGAGGAATGCTTGGAAAACAATTATTTTCTCCTATGAAAAACGTACCTAGCTTCTGATGGCCTCATGTGTGCTTTTGACATTTGCCTTGTTTCATATTTTCTAATAATGATAAATTCTCTAACCAGTAATCACGCTACATTTCGTTACTTGAACTAATATTTACTATTATTGTTAACGCCATCTATTTTCCTCAGTGGCTTGTAAAGAAAGCCATCGAAACTCGTGAGGAGATGGGAGACTATATCAGGGAATTTTCAGTGTCGCAATTCAACAAGAATTACTCAACGCCAGAGGTAGGCAAAAATCTATCGAACATCTTATACGTATATGATCAACTACAATGTTATTTTTAACATAAATGTTTGAACTTTGCTTTCCCAAAGTTACGTATGTATTTTAGTATGGTTTTTGACTCGATATTCTTTAGGATACAGAATTTGAAAATCGCAAAAACAAATGCAAGTCGTCGTTATTAGATGTGAAAGTAAGATGTGGTATCTTTGGTTGATTCTTACATCATCTATATCTTTGCCATACTTACTGGATTGAGTTTTCCTTCAAATGTCGTGTATTTCATCAGGATATTTTATAATCATTGAGCATTCGCTTACAAAGCAAGCAAAGTTGATAGTTCCACATCTCGTAATTCATAGAATACATATCGACCGAAGAGGCTATATAAGAAACCGGAGTCACTAGAATTTGTTGATGAAGAAACTCGCATAAAAACTACCTTACTGGAATATGGATGGTAGCTACTGTTTGATGTTGTTTTACTAGCTTTATTAAGTACATTTTCCAACGTTTGGGACAATGTTAGGGTTGATTTGATAGTGGAAAGCTCCATGGGTAGTTTTTGACAAGATTTAATAAATCTACGCCAATATAACAACACATTCAACAAGACTTTTTATATGCAATTCGTTTGACACCATTTAATTTCAGTTAGGGGTATCTTTCGTAATGTTAAATATTTTCGTTCTTCATAATAAATTGTAGAGATTTTCTTGTTGTACATATGTACATATATATATTGTTATAACTTCCCGCATGTGACATCTTGAGAAAAGCTTGTTGATATTGTTTGTATTTTTTCTTGTATTCAGGCAGTATGGATACAGTAAAGAACAAAAAGAAAAGGTAGGTTGTTGTATTTTATACTGTAAAAATAATTACATTATTTTACGTATCTGAGGTTTGCAAGGATTTTAACATTACAGGAAAGATTGAAACATTGTTGGATTTTTGTACGTATGTTATTTTTTTCAAAAAACTTTCTTAGAAAGATGCCAAGAAACAGAATAAAAAGAGTTCTAGTGACGATGGCGATGGACAGGATAAAGTTGAATCAGTCGACATTGGTGAAGATGAACACGCAATAGAACAGGTATGTAAAGGAAAATCGTCCAATGATTGCAACTTCTTTATTGTTATGGATCACCGCTGATCCCATCATTTCTTCACGACATCAACCTGATCTAAAATAAAGTGATGTAATGAAACCAGTGTGGATATTCATAATATAACCAGTGTTTCGGGGGGGGGGGAGGGGAAGGTGGCGATTGCCCCTCTTCTTGCATAGACAACTATAAGTTGCTTTTTTCGGCGCGTCCTAAGTGACCCTTCCTCCCCCCTTTTTTTCATAATTCCTGCCGGCGCCTCTGCTGTATCAAAATGTAAAGTCAGTTCAGTTGCGATCGTCATAATAAATTATAGCTTCTCAATTTTAAAAATTTTAAAAATGTCAGAACAAAACTATTTGGCGCGAATTTCTAAAGAATAAATTTCTCCAATTGCCTTCAAAGGAATTTGGAAATGTAAATACATCCAAAAATGATCTGCAGTAATTTATTTTGATGAAACATAATATGATGAAAACATACCAAATTGAATGTCAGAATTTATTCTTATTGGCTGCACTTGTTGAATGGTAGTATTTTTGGTTAAATATGCTACTTCATGCACTTTCCGACATCAAAACATACCACGTGCTAATTTCGTGCGCGTTATTGATAATTCGTTGCCGTATTTATGGAACAACATTTTCTATAGTTATATTTAGTTTTAACAATGGTTTTACCTGAATGACAATTGGTTTTAATTCAGTAAACTTTTTATTGCAGTCCGGTTTAATGATTTAGCGTTCCCGTATATTTGTTTTGTAGCAGGCAGTGGAAAAAATAAAAAATGCTTTCTGTGGTCTCGATGGGAACATTTTTTGTCTTCTCGTGTATGACACAAAAGAAATTTTTAAGTCATCAGTGCAGAAAATAATTCTCGATTTGAGTCTTGATTTAAAGGTTTCGTGAAAATGCATCGGCATTTTTCAATTAATTCTGCATGCTTTCAAAAAATTTTATCACCTCTTAGTATAAGTTAGTAAATCTGTACAATGATATATATGCTGCTTTTTTAGAAACACATCAAATCTTTGATGAGCGGAATGGCGACGATGCAAGGAAAGGAAGTGAGTAAACTGGAAATTATCTGAAAGTCTTAATAACAAAAAATAAAACTACTCAGGGAGGGAGTTGTGCAGTTACATTCGATATATACCAATAGTGCTTGCTGTGTGTACTGATATTGATTGTAACGGCTTTGACGAAAACGTTGTGAAAACTGAAATTTGAAAGGGATATTGGTATTGATTTGGGATGGATATTGGCGTGGATTTCATAGGGATTGGTATGGATTTGGAAGGATATTATAATACTGTGAGTTTTTTTGGAGGTGATAAGATATATGCATAAATTAAGAAGCTAGAGGTTGCTATTAAAATTGGATTTATGCAGAAGGCAGCTTTGTTTTAGGGACGCGGCAAGAATGTTTTCCAAAAGAAGCTTTTGGAAAACTAATGAAACAACCAAGAACACCTTTGGTCATTGGCTATCGCTCGCTTTTTTGATATATTTTCGGCATAATGTTTTATGTATTAGTCCTCAACTGAATCGTAATTTTATATCGATCATACGTAGTTTGTAGTTGAAATGTGCAACATATCAGTGGACTTATTAACAAAGTTCTATGTCTTCAATTTGTAATTTTTTATTTTATGTTGTTTAGGGATCACTTTCCTCAAGCATGGTTGGCTCAATTGTCGGTCTCCAATCTGAAGAAATTTCGCAAATTGTCTCTGAGTATGCTGAAAAGGTAGCAGCGTCACTATTTCATTTAACATGTGTATTTAAGAGTTACGCGAGGCAGCACTGTACTGCAAAGAAGAAGAAATAAACAGTAGTATTGAGGAATAGTTGTAAAAACCTTAAAAATACTTCTGAAAATTTTTGAGCCATTAAGTTTTGCAACAGCGTGCCATATTACTCAACAAAACTTTCGATCTTTTCTGTAGCAAGTGGTATTACAAGAAGACAGCGAAAAAAATGAGAAAACCAGTGGTGCGCAAGCGCATAAGAGAATGCTTGCTTGTTGAAAAACAAATAGCAAATCAAGAAAAGAAGCTTGCTCAAGTAGCTATATGACTTAGTGGTTTTGTTTTCTGTTTTTGTACTTGTTTAATTAAATGTTTTATAAATTTAGGTGGAAGTAAGGCACGCAGAACTTCAGCAAGCTTTCAATGAAGCCAACGAAGCATTAGCCGAGGTAAAATATATATGTGTACAAAGTGTTTTCATTGTTATGATTTTAATGATTTGATGACAATGATGTTATTAAATGATATGTCTTCAGTAATTGATGCTAAATCCATTTAGAAAGAAGAGTATGGAGAAAAAATCAAAGCTGAACTACAAGCGTTGACCGAGCTTGAAAAAGACGAGAGCGAAGGGTACTGTAATGTAGAGTCATCTGTAAACGATTCTTTCAAGACATGCTTTGCCCACAATGTTTGAATAATCTGGGTCTTTGTAGCATCTACATGTATATTTTATCAGATGTTCATGAGCCGAACATTGTAGTCTGATATATATGAGTTCATTTGTTCAATATTTTGAGCATTTCCTTTTCAGCGTTTATCAAAAACTACGTTATCTTGTGGCCATGAACGAAAGTCTTAAGAAACAAGAACAACAATTTAAAACTCAATGCAAGGTCCCATAATCGGTTTCATATTTGTCAATGTTATTTACACGTTTATTTTAAGTATATTTTTCACGTGCAGGGGGAACTTGAAAAACTCAAAAATAATATAAAGAGTCTAAAAGAGGGTGGGACGGAAGAGACGGAAGATGAGGTGAGATATATTTTTATATTTGTAAATGTGGTATTTAACAAGGCTAAGAATTCAAGCAATTTCATTGTTTGAGAGCCATGATTTATAAGAGGACAGACGCACGAAATGACTTCACAAAAATTTCTTGTTTTTAAATTACAAGCAAATGGGGCGAATTATTTTAATATTTTCTTGAATTTATCCCTGGCTGGGCAATTGAAGACCTTGAAAAATACCTTGTTGAGGCGATTGATGTATATGCGTAAAAAGAAAAGAAGGAAAACTCGGTTTGCTAACGTTGAAGCAAACAAAAGCAAACTATTTTCCTGTTTGATTCGAGAATTGTTTCGATTTTATTATACGGTAGCTCATGGCAATTTTTTTGTTTTTATTACTAATGATTTCATACCGAGTATCTATAAATATACAGGCAATGGTTAAATGTAATTATACGAAACGTGACTTTTATAGCAAAGGAATTATTTTTTCGAAATCTCTGTAAATTATACTTCCATGCTCATGTTAAGACGACAGTAATTTTTTTTTGTGAATGATTGTAGGAGAGAGCAAGGGTAATTGACGAGCAGTTTGAAGCAGATAAACAAAAACTTCAGAGAATCAGACTTGCATTGGTAATATACGTTTATACTAAAGTTTAATGAAGCTTAATGTATGAAGGATTTCGCCAGTAGATCTGTCTGAATCATTCATATTGCATAACTACAAGTACTGTTGTCTGCTGACATCAGCACTTTTTCAATCGATGAGATTATATGTTTCATAAGTGAATAGTTTAAAACAGGGAGTTTTGTTATTTGTGCATTGACTCTTGACTAGGTTATAGAAACTTTAGTCAACATTTAGACCTTCTCAAGACTTCAATACCTCAAACACTGAAATCTACATCTACGTAATCATAAGATTCTATTTAAGAAATCGTTTTCTTCATATAGGCGAAGAAGAATCGTGAGATAGCTGTCTTGCAGAGAAAAATTGATGAAGTTCCATCACGAGCTGAACTTTCCCAGTATCAAAGACGTTTTGTAGAACTGTATAATCAAGGTGAGAAGTATTAAAACATTTATTGCATCTCCCATGTCAACTTGGACATTTGCTTTGTCGTGTTTAGAACGACGTATGCAAAGTTTTTTTTACAGGTTTTGTATAGATAAAAGCATGGTGGGAAAAACATGCATGAGTGAGTTTTTCAAAGACTATCAAAATTGCACGAGTCAGAAGGACGAGTGCAATTTGAAGTCTTTGAAAAACTCACGAGTGCTTGTTTTCCAAATTGCACGAGAAACCATGCTATTACTTATTAATAATATACATGAAAAAATTTCTCAATTATTACGACTAGTTATGGATTTCACGAAAAAGTTTCATTTTTAATAGAAAAGAAAACAGTATATAGGAAAGCTATTTGTGTGTTACTGTTGATTTAATACACGTAAAAAGAGAAAAAGAAAATGTCACATGATGGTAAACATTGATAAACATTGATTTTTTTTCATTTAGTGGCAGCGACCCACAAAGAAACCAAGCAATTCTACACGTTTTACAATACACTTGATGATACCAAACTATATCTTGAAAAAGAGGTATTTTAAATGTTCTTTACTGCGTGCTAATGCATTATTTTTGATAAGGCATCAAGTAGGGAAGCTATACATTCTGTAATGGAAAAACTCGAGAGTGGATCAGTGCAACTCTAGACCGAAAGTAGTTCGAGGGTTTGCACCTGCTCGAGAGTTCATTTCAATTTTCTTTTAACAGATATTCATGATTGATTAGCCAATTCTCTTTGATTAATTTAATTGATCTAGCTCAGATCGGTTGCACAGGCTAGAGCAACTCAGCTTAATTAATCAGCGCATGCGTTTAGTTGCTTTTATTTTACGTATAAATGGTGTTAATATGTAGCCAAAGCATCGTTTTTTTCTTCGAGTCATCAACATGGAACACTTATTTCAATGAAAATACATAGTTCATCATGAGAATTGTGTGTTTTCATAAAGTTGGCACAAAATAATAATAATAAAAGGGCAATTGTATACGATGCGTGTAGGGATGGAATTTATGGTACTCATCTTGATTCTTAAACATCACGCACGCTTTAATTTTTGACATAAATCACAAAATCTATCAAAATTATTTTTATTTTACATTAGGTCACGCTATTAAACTCTATTCATGATAATTTTGCAAAGTAAGTAGCCCAATTTCTTTTCAGTCAGCATTCACAATAATTTTCCTTAGTACGTAAGTCAGTAGGCCAGTTTGTTTCTTTTCACGATAATTTGGCTAAATAAGCAGACCAGTTTGTAGTAACCATTTCTAGTAACTAGACTGGTTAGATCTATTCATGATAGCTTAGCTATAAATAAACCAAGGACACTTGGTGTTTTGTTTTATTGTTGAAATGAGCATCGTGGTTATTTATTAACCTCAGAGCTATGTCGTCTGGTCAATCTATTCATGATAGCTTAGCTATAAATAAACCAAGGAAACTTGGTGTTTTGTTTTACTGTTGAAATGAGCATCGTGGTTATTTATTAACCTCAGAGCTATGTCGTCTGGTCGATCTATTCATGATAGCTTAGCTATAAATAAACCAAGGAAACTTGGTGTTTTGTTTTACTGTTGAAATGAGCATCGTGGTTATTTATTAACCTCAGAGCTATGTCGTCTGGTCGATCTATTCATGATAGCTTAGCTATAAATAAACCAAGGAAACTTGGTGTTTTGTTTTACTGTTGAAATGAGCATCGTGGTTATTTATTAACCTCAGAGCTATGTCGTCTGGTCGATCTATTTATGATAGCTTAGCTATAAATAAACCAAGGAAACTTGGTGTTTTGTTTTACTGTTGAAATGAGCATCGTCGTTATTTATTAACCTCAGAGCTATGTCGTCTGTTTCCACCAAAACTCAATTCCTGGAACAATTCGAACAAATTGTCAAGGGTGTATTGAATAACAAAAGCAAGGTAGCGTTGGATACCATTCAATGACTTTAGATTGTATTTATTTGCTCATTTAAATTACTTGTATTTGACAACGCTGTAATTAGGTTGAAGAGAGAAAAACCAACGAAAAAAAGAAAAGAGACGAGTTAAACAAGAGTTATTTGAAACTTGTTGAGAAACAAAGAGTATATTTCAAAACCGTTAAAGATTTTCAGGAGGTATATAAAATTCTTAGTAGTAATCTTTAATTTTGGCCAGGACCTTCGAGCCAGGACCTTACTTAGGTGAAAGTCTCAAGTTATTGCACGTGTTTTACATTCATGTTTTTACATACAATTTTAAAGGATGAAAGTCTGAAGTTATTGCACGTGTTTTACATTCATGTTTTTACATACAATTTTAAAGGATGAAAGTCTGAAGTTATTGCACGTGTTTACATTCATGTTTTACATACAAGTTTAAAGGATGAAAGTCTCAAGTTATTGCACGTGTTTTACATTCATGTTTTTATATACAAGTTTAAAGGATGAAAGTCGCAAGTTATTGCACGTGTTTTACATTCATGTTTTTACATACAAGTTTAAAGGATGAAAGTCTCAAGTTATTGCACGTGTTTTACATTCATGTTTTACATACAATTTTAAAGGATGAAAGTCTCAAGTTATTGCACGTGTTTTACATTCATGTTTTACATACAATTTTAAAGGATGAAAGTCTCAAGTTATTGCACGTGTTTTACATTCATGTTTTGACATACAAGTTTAAAGGATGAAAGTCTCAAGTTATTGCACGTGTTTTACATTCATGTTTTTACATACAATTTTAAAGGATGAAAGTCTGAAGTTATTGCACGTGTTTTACATTCATGTTTTTACATACAAGTTTAAAGGATGAAAGTCTCAAGTTATTGCACGTGTTTTACATTCATGTTTTTATATACAAGTTTAAAGGATGAAAGTCGCAAGTTATTGCACGTGTTTTACATTCATGTTTTTACATACAAGTTTAAAGGATGAAAGTCTCAAGTTATTGCACGTGTTTTACATTCATGTTTTTACATACAATTTTAAAGGATGAAAGTCTCAAGTTATTGCACGTGTTTTACATTCATGTTTTTACATACAATTTTAAAGGATGAAAGTCTCAAGTTATTGCACGTGTTTTACATTCATGTTTTGACATACAAGTTTAAAGGATGAAAGTCTCAAGTTATTGCACGTGTTTTACATTCATGTTTTTACATACAATTTTAAAGGAATGTCGCAAGAATGAATTGCTTCAATCAAGATTAAAGAGTTACCAAAGATAAAGGTTCCAACTACACGTAACTATTGTGCTGACGTCTTCATTCATTGAAATTTATAGTACAAGTACTATTGATCAAGCATTGGAAATAATTGATAAATTAACGTCACTTTACATTAGACTGTCATTGATTTATTTTCACTTTTTTGACAAACAATTTTAACTTGGAGTGTCAATTAACCTAAACAACATAAAAAAATTCTATTTCAAAAGAATAGGTTTGATAAAGGAATATATTGTACATCTATGTTCAGGTAACCTTTTCTCTCTCTTTGTACTTGAGAAATATATGTTTTGCTGTTATTGCATCATATACGGCTATTCCTAAACAAACCCGAAATTTACATTCACAACACAAGCGATATAATCCAAGTATTGAGTTGCACAACATACCAAGTGATTTAAAAAGTACAAATTTATTTTGAGGTAAAGAAACAGTTCCCGAAATTACCTCACCGATTTCTGCGTCCATTTTCACCTACAATGATAAATATATTTAGTATAAAAACTCTTGACTTATGTTAAACTGTTTTTGCTATGGTTGGTCCATTATAAAAGTGTTATTTATGTTCATTTTTTTGGGGCGGGGGTAGTGACTTACGGCCTCTAAGCCTTTTTTACAATCCTCTCATCCGAATGTCATAAAAAAACCTTACAGATGATTGATAAGACTGAGATATTAAAACATTTGTAAAACAGTTAAGTTGGTAGCATATATACCTTGGAGAGAATAATGTCACCAGACTCAGTTCCAGCGCCAGCATAACTATCAACTATCACTGTAGACTGTAACATCACCGCATCATCAAGTTCACGGGCTGTTTCAACCGGAGCTCCAATGGCTTGATAACAAAAGAGAAAAGATTCTTAAAAGTATAACCAAGGAAAAGATAAAATAATGTGGTAGAAAATCCCTGCCTCACTAAGCCAAACTTATACTGCATATTTGATTCAACGAATTGCCAGTCAATAATACTCAGTTATAACTGAAAACTAAGACTTTACAGCAAACAAAGGCGCCAGGTTTTAACCAATCACCACACAAAACGGCTGTTTGTGAACCGGTTGCCGTAACGACTACATCTGCATTTTTGACAGCCTGTTCAGCGTTGTAAAAAGGAATCGCACCAGTCTCCTGAGCAAAATTTTCGGTATTTTTAGTTGTCCGATTCCATACTCTGACCTGTAAGAATTGAATACTGAATATTTTCACGTTGCGAGTTCTTAAATTAGAAAAAAGTTGGATTTTGACCGTAGCTTATATACCTCCTGAAAATTGCAGACATGTCGAAATGCGTTAAGATGACTCCGCGCCTGAGCACCAGCTCCAATAATGCAGAGAATCTTGCACTTTTCAAGACAAGTAAGATGCTAGAAAATGATAGGTCACGCAGCAAATCAATATATTCAACAAGAAACTTTGCATCAATTCACCAAAAATATTGCAATAATTTTCAAAAAAAAATCACGATTTCATCAAAAGAGTGCTATGTAGTATTTTACCTTTAGAGCAACAGCTGACGCAGCAGCCGTACGCATATGCGTGGCAACTTTTCCATCTATTAACTAAAATATTGTAATCATTAATGCTTCGTTTCGATGATTTACTTGAAATTTGTTCATTATCTTTTTCTTTAGTCAATACTATGACACAAGTAACGAAGTTACAAGTAATCTTTACTTATCACGGAAGCTTCAGGGTTAATAGCTACATCTTGCACTGCAACTATAGTAATATCTTTGTTAACAAAACAATAAAAACAATAACCTGTTACTTTAGTATTCTTTGCTATGGCGTTGCTTTTCCGTAACTTAACTGATCGCCTAAACGTGTTCTAGAACATTCCCCGACCAATATTCTCAGTTATATGTATATTTATTGCATTAAAGCCTTTACCTGCCTGCTGCATGCTGAGGCTATTTAGTACTGCGTGGTCAATTTTTAGAACACATCAGTGCACCAGCAAGTCTGGTCGTGCTATGTTAATATGTTTGTTTTTACCTACAGTAAAAAAATAGATATTTAACGAAAGAGATTATGATGAAGATCTGAAATGTACACAGCACGACCAAACTTGAATGCTGGCTACGCTATTGCATCGATGCTTCATTAAAGGATCATATTTTTTAAAATTTCTCAGCTTGTTAAGTTGAACAAGAAATTTGATTAATTCATTTTATTTGTAATGTTTTAAGTTAATCTTGTTGGTAACTGCTTGTTTAGTGGTTCATAAACGTTATTTACAATTATATCTCATATAAAAACTTAGCTACGTAGGCAAAGTAATATGTTTTTTAATTTTTTTATTATACCAGCATCAAAAGATATGTTATCAAGTATGAGAGAAGAAACAACAAGGTTTTCCATGGGCTAGGAAATGAATAGTTTCTTACCGTTTCAATTGATCCAGTTGTTGAATTAAATAAAACAATAATACTGTCAATACTTGGATTTTGTTGAGGAAATAAGGTGACCAACTTAACAGACAATGCTTCGTCATTCTTTGAGGAACATGGCATTGTAAAAAGATATCTGATAAGGAAAAACCAAATTCTTCAACAAACGACTCGAGTAATTTCATTGCTTCATTAAAAGGTTATTAACGAAATGTTAAAATTAGATTATTTGAGCAATTGTCATTGTTTCGACATTTCTAGATGCAAATAAGTTGATATCATGTTTTCATATGCACAGGTTCCTTTTTTGGCATCTTTCTTAAATGGCGCAGATGTCAAAGAAATAACAAAATAAGGACTAAAACATGCAGTTAGCATACAGAATTAAAAAAAGTTAAGTGGGTATTTTTTGCTGTGGGGGTAGCCAAAGAGCAAGAATCGGTGCTATGCAGTGGCTATTTTGCAAAATGTATTTTTCAGAGCACCATTTTCTGTTTTTTCGAGAAAATTTTTTCATGAATTTAATGAGGAAGAAAACATTTGTCTTATCATTAATGTAAAATAAACGACGACACAAGACCAAATATGACGACTATTTTGATGGAAAATGTAATTTTTAATCAAAAATCTGACCTAATCTCTACACTTATTGAATAGTATAATGCTGATTTCCTTTTCCCACATTTACTATTGTCAAGGCTTCCATAAGAAAATGCTCGTTCAACGCAGAAAAAGTAAACAATACTCAAGCGCTCTTGAATCATTACTGTTCATCTTCACCCATTTTTTCTTCGTCATCACAATTGCTGTCCGTAGGTACTCGGCCATCATGGTACGATTTACCCATTATGGTACGTCTTTACCCATTGTAGTACGCCTCTACCCATTATGGTACGTCTTTACCCATTGTAGTACGCCTCTACCCATTATGGTACGTCTTTACCCATTGTAGTACGCCTCTACCCATTATGGTACGTCTTTACTCATTGTAGTACGCCTCTAACCATTATGGTACGCCTTTACCCACTGTAGTACGTCTTCGCCCATTGTGGTACGTCTTTTCTCATTGTAGCACGTCTTTTCTCATTGTAGCACGTCTTCCTCATTGAGGTAGGTCATAGAGGTACGTCATCGTTGTACGTTTTGGAGGTACGTCATGGAGGTAAGTCATGGCGGTACGTCATCGTGTTACATCATCGTGGTATGTCATCATTGTGCTAGGTTTTCCTTATTGTGGTATGTCTTTCTCTGGTAGTACTTTATTTTTATGGAATTTTCACTACTCTTGTTTCTGTTTTGATGATGTTTAATGCTTTCAAAGTGAGATAATACCTTTTTTGTCTATGACTGCTAATGACTCAGAAAATGTTCATGATGATGTTGTCAGTAGTGGTGTATGATTAGTTAGGATCAGATGCAATGGAGCTCCATTCCTGCGATTTAATGATTGACCTTTGAGTACACAGTTTTTAAGCCATATTTAATTAAACTATTTGAATACTGTCTTGCTGTAAGATAATCATACTGAATAGTGATTTTAGTTAAACAATAAAGTCCAATTCTCAAGTTGACATTTCCAGAATAATTATGACACTTCATAAAGTGAAGACTTCTACTTCCTTTGACAAACCAAGGATTCAAGATTGATCAATAGTAAAGCAAAATAAATATTTATACGTCGCATTTTACATGAGTCGAATGCATTCAAAACAAAAGATAATGAGGAATTTTAATTCATTTTCTTTTGTCTCTAATGCATTCGACGCATGTAAAATGCGACGTATAAAACAGGCCTAAGTCATTTACCTACCCATTTCCGTTGTCAACGGTTGATCGTACTGGCATAACAATTCCATTATCGTCTTTCTTGGAAAAATTTACCAAACATTTTTCAATGATAGGTATCAAGTCATCATAGCTCAATAATTTTTCTACGTCTTCACCAGATATATACAAAACCATAGTAATATAGTAAATTTATTAAAATCGAAGGAAGGACAACCATGGGACCGACACTTGGCTATCGCTGATGTTGGTGTGCTTCCATTTAAACATCGAAAATTTCATTACTGAATTCTAAAAATTTCTCAACTATGGCTGTTGATTTTCTCTGTCAAAAGTTTGGAAAAGCTTTCTAGGGTGCGATGGAAAATTACAAGAAACTTCACAGAAAACCTGTTGACGAGCTTCCAAAAGGACCACATGATATTTTTATAAGTAGTGGAAGCAAATTAAAAACTGTGATCAGCAGATCTGTTGAACTTTTAGAGGTAGATAGGTGCTTGCTTATCAGTTAATTCAATTATGAGTTATCGCAATTCCCAAACGCAGTCATGATGCCTGCCATAAATAGTATTACTGCTTGCTTACACTGCACTCATTTTCTTGAAACGTAGCTCGTCAGCAAGTTTAGGTCCAACTGCATAATGTGAAGAACATCATTAATTTCTTTAGAAAATTGTTGTGAGTGAACTAAGAAAAAATTGCATTACTAAATACCTAGCCATTCCCCTGTTTCTACATTTTAAAGAAAGATTATTTTTTGACAAGATAAAATATATAAGCTATTTAGACGAAGAAGTTCATCTTTTTTATGTATATACTATGTATATAATAGTTGAACATTGCCTATTTTTGTGCAGGAAGTTGATGGGAAAGTTGTGCTCATTGGATGTGGTCCTACTGTCAATAAAACAATAACATGTGCTGAAATAATCAAGAGGCAGTATCAGGTAAATTGCTGTAAAATTTAATGATAATGCTGATAATTTGCATTAATGTTGTACATATTTCATTTTTTGTTTTCAGACTCTTCATCAGAACAACAAACTCTTCTACAAAAGGTATTGAAAACTTACAAAAAATTTCTTGTCATTATTCTACATTTACAAAATGATGGTAAATATAAATGCAAGCCAAGTTACTTGGCTTCCAAATTTTTTTTATGTTAAAGGAATGTTATGAATATAATTTTGTATAGGATGGAGGACGTATGGGAGCCAAATGAATCAATAGGCTTGGATAAGTATGAAATAAAATAGATTTTGTTTTAAATTTTCACATTACTTAACCAGAATTTAAATTTGTAACCCTCAACTGCTTGGCCTCAGTTTCACTAAATTTCATACAATATTCCATAATATTTTCATGCATTAATATCAATGAGTTATAGTACTGCATATTGTCTTCCCTCTTTTCATATATTAATAATCCTTGAAAAATTGACAATAGATGATTTGAATGGACCTTTTAATGTGTGCGTGATCGAGCAAAACATTTTTTCAAATGTTATGTACTATAAACAAATATGCTCAACTGTTTTGTATTAAATGTTAATTTTGTACATGCTTTTAAGACAACATTCATGTTTGTAACACATGTACTATAGCAAAAGTGCTATCACACAAACATTATTTGTTCAATGACTCTACATTCTTGGAATTTCGACAAGTCTACCTTATAAGTAGAGAACCATACCATACATGTCCCAGGCCCGTTATTGGTATAGCAGTGTTATTCATTTGCCTTTAAACTTACAATCTTGGTCACAATCCTGGGATTGTATGGTATGGCTTGATCAACTTAGGATTAGACTTGTCACCTTTGTCAGGATGTGTAATACAAGAATGTAAATGTTTTGCATGACTGCATACCCTTGCACTATTGAAGTAAATGCATTACAACATGATTGTTGTAATGAAATTTCATCTTTTGTATTAGATTGACTGTAACAAGGAATGTTCCATCAATGAAAATAACATTGTCAAAGGCTCCACTTGAATCAAGTGATCCTGGGTAATGTGAAAATAAAATTTTGAGTAAAAGTATGAACCCAAAATGCAGTGCGCGTGGACCCGAAATGCAATGCGCTCCTCATATAAACCGCGTGTAATTCGCGGTAACTCTTGCTATTACAGAATTACTGCGTCTCCCTGCCACACAGACAATGTCAACTGTTACTGATACTTGACTTTCGGTATATGAATGCATATTAATCATTTTTGACGACTTAACTGGTTGGGACGTTTATATCCGAATTTGGTTTTCGCCATGGCTAGCGGCCAGTTAGTCTTGCGGAATTTTGTTCTGTGTCATATTCCCCTCGTTTTTTTAAGTCAATTGCTTCGAGTTTGTACTTAAGCTCTAAGCTTGTATCATCTTCCGTTATATTGCGACATATGTGTTGAACATATGGCTTTTTTCAAAAAATTTGTCTCTTAAAATGAAAGTTTTCTCTTCATACCAGTGAGTAAAAAACCTCAAAATTTCATGTGCTCTTTGTTATACGTATCTGCATCTGATTTCTGTGCATATAACACAATGCAAAATGCTGGAAGATACATGCATTCCCTAGCAAAAAAATTACATATTCGTGGTGATGGTAACTATTTGTTTTGCGCATTGTCTTATGCTGTAACTCGTCGGCAAACATCATTCATCAGTCTGCAAAAAAATTGTAAATCACATGAGAGAGATCGAGCACTTGTTGTCTCCACACATTATTACATCTTTCTTTAAATGATTAGTTAAACAACAGTCACTTGGGAAATGAAGATGTTTGCATGTGGTACAATATTGATGTGCTACTGATATTGAAAATGTTGGATCAACAAAAGTGCAACTCGCATTTTTTTGCAAAATTTTAAACCAGTGGTTCCTATATGTCATGCAAGTGTCTCTCACGCACTTCACCCTCGCACGTGCAGCACTTATTGCCTTTAGGTATTCTAAACTTTTTAACCATGTCATTGGTGATGAATGACCAAAGAATGAAATATCCCACTCGGTAACACCGAAAGCACGTTTTTTCTCCTACAATGCAAATATTTTTGTGTTCAATCACTGAAGAAATGAATAATAATTTTGCTGAGAGACTTGCATTGTACGAGTAAAAGATCGGGCTGGCTTCGCCAATGATTTACAATCGAAATGCTAATTAGTGTCTATGTTAAAACATATTCTAAAAGAGGTCTTTGTATTTTATTTTGCTTAACACTGTACTGGCACTATAATATAACAATGTCTGTCCAGGTAATGAATAATCTTCCTTACTCACATTTTCAGCTATCAAGCTCCTTTAAACAGACCAAAGCAGTTTCCCTGCCCTCAAGAGAAGAAAACTTGCCATAGTCATTCAAAAAATAAACAAAGTTACGATGAGCTAAGCAAGAAGCCTAACACAAAAACTCCTAGTAGTAGCTTTCAAAGAAAGGAGAAATTTCCGAAATCTAAACGTTTTAAATCAATGTAAAATTGTTGTAAATCTTTGATATATCTCAAATCTTAATACATATATTACGAAAATGCATATTTTTCATTTATGAATTTAATGTTTAGAAATTATATTTGAGATATGTAGTGCGTAAAACTCGACTTCTTGCCAGTTACAATTATAGTTTGAATTTATACTGTGACCGGCTTTTTTATCACATAGTAGCACGACGTCGCTGGACTCAAGGCTAGAATTTTCTTTTTCATTTGTTTCGAGTCTAGAACAGACTAATTTAATTACTAATTTTTTTGACCAATTTGCCACTGTCTACTGGATACATCGCCGGATACAACAGCGTTAAAAAACAGCTTATACGTCGTGATATATCTACTGACACTGTAAAAGCACTGTGTGATTGTGTAAGATCAATTAATTTCATAAACATGGCGGCTGGGCTTTCCTTAATTAATGAAGATTTATTCGCATACACATTACTCAATTTACTCTTAACAGTTTCGAACATTATTCTCTGATTTATTTCAATACTTGTTTTATATTCATAAATTATCCTCTTGAAGACCACAGTACCATACATTATAATATAATTTTGGAGAAATCACGTTTGAATTTTGTTATATAAAGCTATAGTGTTGATTCAAATCAATCGTTTATTTACTAGTTACTATAAAGTTCTGATGATAAAATTGGTAGAAAATTTTCACTCAGTTGTCCATTTTTAAACATGTTTTAGTAGTTTTTGTCGTTTGCCCTTGTAGTACTTTGTGAAAATAGCAGTTATTACGAGTGCCTTTTTTCTTTCTCCCAAAGATCATGTCTTTGATGGCCATGTTAAAGGTTTTATCAAAAAACGCATAGATGATTGGGTTGAAAAAACTGTTGCTATATGGAAGGACAACAAAACAGACACTCTGTAAAACTACATTATTCTGTAAGCCCAGTGAAGGCTTATATTGGGATATAAGAAAAATCACGAAGAATGGACCCCAGCATATAATGAACGTGAGCACAATGAGTGCCAGCGTTATCAAACTTCGTCTATTTGAATACTGTCGCTTGTGATTGTTTTTCCTTGAACATATATCATGGTTTGGCAGATTTGTCAGAAGTTTCTTGCTATGATTCTGTACAATACGAAATATTAATGTACATAATATGACGAGTATTACGACAGGTAGAAAGAAACTAAGTATCGCTGCAAGAGTGTAGAATATCTCATTGTCATTCAAACATTTTTTTGAATAGTTTGTATGCACACCTTTATTTTCATGGTACGGTATAAGACCAAGTACACCAAGTACTGCTGAATACATCCATAGAAAAACGATGATGCGACATGCGCGATGCGTTGTCATGTTTATCTTGTATCTGAACGGTCTAGACACTTTGTAGTAACGATCTATACAGATGATGGTCACTGTGGAAATAGAGGTAGCCTCCGTGAAAATATCCACCCAAATCCAGAAGTAACAAAATACTAACGTCATTGGCTTCTTTATGTTTAGGAAGACAACAACGAGTCGCATCGTCAGACTGAGCATGGCTACCAGCAGATCAGATACGGCCAGACTTGCAACAAAATATTTACCTGGTTTGTGCAAACGTCTATCTTTGTATGTTGCTGCTAGCACAACAACGTTACTAAAGAATGCTGCTGCGATGATAAAACAAGACATAATAATCAAAGCATTTAGAAGCTTGCGATCCATTTCTGGAACCACAGCTGAACCATTTGTTTCATTACTACGGTTAGTTGAAACGAAGTACATTGTCCAGTTAAGTGTTTGTGTTGAAGCAGATCTATGCGTGCTATTCCTATATTAAAATTGTGATGAAGATAGTGCTCCAGCTTGAACGACTTACGTGTCATTAATAAGACATTCAATATAGCTACTTATGTATGTTTTTTCAGTTCCTGTTGTCCTACATTCACTTGTGATTTTTTAATCTGTTAATGGTATCCAACTGTGGTTATTGTTCAACGTAGAATGCTCAATTCAAAGTGTTTTTTTCACAAAACGTGCATGTTTTAGCATAATGTATATACCCTTTCTCATTATCACGGTTTAAATTTTTGTGATCTTTGCTGTCTTCGCTGTTATGGTTGTGCATTGTTTATGTGCAGTGTAGATTACCATTTCCCTCATTGCTCCTGCTTAAGTACTCAAAACATTTTTTTGTAATTTGTTGATAAAACAACACTTCTAGCAATCAGTCACGCTGGCAACATCAATTAGTGTTATTTCTTATTTATTTCGCTTTAGAAATTTGATGTTTCATGTAAAAAAATTGATTTGAATTTTCCAATGTCATATCTTTATTTAAAACGTAATAAATTAATGCCGAAAATATCTTGTTCTTGTTTTACATGATGTAACATTTACATGTCAATGTGTGTTCATAAATCGCTCTTTTCATTATAGTACAGCATTTCATCAAGTGGACACGTGGTACAAAAGAAAATTAAGTCTGTTTGATAATGAAAGATAGTTCGGAGTTTATCACATGGCGTCTTTATCATTAATAATAGTTTTTGAAGCAGTATATATATATATTGTGATCTCTTTCTACTGTTAAGCACCCATCAAGCATCTATTTTCTACATTTGCATTGCTCTAGTTTTAAGAATGGATCGGTCTTCATTTATGCATCTAAAAAAATGGAATGAGAAATTCTCATTTAATTCTGAAAAAATCAAACACATATTTTATCGGTATGTCCCCTACGTGAGTCACTGAAAAAACAGAATCAATGATTGATTTGATTTTTGTGAATAAAAAACCTCACATTATCTACATCGGAGAGTTTATCAGCGATAATTTTCTCATATACTGTACAATCAAAGCTGGAACTCTTAAATCGGATGCCATAAAAGTCGTCGTTTCAAGCATTTCAACAGTAGCAATTTTATCGTTTATGTACTGTATAATATCAGATTGAACATTTATCAAATCACCTACTGTATGAAACATTCATGAATCGGCTTAGAAACACGCCGCTTTGAAAACTAAAAGAAAACTCGATTTCCATCAAAGCGTACATAAAAGTATATAGTTTGCATATCACTACTGTAATATAAGTGCCATGATATGAAGAATTTCACATGTAAAAAAGTTAAGTAAAGTAAATCAAATTACTATCAAAATCTGATGAACGATAATAGAGATAAGCCTGATGTTCATTGGAAAACGATGAATGGAGTCACTTAATGTTGGAATCCCATTCAAACCGCTCATTCTTCTATTATCAGCAATAGCGACCTAACATACGATACCTTTTTCATCGCAAAAATCATGAACGACTACTTTTCATTTATAGGATCCAAACTAGCGAAAAAGAAGATTTTTTCGTCGTTATTTTCTCTGTGATGATCGTACATGGATTATGTGTCTGTTACAATTTCCCACATTGCCCCTGCTTAAGTATTCAAAACATTTTTTTGTAATTTGTAATTGGAATCATTAATAACAATCAAGGCCATGGAACAAATGAGAGAATTTACATCACAAATGAAACTATTATTTATAAAAAATTTGGAAAAGCGCTTTCGAAAATTTAGTTGTAATGCTTCTCCAAGTTATCTATAGATTTTTTGTTCCACTTGCTCAAATATGATTGACCTTGTCAAAAATTTTTTCAAATGCGCATGCAGCAAGTTTTGATTTACCAGACATTACAGGCGTCATTCTTCTTATGCGTCATGTTTCAATTCTATTGTGGTCAAAAAAAAACTACATTCCATTATTCCATATGACTTTTTTCAGGTAACTGCTTGTCTAGAAAAGGTCTCGATAATGTTTGAGAGTGAGGTGACGATGAACATCCTGCAGGATGAGATGTTTCATACTGATGCAATATATTAAGTTTTAAAACATGGAAAAATTGTAACAAATTGCATGCCTTATTTGCATTTTGCACTACGTTAATCAGCGGAGGAATTCGTTATATTTTATCTACTAGTTTATTTGTTATACTAAATTCGACTTAAATGACATTTGTAATACTAAATTCGACTTAAATGAAAATTTATATGAAAAATTTAAATAATTCATGATTTAATTGTAAACTATAATATATGTAAGACTTGCAAGAGCATATAATTATAAAATCATTTTCTGTTGGTCAAATATTCTAGAGTGCCCTGGCCGCCAGGCTCTCCTAGGGCTACGTCACTGCTTACTTATTTCTTCTTTAAATCATCAAGATTTCTACTCATTATTTCCAATATATTACTTCCATGATTTGTGCTTACATGCATTGTTTTGCCGCTTTTGTGAAAAATTTCCCGCGACTTAGAAATAAATAGCCATCGGTGACCTTTATGCTCAATATAAATGGACAAAATATTTTATCTTGAAGTAAGATGCGCTATCAGTCAGTGAAAATTTAAGTACTCAAGCACTAATTCACCCCCTCCCCGTCACTTGACAACCTGACACCCCCAGTTACTCCACGAGTAATCGTGTTTTAGTATAAAAGAAATTAAAGTTTTTAGTAGTTTTGTCCTTAAGACAAATTTTAAAATCCACGAACTTTGAGTTTGATATTGTGTTGTGTTCGTGTAAAACTTCTTTTTCAAACTGTTTTCCTATAATGCTTGAAAAGCCAGAGACTTGAGATTCGTGAATCTTAATTTAGAGGCAGTGGTTTCGAGCCATCCATTTGCAGACATTGATACCGGATTACTTTAAGATGGGAACTTTTAGGTTTTTTGGAGATGCTTGTAGGTGTTATGTGTCTTTTTTCCGTGTTATAAAATAAATGCAACCAGATTCTGGTTTACACGATTGCTTCTGTGTAATGATAAAATAATTTTGCATTAATATCTGCAGATGATTTCAAGATATTCAACTTTTATTTTAATAAAAATACTAGCTTTATTCCAGTTTACAACGTGCACGATTGATCATGTTTCATGTCGATTCTCTGTCCAGCGGTATTGGCGTATTGCAAAATTTCAAAAAGATTACTTTCTCTTTTATTGATGACGTCATACGTGAAAAAATTCCCTGAAGACTTCCATGGGATCATACAGCATTAGCATAAGTGTTTTTTCATGGAAAAGGACCCATTCAAAAAATATAGAAGTGAAATTTTGTTCTTTGGTGGACAACAAGGAAATTTGCCTTCCAGTTATAGCACTCTTTGAACACGCGTGAGGACCGTGAACATTTTAGCGTGAAGCGTGAAAGGCATTGTGTTTGTGACTTCGTGTATTCGTGAGTTTCGTGACCAGAAAATACCAATGTGAAATGGCACTGTGCAACCTAATAATCGTTTCTGTTTTTATTTAAGTTTTAAAACAATGCTTAGAGATTGAATTAAGCATGGACATTACAAAGCAAAGGTTGCGGGGCATAGAAAATCGTCTTCTATCTTCTGTTTATTGTGCTGATGGGAAAATGAGTCCGCCATCAGCTGATGTAAGTGTTTGATCTTTGGAACTATTTGTATATTTTTATAAATCAATTTTCCTATTGCAAACGTTGTTACATTGATTATGAATATATTGATTATTTTAGTACTCCGTAACCAAATCCAACCCTGATATATTGAAGAAAGTTTTTCTTAAGGTATATTTTTGACATTCGTGAAATATTTTGACAATTGTTTGAGTTCACTGTTGTGTGATTTATATTGTTTGTACATGTCCTGTCAAGATATTTATCTCCTTGTTTTACTTGTGTTTTTAAGTATTTCAATGGCTGCTTTTTCATTCATTGTATTTTTCACTTAGAAAAGATTGAAATAATCTATGACCAAGGCTCTAGGGCATTTTTACTTTCTAACCTGTATCAAAACCATTTACTTTTGTGTAGGCTAGTTTGAGGTGTTTTATTTTCTATGCTAGCTTATATAATGTGAATATTAAATTCCCAGTTGCATAGCATGCTTGCAGCTTTGTTCTTCATGCCATGTAAATATTTTTGGTGTAAAAACAATAGATATCATATTAAATGATGTTAGTGATAAAAAATTTACATGACACAAACAAATATGAGGTCTGGCTATGCCACTGTTAGTTCCAAGGATCTAAAAAAGCAAGTATGTATTTTTCTTTGCACTTACTGATGTATATTTGACATTGCAAGGGCTATTGAAGTAAAAAGGTTTTTTCAAATTAGCTGCCTAAAGCAATTGCAAACTTCTGTCATGCATCACATAGTTGTTTGGAATGCCTATAAAAAAGCAATTTTCATTTTTCAAAAGACATATGTTGCCAGCTCGCTTGTTCTCCACATGCCTCATCTTTATTGTTTAAACAGTTTGCTTTTAGTCAATGAGCTTTGTAAAATTTATTGACAACTTGCATGGAGCTTGTATTTTTGTGTTTCATACCTCTTCTCTGTGCATAAATGTAAGGATGGATCCATAATGATTGTGCAGAGGGGTGCTCTAGTATGGAATATTGGATTAGATCTAGTGGCTATAATTTTTGCCATCCTACTCTTTTATTGTGATTGGGAGGTTTTTGAAAGCGTGCTTCATTGGGCACTTATCATGATTGCTTTTGCTTAGTTCCTAGATGAATTTGTAATTTGTAGGAAAATGGCAACTCTGTCGCCATCCTGATAACAGTTTAGGGGAGGGGTTCTTTGCAGAAAACAGTTGATTTTAAAAAAAATTAATGTTTCACAACATGAATATATGAATATCCCCCCCCTCTGCCAATTGTTGCTCTGATGGCACCTCTGGAAATTGACACCTCTCCCGCACCCCCCTCTCTTGGAGGAATGCACAATCATTTGCACAACCTTCTGAATCTTTCCTCAAAATTCATCGTTGCATAAATGTGTTTAGAGTATTATTCATTACTTTGTAGTATGCCACAGTTGAGACAGATGGAGAACGTTACATGACACCAGAAGATTTTATCAGGACATTTTTAGGAATGCAGAAGGATGATAATTATGATGTAGAAACATTGAAATTATTGTCTGGTGTTGTTGATCAAACTAAAGATGGGTAAGGTTGCAGAAAAATATAGAGCTCAGTGAGCATAAATTATCATCTTCGGTAATCTTCCGATTGAACGAACAGTTGACGATCGCACAACACATTGCGAAACTTCTTTGAGACAAATCCTTATCAAGATTTATAGCGATACAGCTCTTTTCGTATGAGCGCGCCAAATTTTCCGAGAAGGGTATTTTGTCATTTAGTTGTTAAGCTTGCTCATTTCTTTACTTTCTAATCGAAAGTTTACGGTGAAATTGTAATGTGCGTAAGGTCAATATGATGACAGTGAATAAGAGCGCACGTTTAGTACGTATGTAATACATAAGATATACGTAAACTGTGAAGCGTCTGTTTGCGTACAAAGATGAAGCAGAAGTTATACACAATAAACAAAGAATCGTCGTTGACATAATCCTGTGAAAATGTTGTTATTTTGAGAAATATCTAGAAACATTACGACTCAAAAATTTACTTGTATTTATATTGCCTGTTGCTATTTATTCAGTCAAGCGGAACTAAACATGAGCTCGATTCATCGATTATACAAACGAAATTTCAGTAATATGAAACTTCATAAAAAAAGTAACATCTAAAAGCCAAGATATTATTCAAATGCAGGGTGGCTGGCGAAGTGGCAATTCATGTATATAATACAATCTACTGTCTGGTAGTAGGTCCAATTTGGTATTATTCGCATTGCTTATACATCGCTCGATTTACTCATCCAGACTTAGAGTAGTTTAATTAAATGTCGAAAGCAAATGAATTAATTTTGCTTTCGAATATTGTGCGAAATACAAGTATTATTTGTGTGGTTTACAATTTTACATCTAGTGAAATAAAATACGTGTCGAACTACAAAGTCCATGAACAGCAAATACAAAATACTTTCGATCACTTGCAATCATTGAGCAAAGCGTTTACTATCAAACATTGTTCGCAATAAGCACAAAATCTTTGGAAAAATATAGACTATTCAAAACATGATTAGAGAAAAGCAACATTAAAAAACACGACCCATGTCGTGTTCACGGTATTTGTTCGATCAAGCACCGCCCCCGAGCCTAGCGTTGCCCTCCATTAAACGCCGCACGCGTGGTGAGAAAAAGTTAGCACACTGCTGTACTTGTTCGAACAAATACAGTATTCATTGTTACGGGGAAAACGTTCTCTGAACGACATCTAAGACACGTCAGAAAATGTTTTTAAAAGACAATCATAGAAAAAATGGTTTTCAGTGAAAAAAAACCTTTAAAAGTCGCAAGAAATCTAAATGACGTTACTTTACTTGAGAGCGATTCTTGTGAGCAGATGCATTTATGTGGCTTAGGTGCAATCTAAGCTAAAACGTTCAAACAATTCAGAAATGATTAAACGCTTACTTAGTCATATAACTAAAATCAATATTTAAATATTGAACGAGTTTGGTGTAAATGACATTAAATATACAATTTTATTTCAATTATGTTCATTTACCAACTTCATTTAGCCCTATTTACTTGGTAGGCTACCCACGTGTACGCATTGCGTACCTATTTTTTAATAATGAAGAAGAGAATTACAAAAAATGATGTTGTTGAAAACCGCATGCTACTGCACATATCTCTTTATTTTCCTCTTCTACCTCATATTTTCCCCCCCATCATCTTAAAACTTGACTCTAGGAGTTCAATTTCTTGTTTAGACTCATATCATTCAGTGAATTGCTTGCATTTGAGTCACTTCTTTGCTCTGCTGATGCCCAGTATCGTATTGCCTTTCAACTTTTTGATTTGGATGGTAAAGGTTCTGTTAGTTTTGGTGAGTTTGTAGATATGTTTAGTGAAATTGTGAATTTTTCACGAAAAGTGAATGACAGTTTGATAGGATTTCTCCACTTATGGATATTTTTTGAAATATTTAAAACTGATAGTTTTGAGTGATGTGCCAGAAGTTAAAATAGAAACCTTTTAATATCGATAATTTAAAATAGTAGCGAGAGACTTGCCGAGCGGAAATCGGACTCGTGTAATGCCCAACATAAAGTTCTGATTAGAGCCAAAGAAATAGACCAAAAAAAACCAAATTGTAAAATTAAATTTATTGTAAAGACGAAACGTTACAATAAGTTTAATTTTACAATTTGGTTTTTTTGGTCTATTTCTATGGCTCTAATATCGATAATAATTTATTGTAAGTAGAGCTGTTAGTTGCTGCATAAATGTGTTTAAAAAATATTTGATCAATTTATTGTTGTTTTTTCAGAATTTATCAATCTTGTTTTTTTTTGCATACAAGCAAGTAGTTATTTTGTTTCCACCAAGTTACACTTGCAATCACTTATGGTGTACCAAATAATTTTGATTGAATAAAAAGCTTGCAAAAATTTCTCTTTTTTAACATCGTAAAATAGTTTTCCAATCGGCAAAGTCGTGAAAATATTTATTTATGCAGAAAATTCTTGATGCCTGAATTTTCTTATTTCACTTACTGGGAAATAACTAACTAATGGATTTTTACAGATGAATTTTCTCGCGTGATAAAGAAAACCAGGCAAAACGAGAAGTTTCCATTTAATTTCGATTCGCCGTTCATCACGAGTTTTTTTGGTGATGACAGACAAACTAAAGTTCCTTACAGTGAATTTACACAAATGTTGGAGGTTAGTTGTATTAATCAATTAATATAAAGTTTGCGGCGCACAGTCTGTTACGATGGAATGGGGCGAGTTATCGTTTGTTTATGCAATTTAGCTAGCTAAGTGATTTATTGGGCTGCTCGTGATTGAAATAGTTAATGTTTTCCTTCATGTTATGTTTGCCAAACAACAAATATGCGTTATGAAAGAGCAATGGTTCCCCTTTGTGCAAAACCTCAACACGCTGCACGTTGCAATGTTGTTTAAAACTGGCATTTTTGATTTTATTGGGAGAAATAAAAGGAATAGAAACGCCTTTGTTTGTTGCATACACAAACCTAATTCTTCTCTAAACTTTTTCATTCATTTTTCTTCATTTTCAGCGACGAAATTTTTCATGATTTTTCTTTTCTTTACAATGTAGGAATATCAAACTGAACACATAAAACAAGCGTTTGATCAATGCAAACAGAACAATGAAACTATTACTGCGAAGGATTTCAGTGACATAATGAAAACATGTCGTCCACATGTTTTGTCCCGTTATGTTCAAGAACACTTGCTCACGGTAAAATATGCATGATTATTTTCATTGTGGAGTTTAGTCTGCGTTGAGGTCTTGAAAATGTTTGCTATCAGAAAATACAAAGTATGACTGATGTAGCTTTAGAGCAGATTTCTGCAAATTTTGGTCCGCTTTCTGCTAAAAACAGCCATCAAACTTGGAACTCGTATAATATCATTACTATGATAACTGAAGAACCGCATGATATCATAGGCGTACGAGCTGGGGGATAGGGGGGGGGGGGCAACCCTCCCCAAGAAAAAAAAATCGGGCAGAATGATATTTAAAACCATACATACCATCATTCTGTCTTAGGATGACTTTGAAATAAAGTCGACAATTTACAGTTCACTTCTCGTCTTGTTTTGATGCATATTTTGCAATCTCAAGATGTCTTGCTTCTTCGGAATTTGTTTTATATTATATTACTGTTGTTTTGTGCAGCAATTTTGCTCTGCGTGATATGGAGTGTTGTTTCTGTCCACCAATTTTTTTTTGAAAATTTCGTAGGTTGCTGGTGGAATGACTAGTCATCTAGTAACGTATGCTTATTGTCAAGCATTTAATGATCTCTTAAAAAACATCAAAGTGATACAATACCTTTTTGAGAAAGCTGTTGGAGGAGACCGACAGAGAGATATGACAAAAGGTAAATCGTCTCTGTACATTTTTTAACAGGTATTTTATAAGAAAAATTAGTTTCCAATTGATAACAAATGAAGTGAGGGAATCAGTTGTGTGAATTTACAAGAAGTCAAGATTACTTTATATTATGTCGTAGTTAGGTGATATTGTTCACATTGGTTGTTCATCATCATGGAAGTGACGACTTGATCTTATGTCAATGGCGTTTTTATATATAATTCATTTTCTACATTTTTTTTTGTTTTTTCTTAAGTATTGTCTGGTTTTTGACACTATCTGACTTTCATATTGTAGCTGCATTATTTTCGCTACTCTATCTTCCTGATACCCAGCTTTTGTTTGGATCTTTATATATTTTGGGTGTGAATTTGTTTTTGCAGAGGAATTTACAAAAGTGGCTCGGAGACATTTTTTGGTGAGTTGGTTAACATCATAAATGTATACTTTATCTTTTACTAATTCCTTCTTACAACCTTACCATACGTAATAAACCTTACCCCTTTCACAACAATAACCAGAAATACCGCCATAGCAAAACCATACTCGGCAAAACAATACCTTTGAAATGCCTCGAACAGTTCATAACTTATCTTATTATTTATATAGATAAATCCGTTGCAAATCGACATTTTGTTTCATTTATGTGGCTTAAGACATGGAACTGGGTAATGTTTATGTAATCAAAAACAAGCAGAGATTGTGCGTAACTTACAAAGTTTAAATTCGTTTACAGCCGTATATCTTTGATTGATTTGGATCATATAATGCCAAAACACGATGTTTTTAAAGTGTATTCGGCAGATTATGATAAGGTATATGTGCTTACAACAAATAAAATTGTCTAGAATAGATAAAGCTGTTGACATCATTAAAATTATTTTTTTATGTAAAAACATAAGTCGACATTTGTGTGATCATCTCGCTATTAGTTCAAAAACCTTTTCCAGTCGACAATTTAATGAAATACGAACAAATTGCATGATCTTTTTAAGAAACAAGACTTTCAAAAGCAATGTTTCGACTTATGTTGCCTTACAATGACTTTGAAACAAAGTCGAAATGTTGCTTCTGAAAATTTATGTCTCGTTAACACAACTCGAATCTTGAGTTGTCACGATGATAATTTATGTCTCGTTAACACAACTCGAATCTTGAGTTGTCACGATGAAAATTTATGTCTCGTTAACACAACTCGAATCCTGAGTTGTCACGATGATAATTTTTGGAGTATGTTTTCTATTATGTTCCATATATTAATCAAGAAAACAGTTGCATTCTTCTGTGATTTTTCCAGCTTTCTTCAAACTCATATTCTCCTCGTTATGGTATTGAAAAAGAGGGTCACAGGCCAATTTATCTACAAGCCTTAGAACATTTGTATCGCTTTTTCGTTGGTGGAATTGGTGGAGGTAAAGTTACAACTTTTTTATCTTGGTAAATCCAAAAATTAGTTTTCTTGAATCGAAATTGTAGAGTAAAATTTTTGAACTCGCTCCCTCCCCCCCTGTCTAAATGCATCTCTATTTTTTTAAGCGGCTGGAGTGACGGCTGTTTATCCAATTGATTTGGTAAAAACAAGAATGCAAAACCAGCGAGGTGTTAGTGCAGAGGAAAAATTGTATAAGAATAGTTTTGATTGCTTTTTCAAAGTAATCCGTAATGAAGGATTTCGTGGCTTGTACCGAGGTAAATTATTATTATGTTTACTTTATGCTTAGTTATTATAGTTTTACAATTGTTCTTATTACTAAATACCGAAATTCGCCTGGTTTGGTTTGTTCTTTCTTCTGTCTACTGTTTGTTCATTCGACCTAAACGTTGATCATGTTTTTTCGTGGCCAAACGCGATTCAGAACAAGGTTCTTTGTTCAATCTGCATACAATTTAGCTGTATAGCTACTAGCTACATATCAAAGATTACAGGCTGTGCCAAGTATTTAAAAGTAATAGAACGATTGCAAAGTAGCATGATCATGCATCATGGATTAGGATAAGAGTTCAGTTAGTGCGAACAGCCTTTTTTTCTTTTCCTAAGAATATATATCCATCTATTTTGATTGACGATAGTTAAGATACACATGATAGCAGAATATGTTTTCTTACATTTACTTTTCTTATTTCTGTATGTTTCCTTACATTTATTTTTCTTATTTCTGTATGTTTCCTTACATTTACTTTTCTTATTTCTGTATGTTTCCTTACATTAACTTTTCTTATTTCTGTATGTTTCCTTACATTTACTTTTCTTATTTCTGTATGTTTCCTTACATTTATTTTCTTATTTCTGTATGTTTCCTTACATTTACTTTTCTTATTTCTGTATGTTTCCTTACATTTACTTTTCTTATTTCTGTATGTTTCCTTACATGTGCCTTTCTTATTTCTGTATGTTTCCTTACATGTGCCTTTCTTATTTCTGTATGTTTCCTTACATGTGCCTTTCTTATTTCTGTATGTTTCCTTACATGTGCCTTTCTTATTTCTGTATGTTTCCTTACATGTGCCTTTCTTATTTCTATAGTTTCTATGAACGCAATGATTATTTCTATGTGGCCTTTTTATTATTTTATTTTTTAACAATTAAGAAATTTTTTGTCTTCTTTTTTAGGTATTATCCCACAGTTGATTGGGGTTTCTCCAGAAAAAGCAATTAAATTATCGGTATAACAAACATTTTTATGTCCATTGTTGAAGTGTTATAGATATGAAAGCATAAAGTGTCTTCATGATTTTTTACAGACAAATGATTTTGTACGAGATCGGTTAAAAACTGAGGATGGCTTTATTAGTTTCAGTGCAGAAATCATTTCTGGTGGATGTGTTAGTAAATTATAATTATTGATCGTTTAATATTGTCTTTGCTCAATTTATCTACCATGTCTTTACTGATGGGAAAGTTATTTTTAACAATTTTAGGCTGGTGCTTCCCAAGTTGTCTTCACAAATCCAATAGAGATTGTCAAGATTCGTCTGCAAGTTGCAGGTGAAATCGGTCAAAAAGTCAGCGCTATTTCAGTAATTAGAGAACTCGGTTTTCGAGGAATATACAAGGTATGAACAGAAAAAACTGCTTTTTATATTATTGTGAATATCTGTGCATTTAATCATATATTTCTATTGTATATTTCCTTCGACAGGGCGCAAGAGCTTGTTTTCTTCGAGATATCCCATTTTCAGCCATTTACTTTCCGGCATATGCTCACTTGAAAAAAAATTTCTCCGATGAAAATGGCTTCACAAAATGGTACAATCTTCTTATGGCTGCTGCTCTTGCTGGTAACATTATATATCATTCAAAGCATTTCTTACCTGATAAGATATGCGCTATTTCTTTCATTTCTTTTTATTTCAACAGGTTGTCCTGCTGCATTTTTTTGTACACCATTTGATGTTATTAAAACAAGACTTCAGGTTTGTAATGTTAATTATATTAAGGTTATAACATGTCTCTGCGTTATGTTTCTGTATGTTTAATCGTTGGTAATGAAAATAACAAGTTTTAAAATGGTGTGAATGTCGTCCCTTATTTCATGTTATGGTTATGCTATTCTCAACAAAAATTGAGAATTGTGTATTATAGCTACCACATGACACCACACTAGGTTCAAAATTATTATTCAATCATGTATGATAAGGTAAAAGCACGCCAAGGACAGGAGTCATACCGAGGAGTTTTCGATGCTGCATCTAAAATTTGGCGTCAGGAAGGAGGAAAAGCATTTTGGAAAGGAGGACCAGGTTAGTGTTTTTTATCTTATCAAGATACATTTTTTATGGTTCAAGTTTCAATAATTGCTTGAAACATTATTTTGATCGTAAGTTATATTTTCAGGCATGCAACTATATTTGTTGTGGTACATGCAAAATTTCACTGTACCTACCAAGCATAATGGTTGTTATTATCTGGTTGTTATAGCAGTGTACTTCATGTTGTGTTTCGTATAGTTTATGTGATTTGCAGAAGCCATATGAGTTCGCCTACTCCATGTGGGATTGTGTATGATTGTTTGTAAATGTAGATCGTCCGGGTTGGTATAGTCCTGAGAAGGACTGTTTTTGTTGTTGCTGACTGACGTTTCGACAACCTTAGCGACAGCCTTAGTCAACAACAACAAAAACAGTCCTTCTCAGGACTATACCAACCTGGACGATCTACATTTACAAACATGTAACGATACTCCCGAGCTCAAACCATTTACTTTATTGTGTATGATTGTTATGACCTTTTTTTATTCCATATTTTTACATAAGTTATTTGTTTGTAGCTCGAGTTTTCCGATCATCGCCTCAATTTGGCGTAACGTTATTGACTTATGAAATAATCCAGCGATACTTCTATTTTGATTTTGGCGGGTAGGTTACTGCTTATATAAATAGTATGTGTGAAATTAGAAGTAGCTATAACATATCTACAAGGTCTTGCTTACGACCATGCATGTGATATGCAAAACTAACTGCATCACGATTTCTTTTCTTGTAAGTTTATTTTGAGTTTTTGTATGTTTATTGTATTGACGATAGTGGAAACATGGAAATTCAGTTTCAAATGCTTATATTTTTAGCATATGTAAACAAGATTTTTCTACATCAAATATCCTTTAGTGTAGTTCCAATTGCAACTCAATAAGCTGTTAAGTGTTTAGGATCGGTTTTACAGAGATCATCGTAGTTTATCATAGAAATATTAGGGATATCCTGTGGAGGTATAAAATGTCTTGTACGATTTACCTACGTAAGGGTTTCTTTTATGTTTTAGTGCTCCTAAAACGGAAATGAAACCAGTAAATCCAGATGTATCTCTTCATCCTGACCATATTGGTGGTTTGCGTTTAGCTGTTGCTTCGTTTGCTGGCATTGAAACGAAATTTGGTTTATGTCTACCTGTATTTCGGTCTCCTGGCAACAAGAAATAAGCACAGCATGGGCTTTTTTGTATTTCACGTGGTTGTAGTGTGTGCTATGTGTAGGCCATTTTTCTCTTTTACAAATGAGGAAAATATTTGGTAAACAGGTGAAAAAAACAAACTTTTGTACCTAATTTGGGAATTATAAAAAAATCGTGAACTCTTCTTGTTAATAATCTATAGTTAATATAACCAATCTCAAAGCATTAATTTTATAAGAATTAACGAATCCGAGTTTATATCATCAAATACACCGGAAACAATCAAGCAAACTACGTAGAATGTCTTAATTTAGGAGAGTTTTGTAATGAAATAATTATATAGTTTTATCAAAATGCTAAAAAAATTACTGTCAGTTCTTGTACTTTTTTGGTTTTCTGGTTGTAGAATCTTTAGCTAGGCATTCTGGGAGGGGGGATTTCTAAGCCATAAGATTGTACTGGTTTGCCTTTAGAAAGCAATATAATTTGCAAATAGAATATGTTTATCTGCGTTCATATGATGCTCCACAAAATCAACTGTATCGCTTATTTCAAATATTGATAAATTTTCGTTAATTACTCCCTACATCATTTTTGAAAATCCTCCGCAGTAAAGGTCGAAAAGATGAAAATAGTTGTATTTGTTCTGAAGAATATATTTGTATCGTTTTCTGGGAAAAGATGTCAGGAACTATAAAACTGCCGTTGGGTTTTCATTTTAGACTGTCTTTGCCTCTCAATGGTCATTCACGTAGTTGCATGACCACCAAGATGTGTAGTCACATCGTACACAATCATTTATTTGTACTCAATAGAATATTAGCTGTCAGTGTGAACTACATACAGCAATTGAAGTGTAAGTGGCTTAACAAATGAAGGTCAAATATGTATTATTGCGTACTGGGTGATGAACTAAAGATACGTTTCAAAAATTATCTCATCTTCAATAGAAATTCAAAAAAGTCCATAGGACGGTTGATAAAATTCAAGGAAAGAGGAAATCCACCGGACAAGATTTTTAGATAAATGTGGGTATTGCCTTTCCAAGTGCAATTGCCGTGGTGAATGGCCCAAATTTTTAGACTTTCAAAATTTCTGAAACCCAAAAATTCATTAAAAGGAAAATGGAACAATAGAAATTTTTTATTGGGTTTGAGAACTCACAGGTTTCTATTGGTTTTCTGTATTCTTGGGAATTCTAATAATTTTTGGCCATTCACCATGGCAATTGCACTTTTCAAGGCAACGTTTAGATTTGTCACCACAGCAAATTCTTTGTTTTAAGTGTAGGTAAATCGGAAAGTTAATCATCCCTGGTTGTGATATACAAGGTATTAATTCAGTGAAACTGTCCATGTATTTCGCATTCTTTTCTGACTAGCTTATAAAAAAATTCAGACTTATGTTGAGGTAGCAAAAAGCCGGAATAAAAACATCAATTGTTACTCTGATACAATTTCCGCAACTAGAGATAAGAGAAACCAATGTATTAACGGCGGTAAAAATACTAACGCCAGTTGCTTGAAAACAAAAAGAAGCTTTCATGACAATATTTCAAACAAATCAAAGCGTGGTGTCGATGGCATTTTGTTGCTCCTCAACCAGTTGTCTCCATATGATAAAAAGATGATATATGATATATGAATATTTTGCATTTCCAGTTTCTTTGAAATCAATTGTTTTTTATCGACTATAATATAATATCATGCATGATGCACGTATGAATATTAGCCCTCCAATTATCGAGTTGGCTACACCATTGGACATTGTTCATTTTAATATTTTATTGCATTTAATAGTTTCACTTTAAAATATTATGTTGTAAAATCTATTTTTTGTACTATTTTTCATTCCGTCCATCGTGGAATGCATGCAGCTGTCTTTCTATCCTTCTACTTATTTTATATTCGAGACAAAATTGTGCTATAAAAGCTCAAATTTGTATCGGAATGAATTTTGACGACAAGGTTCGGTCAACAGGACAACCAGCTCGGCTCCCTTTTCTGTAAAAACTAATGTGATAACTGCATAAACAATGAAAATTCATCTTTTCTGCTAAATGACAAGCTTAGAGCTTTGTAGACAAACTTGAAAATAAAGAATTCAAGAATGTGTTGAAAAGATTTACGGCATGTAAAAAGACAAAAGTACACACACATACTACCGCAAAACATGATTGCTTCCATTGTCAACTTTCTCTCTACATTATTGTAACGGTATTCTTTATATTGCGTGCCAAATATTTGCTTATTTTAAAAGACCAAAATGTCCTGAAAAGTTCATGTTATAATTACCTAAAGCACATATAATGCTGTCCTCATTCTTCTTGCTATGAGACTGAATTACTGGTAGAGAAACCAAATTTCGTTCCAATGCCAGTCAAAAATGCAGACAAACGCAAGTCAAGAGGAAGAGATAAATCTAGATTCACTGCCTGCTACCTCTACCGAAGTAACCGAACATATTATATTTCCGCAATAAACTACGACAACTTCTATGAAAGTGTTTGAGAATGAAATGTTTCCATGTTTATAAATCTGCTCGATGTAAATTTCTTCTGTTGTAGCGTTTTCTTTGCACTGACTTGAATTCATACAAGGGCAAATTGAATTTCCTTTCGTTTTCGTCACTTTCTTTCATTTCAGTTTTATTTACGTTCTTTGGGCCAAGTCCGTGGTATTTATGGCAAAATGTCTTCTGAAGAATTTTTCGAAATGCCCTTTGGTAGCTTTTATCGAAGCAAGCGTATATGATGGGATTGAAAAAGCTGTTTGCGTAAGGTAGAATTATGACAATCACCGTTTTCAAATATTTCAATGTCTTCCCTAATGGGTCATGGATTGGGATCCATATTGGTATATTTGAAAAATATAAAAATGGTCCCCAACATACTATGAATGTACTAACAACAATGAACAGAGTTTTAGTGGCTTTGAGATCCTTATAGACTGAGTAATGACTTGAAGTTGGATCCCGCATTAAAACTCTGTTGGATTTTTTGAAATGAAGAATTGCAATGCGAAATATCATAGCGTACATCACAATCAAGATCAGTAAAGGAAGAAAAAAAGCAACAACCGGCGCTATGGTGTAGAATATCTTGTTGTAATTGTAGCATTGATTGCGGTCAATGATGATTCCTTTATCTCCAAAAGGCAGCATGGCAAGACTTGCAAGCAACGCTGCTATTATCCATACAAAGACAATTACGTATATCGCAAGTCTTTTTGTCATCCTCTCGCAATATACATACGGACGACATATTTTGAAATAGCGTTCAATACTAATTACTGTAAGAGTAAAGATAGAAGCTGCTTCACAGAAAATATCAATCCAGATCCAAAATCTGCACAGTGTCATGGTAACTAGGCTTTTACGAAGTCGAAGCTTTTCACTGAACAAAGTAAATAAACGAATGGTGACACTGAGTAAAGCTACAGCAATATCTGAAGTAGCAAGACAAGCCACAAAAAAATTGATCGCTGTTCTCAGACGACTGTCATAGTATATTGCCATAAGGACCATAGAGTTTCCAAGCAACGTCATTATTAACGTAATCATCAAAAATGCAATTTTAATATCAAGAAAGGTTTCGTCATAACTCAACATTGTCCCATTTTTACTTGAATTTGAAGGTTACCATTTTGCTTTGTCATCTCCTCACAATCGCTCGGCGTCGGAACAAACAGTTTTTATCAAGTTTATCGTAAGCACATGCTTATTATCAAAAGAATGACATCCACTAAGGGGGTGTTTACATGAATCCGGAATGACTTTCGATCCGGAATGAACTCATTCCACTTTAAAAGAAATCCTACTGCATGTTTACATGAATCCGGAATGAGTCACAACTCGATCCGGATCGAGTTCATTCCTAGTTTCATTCCGGATCGAAATTTACTTTTTATCTCATGTAAACGCGAATTGAGTTTCATTCTGGAATGATATTGTGATTAATGACGAAGCACGCATGTGCCATGGGTATTGTCTTCTGGCAAATTGAAGCTTGTAAGTAAATAAAGAGGCTAAATGGGTTAAAATGAGTGCGAAGAAAAACAACAATTAGTTTCATGTAAACACGGATTGACATCACGTTTCGATCGGGATTGAAAGTCATTCCGGATTCATGTAAACACCCCCTTAATGATATGAAATGAAATGAATACAACCCTTTATCTGTTAATTGGCTATTCGCAGAAGTGCTGGTTAATAATTAAAATTTAAGTATTAAGGACGTTTGAAAGTTCAGACAGTCAAAGTTCATTATCTGACTATATATGTTATTATTATATGAAATAAACATTGTAAAATGATTAGTCATCTTTTGTCCTCGTTTTTATTCATTTATTGTATGGAAATCATGTTTTCTTTTGTGATGTTTGCAGAAATTTCAAATGAAATTCTAGTATCCTCAAACTCAAGTAAAAATGAGACAAAATTTTGCGTATTTATAGAACCCTTATTGATGCTCAAATTGTATTTTTGTTTATTACATTAATAATGACGCTGCCCTTTTGACAATTTTCCAAACGCTATTCTCCTGACAAAAACGAATGAAAAAAGTAAGTTGTTCAGAATAGGAAACATCTGAGGGTACTGTCAAGTATTGACGATTAGTTTACAATGAAAAACCTTCTCAATTCTGAACAAAATTTTATGGAGGATATTCTCTTCGTTGAATTATTTTCACTTTGCAAAGACAAGTAGTGCCGTCGTTCACTCCTGTTTATTGCAGATTATGTTTGATTGTGAAATCATGATGAATAAGTTCATAAACTCCCATGTGAAAGACCAATATCAGAATCTAACTCTCCCACTCTTGAGCGCGAGTCCCTGGATGGAAGATTTCTTTCGGCTCAATGAAAAGTAACTTCAACTATAGACTTTTAACCATTCTACCTTTTCATCTCTTTGACATATTTTATGCACGTAGGATGTGTGCGCTGCTTTTCTTTACAGCCTGTGTTTTTTTGTAAAGTTTTCGCCGGAGGAAATTAAATTTAGGATATTAAATTCGGTGCAACAGATAGAGAGCTACGTAAGCAACAAAAGAAACAGAGAAGGTTGTGTGCTGTTTTCTCCACGCACACCCTTGCAACATTTTCACCATTTGACCGGTATTTCTCTTGAAAACACGCTCGTTAAAAATGATCTATTCTTGTTAACATGGTTCTGGCGAAATTTCATTGTTTGGTAAATCCTAACAGAATTACTGAAAGTCATGAATTGAGCGCTCTCATCTTCAGAAATCATTATACAGGGAGTACAAAAAACCTGCAACTTGTTGAAATGAACTTATGCTTAGAATTTGCATGAATCAGCATAAATTGATCCCCAAGCAGACGTAAACGTAATTGAAAGGAATCACATGCTTGAAATTTGCAATGCGCTGTTGCTGCAGTTCGTATGTTTTGTAAACGGACTGTCATTTTGATATGATTGTGCGTTTGCAATCAAGGTGCAACTCACTCAGTACTGTATATTGATTTGATTACTGGCTGTAGTCAGCTTGCTTAGTGTTACTAATGTATTGGTCAGAAAATGTCATTGACTGGCTGCCATACATGGTAATGACTAATGAAGTGGAACTTTTGCTTGCTCCCTAATCACTACACTGTGACCATTGAGTGTGACTTTTTAGAGAAATGACGTCAGAAGTAGCGGTTGAAACTTACATAAACCATCAGTGCCATCTTGCGTTATCAATCACTTTTACATATGTCAAGAAGTATAAACGAGTGGTTTTTGAATGGAAAAACTTTAAATCCTATGTACTTCGAAGAACCATAGCAATTGTTTGATTGAATCTCTGATACTCGAACGTAAAACATCACTGGCAAACGACGAAGAAGAAGAGTCAGGCTGTTAAACAATTTAGTGCATTCAACCATACAGTCAAGACGAAAGTAAAGTTTACCGCAAATTGAAGTCAAGGTACGAGTTCACTACTTTAAAAGCTCAGTTTATTTTGCAATTACTTGCTTTCTAGTGCTGTTTGCGGCAAGCTAAACACATTTTAATTCGACTTTTCAACTTTAATCTAGACAACAACTTTGCCTAACAAACATTAAGTCTTTGCTAAGGCACAGCACTGAAGGGACTATAACGTTAATAATGTATTTCAACCTTTTACATACCAAAACATATGTTAGTAATAGTAATTATTAATAAAAAGCCATATAAAATGAATTAAATCTACAGCGCAACCTTGATTCCAACTTTGCATTCATGCCCTATTCTTGGTGTGCAAGCACGTCATAGCCGCCATGTTGGATGAACTAAACAAAGGATTTTCCTTATTTACAATGCAAAGGCCATTCAACATGGCGAACATACCATTGTTCTCTTACACCCAGGGGAATGGTTGCACACCACTTATTATGGTATTTGAGTCGAAGGCCTGTTTCATACGTCGCATTCTACATGAGCCGAATGCATTCAAAACAAAAGATAATGAGGAATTTTACCTCATTTTCTTTTGTCTTTAATGCATTCGGTGCATGTAAAATGCAACGTATGAAACAGGCCTAAAATACAACGTATGAAACGGGCCTAAGATCGAATTCAAACATCAAACTTTACATTTGCATGCGAAGTACATTGAAGACAAAAGAAAATGAGATAAAATACATCCAAGGTGTATAAAAGTCTTAGACTCTTTGAAATCACCCGACGTTGAGAATTTCTTTAATTAGCATAAATTGATCCCAAGGGAAGCGTTAACGTCATTGGAAGGAATGCTTGGTATTTGCAATGTACAATAGCCGCAATTTGCATGTTCTTTTATTTTGTAAAGTGTTCCCAGGTGTTTGGAAAATTACTGTACAATCAAAGATGAAAGTTTTTACTTTCCACACACCCAGTGCATTAATAATGTTGCTCCGTTCATTAACATGACATGCGAAAGTCACAACATTTGAACAAACAACTATTTCTATTGTTTATTGCCTATAATTAGAAATCATTACATCAGTGACTCAGTCAGAGTCTCTTTTCTCCACAACAAATTGTTGCACCATTAGGATCATATAATCATTCTTACATTAAATTTATTTTGAATTTTAACTTTGTTCACATTCTTATTTGAACTTCACTAACGTTCTTGCGACCTGTAAATTAGAGCCGTGACGTTTAAACTTATTATTTAACAAAATTTCTCAATACCATGAAGGTGATTAATTTTCAAAATAACCAAGAACATTCGACAGAACCCAAGCTCACTTGTACGGTGATAATAAAGTATAACATTATTTTAAGTTCAGTAAATTAGGAAACGACTATCCTTATCTCTAATTTACACATCATAAAAACTTCTATAGCTCCAAAAATAAGCACGCAACAATAATGTAAAAAGAATTTAAATTGCAGTTTAATAGAGATCTTTTGTGACAATATATATATATATATAGGAGATTTTAAACCGCTGTCTTTCACAACTAGATGTTCACACTGGGAAATCATTTGTCCACCGCCATACTTCAGATATAATTTGTATAACAAGCAACCAGAAAAAATTCATATATTTTTCTGTACTTGTGGATTTTTAATTTCTAGTTCTTACATAATTACGCGAAGCATTATCATCGCAATTGCGTTTTGGAATTTTAAAATTTATGATTGAATCCCATAAAATTGACGTAGTAATTAAATTAACGAAAAACAGAAGACAATAACAAATCTTTATTGCAAAATAACAAGAATGGATTTATGTTTGTATATGTGGATCTTTGAAGGCACAAACGATAACGTGAATAATCTGATTTTTATAATTTTAGGATAACCAAAAATTACTCTATTAAAATTAACGATAGCATAAATATCATAAATTGTTAAATGAGATGGTTGTCTCTCGCAATGGATATATGTAGTAAAAATGAGGATGTCATTAAAATCAATGAAATTTTATTTTCTAATAATTTTATATATAATCGAAGATGTATGGAAGAATAGGCAAATTAAGGCCAACGTTTCTTTACACCTGGGAACACACGATTCCCACAAACACATAGTTTGGACACTTATCTATTCCGTTCCTTCTGTATCCTAAACATTGAAAGAACAATAGTAACTAGACAATTGAATATGGGGACTGTGAATGCTGAAGAAGGTGAATTTCATCATAACCAAATTTGGCGTGGACAATTGTGCAGCAAATCAAATGACTAATGAGCAAAAACTTTATCCAACCCATACATTTGTATATACTTTCTCTATTTATACCATGACATATTGTGGTATGTTAATATTTTCGTCGCATAATATAATTTCTAGGTCGAACTAAAAGAGAGTGACATTAAAGGAAAAGTGATGTCTTCAAACTCAAGTGAAAATGGGACAAACTTCAGTATTAATGCAACCCTTCTTGATGTTCAAATTGCATTTCTCATAGCTACGATAATAATGTCGGTTCTAGGAAACACATTGGTTATTATGGCAATATACTTCGACAGACGTCTAAGAACAATAAACAACTATTTCGTGGGTTGCCTTGCAGTTTCAGATATTCTTGTTGCTTTAATCAGTGTACTAATTCGTACACTAATTTTACTCAACATAAGGAAGCCATTTTCTGAAAACCTAGTTGGCATGCCATTGTGTAGATTTTTGATCTGGATGGATACTTTCAGTGAATCAGCTTCTACCTTCACTCTAATACTTATAAGTATTGAACGTTATTTCAAAATATGTCAGTCGTTTCTTCACCGCGAGAGGATGACAAACAGATTTGCGAAATACGCAATTGTCATTCTATGGATAATAGCAGCGTTGCCTGCAAGTCTTGCCATGGTGCCTTTTGGAGATAAAGGAATCACCATTAGCGGAAATCATTGCCTTAGTGAAAATAAGGTCTTCTATTTAGTGGCATCAGTCCTTTTTCTTTCTTCCTTTATTAGTATACATTGTGATTTTCACTATAATATTTTACACTATATGTAATCCTTCCCAACAATTTCATGAGACAAGGTTTCTGAATTCTGGTACCAGGCAAAATGATCAATACCCAAGCAGTGATGAAGTCAAAACCACAAAAACTATGTTTATTGTTGCCATTGCATTCGTAGTTTGTTGGGGACCATTTTTCATTCTTCTTATGTTAATTCAATATCGACCTCGAACCTTTAGGAATTTAGGAAAGAAATGGCCCATTTTGAGAGTCGTTTTTCTCTCAATCCTCCCAAGCGCAAACAGCTTTTTCAATCCCATCATCTACGCTTGCTTTGATAATAGTTACCGAAGGGCATTCAAAATAACTCTTCTAAAGATGATTGGCTGCTTTGGAAGTCGTACGAATTTCGGAGACTTAAACCAAAGGAGAGAAGGTCCTTCCTGGCATGAAATGTATCCAAATCCTCGTATCTCCATAAAGATAACAAGTCCCAGTTCGACAACACCTGAAAACACCACATCCTCAACAGAGCTCAATGATAGTCGAGGAATTGGAAATAGTTTAAGTGTACCAAGATAACGAAATGGAGAATGGCAACATGATATAAACACTAAGGATAGAAATTACAATGAAACTCTGTAGTGATTTATAGTATAAAATAAAAATTTATTAACAGCATGTCTTGACCGTTAGTATACTTACAAAGTGTTAATATACAGTTCAGTGTGACTGTCATTGCTATTTCCGGCAGAGCAGTTTTAATATCAAAATTTTTCATAATGAACGTAGTGGCGTCGCCGGGGAAGGACTGGGAAGGACGGGAAGAACTTGGAGGGGGGCGTTTAATCAACCCAATTATTCCAAAAACCAATTTTGAGATTTTACCAATTATGTCGAGAAACGAGGGGGCAATGAATCCAATTTCAAACAGCCGTAACAATAGTTGCTTCATGTAAACGGGCACATGGCAAAGTAAATATAAGAAATTGCATCCTTCGAGCATCGTTATCCATAAGATTGACTGGAATTCACTTGTAGTCACATCCAACAGTAAGCTAGGTATATAAAACTAGTGGCTTCTTAAATTATATACAAAACATGCCTGTGAGAAATAGGTTTGGGAGAATACATGTTTAAGATGCGCATGCCCCAGAACCCTCATTGAAGTCGGAAACCGTTGCCTCTTGCATCGTCCCCCAATTTAAAGAACCTGACGACGCGACTAAATGTACGCATCACACACACTCAGCTATGATCCATTTATTGTTTTGGATACAATTTGCCACAAATTCTCCATGCACCATTTTTGTCTGATAGATGTCTTTCTAAAACTATAAAATCTAATAGCTCTCTAGGTTCTTCAGAATCTCCAGCGATCACTCGTCCATTTTGATCTTCGACAGCAAAAATCTAATATGAATATATTTCTATTTAGAATGTGGTGTACCTAATTAATGCATAAATTTGAATGAAATATATTGAAATATGCCAAACATGTTTTAATCCAAAATTTTCAGAAATATTTCCATGGAATGGTAGGTTAGAATTATTGTTGAAATTATCTATCTACATCATCAGTGCATCTCATAGATTCGCTACCACCAGACTATATACTTTGCAACAATATCTAACTGTTAGAAAACATAGTTATACAAAAATGTCTGAAACTAATTAATTTACTCAAAGAAGAGGCTGATTGTTTATTAAAATAACTTGTTGAAGTTAATCTTACTTGCTTTATTTTTAATCGCACGACAACTTGAGCAAAAAGATTGTCTTTTATTTCCATTGAAGATATGACTGCATAAACAATCATGGCGCTCCATTGATGAAATAAAGCGCCAATGAAACTTTCTTTTGGCATCAAAAATTCCTTAACAAATCCCTGCCAAACAAGCAAATATGTTGTAGATGATAAAGATAATTTTAATAAAATATATATTCATGATTAGAGAACCCAAACAGTTCAATTAAAGCAAAAAATTACCTACATAATAAGCATTAAGCGTTGTATTTTCAAGAAGACCTTTCATATCACCTCTAGGAAAGTAAGTAAGGCATAACTTTCAATTTTCACTACACAATGTATAATACTTAGCAAATGATGTGAAATGCTTTTTCTTACTTTGTCAAGCATTCATTGACATCAATAAACAGTTTTTCTGCTTCTTTTGCAAACTCTCTCACTTTAAATGGCTTCACAGATCTTTTTATCATTCCTATGCTAAGTTAATGGGTGGAAAGTTATCTTAAAATGTGATTTATTATTATTGCTCAGTCTGGAAATTAAATTGTATTTCTTAGTTGGCGATCCTTAGTTGGAACTGAGGAGTTATTGCTTTGTGAAAAACAAGCAATGATTGATGATAAAAGATCATCAAAAAATCAAGAACCTTAAGCTCATGTAAGTTTTCAAATTATTCAATGAAAAAAACAACAAGTAAAAGTAAAACAGGCTTTACCTAATACACATAGTATACATGGCTGTGCAACACATTGCACAGCAAGACTTGTTAATCACTGAGTTATGAAGCTTAACACTTAAGCTCTTGTACAATGCTTTTATGAAAAAAAACTTTGGTGTGCACACAAAGACATAATTTCTAAACTTGATAATTATTAATGTAGAATTCTCATTCACCTGTATGTTGATATTAAAGTATCTTTAAAGGACTGCCATCTCTGTCTCCAACCCTAATGAAGCACACATTAACACAATAAGATCCATTATGATGACATTATCATAGGAAGATATTAGTTTTTAATTTGGGTTTTCTCTTCCCTGTCCAGCAATACCTCAAAAGAAAAGATAGATGACTTTTTCAGAATTGGATTATACGATGAAAGCATTCCACCTAGCAGAAATCATGATGGAAATGTTGAGAAATAAATTCATGAAAGTATAGTATTCCTAACCTGACTTCATCAAAATACTCTATGACCATGTACCTATATTACGTATGTATACCTGTTACCTGTACTATCCATGACAATTCTGTTCTTATGTTCATTATATTTCATAAGTTTCTCTGGTATTTCCGGTTTTTGAAACAAGTTATCAGGTATTGATCGTCGCCTAGGGACTGTAACACTTCCACCGAATGAATCGTTGTCCCTTTGCTCTATGAATGGTGAATTTTTTCGTGGATACATTTCGAAACTTGAAATGTGAAGAAGACGACATTGCACAGAATTAGAGCATTTCGTTTTGAAAGGCAACAAAAGCTAAAAAACACACATATCATTTTCACGTAATACACAAACATTTTCTTTTATACAATTAAAAAAACTTACGGACCTTTCCATTTAATCGAATTACAGCAACATGTTTTGCGACAGCCATATTGGATTTATGAAAACGTCATGTAAGCTCGTTACATAAAATGATAAACACGTGACTCCGTGAGTGAATTGTGATCAATGTTTGTGATCACTACCAGTGGCCACTTTACAAAATTTTAGTATACAAACAATTGATTAACATAGCTGAATTAAAATTACGTTGGCTGAAGTCGTGCTGATATAATTAAACGCCATAGTTATTTTTATTTCATTGTATAGAAACAAAACGTTCATAGCAATTCTTCATAGTGATCTAAACATTCAATGAGACACTGAAGAAATCATAATTTTTCTGTCTTTGATGCTTAATATAATAATTCAATTTCTGTTGATTGTATTCTGCGAATGACCCGTTAAATGTAGACAAGACAAGAGGAGATAGGTTTCTACCAAAAGTTAATTGCAATGACAGTTTATGAATATTACTTGAAACAGTTTTCAACTCAGCTTGTCCGCTTTCAAAGGTTTTTAATCGTATTACTGTTATGCACATTTATCTGAACATATTTAAATGCACATTTATCTATTTAATGCACATTTATCTGAACATATCAAAATATTTAAGCCGAGACAGCAGTGTTTGCTTAATTAGCTTTATACATAGATAAGAATCTTACGTTTATTCAAGTTAGATTTGATGCTGGATTACGTTGAAAAATTTTTTTTACGTTCTATCAAAATTTTCATTCTGTTTGTCCTGGAAAGAAAACTGACGTGACGGTCAAAGGAATAAGACAACAAAATTTATTTTATCCTAGAGATGATCACTTTTTTCATGAGAAGAATTCTAGCTGTCTCTATTAATTAGTAATAGTAGAGAACCATAGAAAAATGGAGAACTGCTAGAAAAAATGGAGTTATAACTTGTAAACTGGAGTTTTCGTAATTGGTATGTGCCATTTATACGTGTGTCTCTATTAATCATATTTAAGGAAAATTTCAATCACCCTGAAACTGTGTGATCTTTTTCTATTTTTAAACAACCTTCTCTTTCATGATCACTGGCACCCTGTTCTTCATTGCTTTCGGAAAAATTAAAACGGTTATCGTGAATATTTACATCTGGTACTGTATTTATAACAATTTCAACCGTATCATATAAGTTTAAGATTTTAAATGCCAGAACGTTGAAAAATTTAGACATCTATATGTTAGACAAGAAAATATATGATTACTTCCTTCACACTTAGAATAAAATCACAGTTGATACTTTCATGTTGGCAGTGCTCTACAAAGAAAATATAATTTTTTTTTATCTCATGATACATATGTATTTTTCTCATATGGCTGATATGAGTTATCGTAGCCATTTTTTCTGCTAGCACCTGCGCATATCCTCATTCTTCATATCAGACAAACTCATCTTTATAAATTGTGCACTCACAGCGTACATTGCAAAATTGTAAGTGTGTCAAAGCCAATGATCAAAGCACTTTTAACGAGTAAAATATATTAAAATGGCGGAAACTATTGTTTCTAATCAGGTTGCAACTGTTTTAACTGGCTTATTTTCGATCATTTTTAGCTTCGGTGGATTGGCAAATTTTCTAGTTTTGATCACGCATATTGAATATCATAAAATCCTGTTAAAGGATTCCAAAGATATTTTCACATTTAGCTTGGCATTAAATGATTTTTTAATGTCGACAGTTGTAACCACTTTTCCTCTTTCTTCAGCAGTCAAAAAGAGATGGACAACAGGACAGTATGGATGCATCGTTTATGGCTTCACAAGTACTTGGATAGGACTTTCTTCAATGTTACAACTAGCTGCAATAGCTATTGAACGCTGTTATAATTTATCTCAGTTCTTGCATTATACAAGAAGTAAAGTTCGTGCAGTTTATACTGTTTTGTCTTGTTGCGTGATCTCATTTTTTGCAAGCTTGATGCCACTTTTTGGACATTCAAAATATACTCTTGAAGGATATGGCTTGCACTGCTCAATTGCTTGGGAACGATCACATATTTGGTATTGTTCATTTCTTCTAATTTTCTTTTTTGTTCTTCCTTTATTTTCAATAACGATATCTTACATCAAAATACTCCTTGTCATTCGTGGAATGCATGGAAAAGCAATTCAGATATGGGGAATAAATTCTTCGGAAACATTAAAGACTTACACTGCTCATGTGAAGTTTACCAAGCAGTTAATGGCTGTAACTTTCGGCTTTCTGATTGCATGGACACCATACGCTGTCATTTCTAGTGCGCATGTGCTAACCAATGTGAGATTTGAAAATGCATTATATGAACTGCCGACGATATTTGCAAAGACGGCAAATGTTTATAATCCTATTATATACTTCTTTATGTACAGAAGTCTTCGTCGACGCGTTTCTTTAGTTTTGCGGAGAATGATGAAAAGTGTAACGTCAAGGAAGTCACCAAGTGCAATAAATTCCATAATATATATTGGCAAATTTTCTTAGTTTTTACTTGGTTCATCTTTCCATGGTTATTAAATATTCAAGCTGATCCGGATCCATTTGTATCTTTGATCTAGCAACACTTCCAATGCAAACAGACGAGGAGTCAGCTGTTGGCGTTGATAATCATATATATATCTTCTAATCTTCTATCACTGTAAAGTACACCCCACTATATTCAAATATTGAAGCGAAGAAGGAGTTGTAAATTTTCCTTTCTAGACAAACCTCTATCTTGTATTCTGTACAGTGTGGAGTGTACAAATCTTTTAAAAGTTTGAAGTCACGTATTGTCTACTTTTGTAAGGTATGCCTTACTTCAGCAAACAGCCGAAAGCCACTGGCCTCTATTATTATAAACTCTCCTTTCCCCCAATTATGAAATATTTTCAAAAAGATATGATGTACAGCATTTTAATTTCATTTTTATAACTTGTAATTACAATTACGTTATGAAACTAACTTGTGTTCGTACAGTCATACTCTATTATAAACAGTGATTAACGAAACTATTGTTTTTTTTGCACACGCGCACCGACATGTATAACTGCAAGAAATCGTTAAGAGATTTTGTCATCAATCATCTAAACTATATGGAAATACGCCTTGTCACCCTTTACTGTTCACAAAAGCTCACTTTTCTTTCTAAACATGTCATTCCATTGTCTTCCCAAATTTGATTTCGATATTGATCTGAAACCAGTTCCTAATATGAAATTAATAATTTCTTGCATAATGTATCAAATGTTATGATCAAGCAAGCAAGCACGAAAGATACGTCGGTTGACAGTGTCAGTGGAAGTACCACAGTGGTAGCTAACTATCGACAAATAGTTACAAGGGCGTTGTTATAATATAATGAATATGGACCATACAAAACCTATACGGACGTGCTCCTTGTTTTTTCTCCACAAAAATATAATTTTGGTAAAGGTTTTTTCCAGTAAAATTGACTGATCATCACATGCTATGTTTAGCATGTATACTGGTTTATTGTATTGATCTCATCAGTACATAGAAATCAAATAAATTAATTGACCAAACGTGTGCTATTTTGCCCTTATTATATACGCTTGAGTGGCTGAGCCTGACCTGACAACAGGTTGTAATTATTATCATAATAATGTTATACGAAGTATTGCCTGATATAAAATGATAATATTTCGAAGGCTCGTATTTTATTGGTATAAATTCATGCCGTCAAACAACAACAACGGTGTAGAATGGAAAACACAGAACCCTTCGAATAGGCAAGCATACATAGTGCTTAACAACGTTGCGCTAGAACTGATAAACTTCTACTATTTTTGCCAAAATGAAATAAGTTCTTATGATTGAGAGTTCTATAAGAATTTTGGCTTGAATCTTGCGAGGGATGAACGTATTTTTAACATCTGTGTGAACTGCTTCCTATTTTATGAAGAAGCTTTATGACGCCAGTTCAAATGGGAAACATGGCGTGCACGATGCGTGAGCGACAGACGGCACGATATGAAAATTATCGTTGAGATTGGAGAATTTTGCAACAGCAAGTCTCGAGGAAAGCAAGTTTTCATTCAAGAAATTATTGCATTTTCTTGCTAAAAATTTTAAGAAATAGGTAAGTATATAATTTTAATACCTATCGGCCGCGAGTCGCAAACTTGTAAACAAAAATGTCACGTGATTTCTTTTCTTAGTAAAATGCTTGCCTCTCATTTTCGAAGTTTATTTTGTTAAATAATCTCCACTGATTCGTTTTCAATAATTCTTTAAAAAACATAATTAATTTTTTACGTAATGAAAATTTTGGTCTCTCAATTAAGTTCTTTATAACAATGTACGTAGGGTGTTTTGAACTGCTGTTAGAGTGACAACAATTCCCATAATTCCTGCGAGGAATGCTTGCGCGTGCGTCATGTGGCCAATTCAAGCATCATGGCGCTCGTTCATGGAGAAGGTCAAGATCGTTGGTATTTTCGAAAGAAGAACTGCAAAGAACACCTTCTGTGCTGTCTGGAATCGATTCAGCTAAAGAGCTAAGCTACAGGCAGCAGTCTGCCAATCTTATACAAGATATGGGACAAAGATTGGTTGTGTATCCTTTGTATAAAGTTCCCTAATGTAATATGTAATAAAAATTGTGTTCTTTGAAATATCCCATAGATGTTTCTGTCTAAAATATGAAAGTTTTACTTTTGCTACTGTTCTTGTTTGCCTTAACCAAAATTTTCCAAAACAGCTCTCAGCTTACCATAAATACGGCGATCGTCTACATGCACAGATTCTACATGTTTCACTCGTTTTCGGACATGAATCGCAATGTAAGTTCACGAACCTTTCCTATTTATGGTTTTAGTGTCTTTTAAAATGCTTTCTTCGTCATACTGTAAACTGGCAGAGTCTTGTGATCGTTTTAGCCCCATGTAGAAATGTCAAATTGTCAAAGGTCTAGATCATAAGTTGTTAAAAAGTATTTTAATTTGTAGTAATTTCTTCATATCATCAAAAAAAGTGAATTACGTAGCGTTCAAATGTGTCAAGTGTTTGTGTTTTTTGTTGGGATGATTATTTGACTAAAACACAACAGTTCACTTCTTCTTACATATTTGTTTATTTCGTTTGTTTATTTCAAAAGCTTGGTAAAATTATTATTGATTTGTAAACAACTGCTTTTCATCAGTTTTTAGCTTAAAAAGATTTTGTGGTTGGATTTTTCATGCTGTCAATGTGTGACATCTATTTGTAAATTTGTAATTATTATATGATGATGCAATCTTGATTTTATTTGGCTAAGAGCCCGCCAAAGTATTGGAAATTAACTGTAGGTGACATAGTTTTTAATGTGACAATTGAAAACACAAAAACTATTTTGGGGGAATCTTGCTTAGGATTTGCACGCATTTTACAACTGTTTTTGCTAAAATTATCGAGAATTAGACATAAAAAACATGGAAAGGGTTACAGTGTCAGTCAGAAGAGTTTTTAACATGTGTATTTACAGATGAAAAAGACTAAAGCTAACTGCAAAAATTATGTAATGTGGAAGCACCAAAAACTTTATGGTTTTTGTACAAAATAGTTTGAAAGTTTTTGCATTTATAATTTTATAATAAAACTATTATTGAATTTGGCTTTTGCATAATATCAAGAACTATTTAGATCTCAATCAACATTATCAGCTTCATCTTTGATTCTGTAGATAAGATTGACCTTGTTTGGAATTATTCTTGATATCATGCTTAACCTCATGCAAAATAATTGTTAATTATCATTTTGGGATAAGAATATCTTCCTTAATTTAGATGTGGAAACTGTAACTGGACATGATATGTCTCCATAAAACCATTAATTTTTTGAGTTAGGAAAGCGTTTTTAAGTATCGAGTATAAAATTTGATACAGAAAATTTTGACTGTGGTATGAGTTCACATTGTTTCTTTCTTTTTCATTGCCCTACATATTTTTATGTATATTTTCATTTCAAATTAGTGTGGTGATTAAAGTGATTTGTTATAGTTTTTACTTTGTAATCACCCAGACTATCATGGTTTACTTGATAAAAAGTATATGACTGTTGCCTGAACTGTTTTTTTAAATATTTTTGGTCGTAATCTAATTCTTAATATCAAGCTAATTTCAAACTAAGTTAACTAACCAGCTATAGCAAACTGCTGGTATACATTTAAAGAAACAGAAAGATTTTCCACGTTTCTGTAGAGTTATAGAAACACACAGGAAAGTATTTCTTAGCATTTCAAATTAGCCTTTAAAAACAGTATTTATTGATTTTACTTACATAATGATTCTATTTTTGTCATTTAAATTTCCAATGCTTACCATGTATCCTTTAGGACTTTATTAAGGCCGAACTTTATGTGCTCCTATAGAGTTGTGGAAGCATGGGCTTCTTGAGAATTCAACCAATCGGTGCTTGTTTTTCAAAAGGCTATTTTGTAAATATTTATGTAACTCTTTGTAGTAGATCATAAAGTTGTCATAATTGCTGTATTCTGAGATAGTTCTTAGGGAATCTGCACCCCTTCCTGTCAGATGAGTATGGATTAACTTTTTCTTTTAATTAATGTGTAGGATATTGCTCCATGTTGTTTGTTTCTGTCTGCAAAGCTTGAGGAACAACCAAGAAAGTTGGAACATGTTATCAAGGTTGCAAATATATGTCTTCAGAAAAATGACAATTTGGACCAAAAAAGTGAGGTACCGTATCTACAATAATAAGTGAAGACCTAAAAAAATTTTACTTTTTGTGTTGACTGGTATTTTGAGGACCTGACAGTAGTTACCTTCAGATTAATGTAAGTAGTAACTTGTACTTATAGTCCTTGGTTGACTATGACAGAGACTACTGCTAAGGTTGTTGAAATGTCAGTCAACATCTACACCAACAGTTTTTGTCAGGACTCGACTAAGCTAGACGATATACATCTTCAAAAAGTTTTAATATGCATGCTTGACGTGTAGTAAAGCATTATATGAATTGCATACTCCTCAAGAATGTTGTGTATCTTTGTTTACTGAAAGCGAGGGAAACCATGTATTCAGTCAATTCAATACTACCATTTATTCAATTGTTCTTTGTTTACATGGTTACTGTTAAAGAAGAACTTAAAATGTTCGAGAACAAACTTACAATAGCTGGGCGATAGTGTAAATTTGTGCTAATAGTAAACATTGTGGTTGCTGAGGAAATGAAGATTTAAGGGACTGCAGTATTTAGGCGCATAGAAGACACTTTTTCTCTCATTTTCAATCAATTATTGATAATCAATTAATCATCAATTGAAATTTGTAGGCATTCCAACAACAATCTCAAGACCTTGTTATCAATGAAAGCATATTGCTTCAAACTTTAGGTAACGTTTGCACAATTTAGAAGTATATACTTAGCATTGTGATGTGTTAATATGGTTTGAATTTGACATTTATATGTTTATATGTTTGAATTTGACATTTATATGTTTATATGTTTGAATTTGACATTTATATGTTTATATGTTTGAATTTGACATTTATATGTTTATATGTTTGAATTTGACATTTAAATGTTTATATGACATTTATATGTTTGTATGTTTGAATTTGATATTTATATGTTTATATGTTTGAATTTTACATTTATATGTTTATATGTTTGAATTTGGCATTTATATGTTTATATGTTTGAATTTGGCATTTATATTTCTATTGAGTTGTTGACTTATTGGGTTTTTTTAAAGTTTTTAAATTTTATGTAGGTTTTGAACTTACAGTTGATCATCCCCATACACATGTGGTCAAAATTACACAGTTAGTTAGAGGTGAGAATGTTTCTAGATTCAATGTCTACACTACTTTCTTCTCCTTGTAAATCAATACAGGTCAGTATATCTTATTAAACTGACAATTGCATATGTTTGACAGCAAGCAAGGATCTTGCCCAAACGTCATACTTTATGGCCACAAACAGGTAAAGTAGTTAGAAAATTAGTGGCTTTGAATCTTGTACATGGAATTATGGGATGAATTTTAGTAGCAAAAAATTGTACAACTTGGTTGCAATGTTCTGTTGCTCATTTTGATTTTTAATGAAGAAATCAAAATCAAGAAAACAATATTGATAATGTCCTGTTTTTTCATGTTAAGGAAAATCAAGGTTGAAATTATATAATGTGTAGAGTTGTATCATGTAACAACATATAATGTTGGGGGAAAAGCGTCATCTTTTTCATTATTTTGATATTCATGATTGCAATTATTAATGCCATCAGATATTTTTGACTTTATGTAATAATGATTATTCTAATACATGTTTTGTAGCTGGTGATAATTTATTTGCTGTTTTTAGTTTTTCTTAATCTGTGACTTTTACATATTTTTATTTTTTCATTGAATTTCTTGTCCTTTTTTTCTAGTCTTCATCTTACTCCATTTTGTATCCAACATAAACCTTCCGTCGTTGCCTGTGTTTGTATTCATTTGGCTTGTAAATGGTCAAATTGGGAGGTATGTAAAATTTCTCATAATTGGGCTGTTTTATATGATTTCGATTTTAAAGTGTACCAGGTATTTTTTACTTTTACTGCCAACACATGGTATACTTAGTGAGTTTCCTGAAAATTTATCTTGCCCATTGGCAATTAACAAGGAATGGCCAATGCAAGTTGTGATTTTCGTTCTTTTGAATTGCAAGCAAAAAAAGAATTTTCTTGCAAAAGTTCTGTGATTTGTGTTTAGCAAATGCTGTAACGTATGACAGCTGTTGCTATTGATGTTTAAAAATTTTAGTCATGATATACTTGCCTTTTGCTGAAATGTGTTTCTAAAGGCCTACGTGTTTCTTTAAAGAAGTTAATTTTTTCCAGTTTCCCCGATCCAGTGATAACAAGGATTGGTGGGAGTATGTTGATCCTAACGTAACTAAGGAAACTCTCGACAGTAAGTTTTTAATGCATTTCTCCAGTATACACGTATTTAGTACGGTTTCCTATCTTACGCTTCAACACTTAAGTTGGTACCCATTTCGCACTACGTGATGTAAACTTGAGAAATTTAGATTCTAGAATAAAGTTAGTCTCGTAAATCGTCTCGTGTAAAATGCTTATTTTTGCTTTTTATAGCGATATGTCAGGAATTTCTTACCATTATTGAAAACTGTCCCAGCCGATTGAAAAGAAGAATTAACAATGTGACCATTTACAAGGTAATAAGATGTCTTTTGAAGAATTTCTTACAACACACTGTGTAGTATTTCATTTGTCAAATAGAGTGTAGTTAAATAACTTGTTCTTTATATTTTGGGTATATGATGTGACGGAAATGCCGCTTCTGACGGTCGTTAGAATCAGGGGGGAAATATCATAAAAAGCGGGCTTTACAGGACATGAGGTGTTTAAGGGTATTTTAAAATGAAATTTATTTTTAGGGCGGTCATCGAACAAAACCTGGTGAAAAAAGTAGTGGTAATTCTACTTCGACAAATGGGGACGCCTCTAAAGTGAAGGGAAAATCTCCCCATAAAGAAGGGTCTTCCACTAAACGAGAGCAATCGAGCAGTGAAATATCTAAAGTTGAACACGTGATCACCACGGAAACACCCTCTAATCCTTCCACCGAGCGACCAAATGATGTAATATCTAGTAATAATAATAGCACGTCTACGGTACGAATCACCGAAAATGCTGCCGTAGTGGAAACACCAACTTCAACTGTAATGTTACCTGCACTCCAACCTCTCACTACGAAGTATGCCAATATGCCTGGTTTGTCATCCAATTCTACTGAGCACCAATCTAAGAGTTCGAATGTTCATCAAAAGGGTCCTAGTGTCAATAAAAATAAAACAATTCCAGGAGTAAAGCATAAACATCGTGAACATGACGAGTCTGACTCTCCTGCAAAGAAATTGAAAACGATCTCTTCCATTTCGTCTCACAGTTCACAAGCCAAACATTTGCAACGTCCGTCTTCTCAATCAAAACATAGTTTTCACCATACGTCATCAAAGCCAAGCTCCCACGCCATGTCGAGCTTGCATCACAAGGCTCACTTAAAGAGTGGGAGCTCGGGCCAACATCACAACAATTTTTCACCTAAAGTTATAAATAAAAATGCTTCACATGCTCAACACAGTGGCTCACCAAAGTTGCCTGTCCGCAGTAGCTCAAGTCAAGGAAGTTCCGCTGTTCATCACAGTTCAAGCAAACGTCAAAACCATTCTGGTGTTCCTCAAAGTAGTCACTTACATCATCGCTCAAATGGTAATAGAGCTCTAATGCCATCGTCAAATAAACATTCAGGCTCTCCTGGGCTAGTTAAAAAGCTCAGTGAGGATCGTCATAAGAGGCCTCCATCCGCTTCTTCAAGACCTAAACCAGAAATAACAGGATTTGGAACGTCATCTGGTTTTCGTTCTAGTGAAATGGACAAAGGAAAGAAATATTCTGGCGAAGAATTTTTTTCTCCACCTGGGCCACAACGTATGCCATCATTACCAACTATGCCACCGATGAACTTTGAAAAGCTAAGATCAAACAACGCACCACCTTTACCCAGCACTGATCAAACTAACCCACCTCCTCCACCTTTACCATCAAACCATCCTCCATCACCACCACCACCTCCCACGTGATTGCTAAAGTTACTTTATTTTCAAAATCTGTTAGCAGTAATTCGTGTGCGGAATTAGAAATATGAGATGTAAGTTTCTGTGGTCTGTTGTTCAATGAACTTGAATTGAACATTTTTACAGGGAAAATTATAACTTACACCTGGGTGTCTAGGAACTTTGTTTTGAACAACTGGCCTTTTAGACGTGTTGTGTCATTCTAAGTAGAACGATGAAGCTACGGTAAATATATATGACCCTGTTTCACAAAAGTAGGTCACTCCACAGTGGAGGTAGAGGGCTCCGATCACCTCATTTGCGAGAGGTAATACATTATCACTAAACTTGACTGTGGTCGAAGTAAGTAAAACGAGCCAATTCATGCGCAATTAGAAGCTTATTTACAATAGTAACACAAAAACCTTGGGTTAAATAACCCTTGATAATTTAATTGCTTCAATTCATTACGATGTCCCACTACAGGCCTTGTGATACGGGGCCATAACTGAAGTAGTTTTGTCTCTCTTTTAATGCATTATGGAAAGAGCAAAAGAATGCCTAGCGTTACCGCCGTTCTTTACATAAGCAATTGCTGCAGTACACAATACATTTTGTGTCTTTGTGTCGGCCTGTGTTAAATTACTACGATTTGTTGTGGTAACGTTAAGTGAAGACATTGTCTCGTAAAGATAAAGTATTTGGAAGTAAAACGCAATTCAGCATTTGCAACAGAAATTTGCCATTTATAGTACAAGGGCATGTTGTCGTTAGATGACGAATTAATAAACGGTAGATAAATTGTTTTCAAGTCGATGCGATGATCACACAAGAGGTTAATGATAATTCCAATATTGTTGTAATCGATTGCTGCAATAAAATGCTATTATCTCCAAAATGAGTTTTTATTACTTCGTACTTATAGAATGCGATATTAGAGTTAAAAAATGAGTTTTAAAACCTAAAAATTTGCAACTGAAAAAGGTCGCTCTATTGCGATTTGTGTTTTGTTGGTCGTTCACTTCCCACTGATTTCAATTAGATAGCAACACGGGACGGAAGGGATGGGAGGCAGCAAAAACTACCTCGAAATCGAATAAATTTCTAAATACTTTAACAATAAAGCAATAACCACTGCAAGTCTGCATTATCTTTCTTTATGGTAATCTCGTGATCCCGTAGTCTACCGCTGCAACTACTCCAACTGCGCGGGCTCAACTACTACAAGGACATTTCATGAAACTTACTTGATAAGTGAAACAATTCATCAAAACAAAAATTAAAATTGACCGCTAATTTGTAATCTTTATAGTGTAAGAGATGGGAAAGTTTGTGGATCGCTTTTGGGTTTGTTTATTGTATATATATCCACTAGTTCTCTTTATTCTAGATTGTTTCTCTCGTCTGGCCGAAATTTTGATATTACGACATTTCTGATCTTTACCTTATGTCAAAATAATTGACAATATAAACTTTTTGTGTCATAATAAGCATGTCATTATATTTTTCAGGATGTGAAAAGTTTTGACGAGCTTCGGAAGTATTGTCGTCAAAGTAATGATTTTTGCAAAGACGTCTGTGCCATACTAACGTCTCGGTGAGATATTATTTTATGTTTATTATTTTATATACTAACGTCTCAGTGAGATATTATTTTATGTTTATTATTTTATATACTAACGTCTCGGTGAGATATTATTTTATGTTTATTATTTTATATACTAACGTCTCGGTGAGATATTATTTTATGTTTATTATTTTATATACTAACGTCTCGGTGAGATATTATTTTATGTTTATTATTTTATATACTAACGTCTCGGTGAGATATTATTTTATGTTTATTATTTTATATACTAACGTCTCAGTGAGATATTATTATGGAGCGCAATATTTTCCACAATTGTTGTCAAATATTTAAAATCATTAACATCAAGGAAATAAAGAAATTCTTGTTAATGCATATGTTTATTACTTAAGTGGCTGCATATGTTCATGTGACATCAATATGTGGCATGTCTCAAATGTCACATGTTGAAGAAGCTGACATAAGGAACATGGTTAAAATTCACATTGCGTACCTGAGAGCTGTATTTGTAACATGCTATATTTATCATTGAATTTTGATTAACAGAAGCTTAAACAAAGTAAATGGTTTGAACCCAAAAGTATCAATACATGTTTTATATGTAGATCATATAGGTTAGTGCAATCCTGAGAAGGATAATTGGTGTTGGGATTGACTGATGTTTTGACAGTCTTAATGGTAGTAATGACTTATGGACCAGCCAACAAATATGGCTAATGTGGCATTTACTTCTCACTTGACTCTGAAAAAGACTACCTATTAAGGATGTCAAAATGTCAGTGAAAACCATCACCAACACTTCTTCATGGGAGTGCACTATCCCAGATGGTCTACTTTACTTTGATATTCATTATTAATCATTATGCATGTATTGGAAAAGGGTAGGCACCAGCGGTTATAACCAGGGGCAAATGTTAAGTTGGGGAAGGCTCATATGGTTCAACTTCATAGTTCTTGAAGTTTGCATAATTTCAACTTTACTTTATTGAAAATTCTGTTCAGAAAATTGTTTCTGAACATTTATGGACTACATATTTCAATGTAAGTTTGAAAATTGGTGATCCCGGCATTTAATATATAAAAATGAAAGTTTCTCGGATTGTTTTAAAATTATTTTATTTAAAACAATTGAGAAACTTTCATTATATATATTTCAATGTATATAGACTATATAAACTTATAAAACTATATCCTTCCATATAGATGATGTGTTTAATGTAACGTTTTACTGAAGTTGTGTATTAAAGTTTAAAATGTAACATTTTAGCAAAGTTTGAATTTTTTTCACCAAATCTACTCTGGTTTTAATTGTTCTAGGTCAAAGCTAGAAATAACATATGGAGAAAATTTGGCACAGTTAGCAATAAAAGCTTCAAAATGTGGCAAAGATCTTGTTGGGTTTGTTGAATTAGTTTTTATTGATTTTAATACTGAGAAAATTTTTAATTGTGGAGTTAACATGTCTTTATCAGATACAGACTATAATCTTTAATATAATATGTAGGAGTCTGAAGACTGCTTGGACAAGTTTGGTTTCTGAAATAGAAAGTGAAGCAGAGATACACAAGTCGTAAAGTAAATATGTAGCACAAAAGTAAAATTTAACCTTTTTTGCCTTTTTGAAATATTTTTTGTACCTTCAGAGATTTGGCAGGAAAGGTGAATGATGAGGCTGTGAAAGAACTAAAATCTTTCTTAGATAATCAATTGAAAACAAGAAAACCAGTAAGTGCCATTTTAGGAAATTTCAAGAATTTTATGTAAGGAAGTTAGAGTGTTTAGTTAATGCACTACAAACAATAAGATTTTGTGTTAAGGTTAAAATATTCAAATATAGATCATGATTGCTGTACCATGTATTTATTATTACTGAATTGTTAGGAAACAGTTATTATACAGCACATTGATTTGATATTGTTTAATTGTTCAAATGTGTGTCCAATAATACAAAATTATTGAATTTGACATTTTGGTAAAAACAAAATTTTGTATGGAAAGCATCTCAAGATGGCATGTGAACTTAGACATTATTTACAGTCTATGTTGGGTAAATAATTTACCTTATTCTAAGTGGAGAAACTTGTGCAAGTAATGGCAAGAAGCATGTTGGGGCGAAGTACAAGTTGTTTGTCTATACAACGGAAAAGAAATAAAATAAAACTAGAAGTGATACATGTCGATTGATGTTTTAATCAGACAATCTACTTACTATGAAGAACGTCGTTGCCGCAACTCAAAGAGATTGAGACTTTGATAATAAGTCAGTTTGTCAATAATTGTGATTCTATCCGTCTTTGTTTCTGTTAATTTTCAATAATGCTTGCACAGGGTAAAGATAAAACAACTTAAACTTACTGAACATGAATAATTACGAATCAATCCAACTGAATCTTGACGATGAGACAACCATGAAACTATTCATAAATAAAAAATAAAACTAACGGAACTAAAACCTAATCACGAGATACAGACTGTTGACCCTCAGGAAATCAGCTATTGACCTAACATATGTACATCCCCTCCGCCGAAATTAGTTTATGCAAGTGTCGTACAAGTATGTTCTATGTTCCCTTTGTTTTTGATTTTCCTATAAAACCGTCTAAAATTATTAAATTAAAATATTAAAAGGCCATTGCATAAGTATCTTTATCCCATAAGCAATCCGATGTCAATATAGAAGTCAAGCGAAAACCACAGCAGCTTTTACCTTTTATCAGTGACAACAAAGAACTCAACCATTTTTACGGTGTGGACACTTAACGTACTCCTCCAGTGGTTATTCAGTTCAAGTTTTAAACTGTATTTTAAGAAAGTTTTTGAGAAAAAAAAAGAAAGAAAAAAAGTGAAATCATCAAGATTGAATCCACACAACCAGCTATGTGATGTCTGTACAAATGAGCTAGAAAAACACGGCGTTTTTCAAAATGGACAAATCTTCAGGATCATGATCTACCTTGCACATGCTAAATTGCTTGAATATCGATTTTGTTTAAATGAAGCCAGGACTACGATGGCTAAAAGCAGGCCGTATTTTAGAGATGTTAGGCAAAAGAATTTTAACTTTCAAGTCAACTGTAAAATGACATCTAAATATTTGCTTTGTTTCATTTGTTTACAACAACTCCAATTTTCAATTAATTGAGAAGTGATTGCAAGGGAAACGAGTATTCTTTGGCGATTGGCAGTTAGAAAATAAAATTGGCTGGCAAAGTTTACTTGGTCAGTCATATTTTTTCCTATTTCAATCCCTCAACGAAGCATTGTTTAACGTCTTACAATTAGAACTGGTTACTTATATCAAATGCTGATCGTCTTTGCCATCTGATATCATGTTGTTCTAACTATTTTGGAAATCAAATCATTTCATTCACAAGAAATTTCAATGACATCATGATATGATGTGTCGTTGGTGAATCAATAAAAAATGAAAAGAATGGAAATAGAATCAATAGATTTGAAATCTAAAGGGATTTCACGATAGTTACAATCTTACAATGATAGATCACCGGTTACCAAATGGCAAAACCTTTGAATACTATTCTTAAACGAAGACTCGTCATTTAGACGTGCAATTACATTGAACTGAAGTCTTTGGTCCAGCGTTTTTATCATTATATCCAACTTGAGTTCCAAAGCCAGCAAAGCATCTTTCTTCATCTAAAAAGTAGAACAATATTTTATCTCATTGAGTGAATTAAATTTATGAAGATGCAAAGGTGTCAGGTTTTGCATTTTTTGTTAACTAATCATCACTTCATCCACAAAACTGAACAAATTCTACGACAACTTCTTTTAGCCTTTCATACTACACATGAGTGCGATTCTATGATTATACAGAACAAAATTCAATTTTTTTATAGCAATAAAAAATTATGGTAAAACACCTACATTCAATTCAATGGTATATTTTTTGGTTTAGGTCGAACAACAAGTTGAAAAATCGGTTAAATTATATACTGATAAAAGAACAGATGAGCAAAAGGTAAATAGTTCGTTATATTTTGCTCTTCTTAGACTTTGTCCTACATATATGATCTTTGAAATTGTTTTCAACAAATTATTTTTAACCTGTTGTTTGTATGCTAAATGAAGGCGAAGAAAAGCTCTCACTTGAGAGCTCGTGATTATGAAAATACAATGGAACAATTTGAAGATGCAAAGAGTGGTAAGAAAAAAGTTGTAACTGAGAAAGAACTATCCAAGGTGAATATTGCTCACGTTTATCAAATTGTAATGTTCGTCAAGAAGAATTTAAGTTTATAAATTTAAGCCAAAAATATTCGAAATCAATGCTTTCTTTTTGTTTTTATATAACGTCTATAAAAGTCTATTTTATAATCAATACAAAGTCGCATTCGCTACTAGTAGTGTACAATAATATAGGAAAATTTAAAAGTTCTGTTATGGATGAAATTGCGTTGAAACGTCGCAAATTTCTTGAGTTGTTTTTCCTTAAGTGGTCAGAAATCATATTTTATTTTATTTTTCGGGACATTTGGTCTCAATCTGACGTAGGTACTAAAGTTTGAAATATTTATCTTTTCCAATTGTTTGTAGAATGTAAATTTGACCACTTTTCCGATCTACATTTTTGCTATTTTAGTTTTCGAATTTCATGTCAATGCAGGAATGGTCTTAATTCTCGCTTTTTTATCTCGCCCTTGTAGCTCGAAGCAAAATGTAAAAAGGCCGCCAGTAACGTCGAAAAAGCTGGTTAGTTTTTGCTAAATAATGTATGTAGACAGTTAATAAAAGTATGTGTTATCTGGGTTTCAAGGCTGCATGATGTCTGTAATTTCGAAAAAATATTGTTTATAATTTTGATATGACAATAACAGTTAAGACCTACAAAGAAACTGTTACAAAGAAAAAAAATTTGGATCATAGTTTACTTGAACTAGCTGTATAATAATTATTGTAATTGACGGGGGTACATTTTCTATGGCTTTCCCCCAGTGTTCTGCCCGCTGTTTATTTTGAAAAAAAAAAGATACACAATTTGGTATTATTTGCGTAGAACTAACTAGGAATGAAGAATTGACAAATTACTGACTCCCCATGCTGGAAAAATTGGCATTATCTTAACTTGATTCTTCTTGGTTTCTCAGATCGTGAGTATAAAGACTTTAATTTAAAGGCAGAAAGAGGACGAATTGAGCTATCATCTGCGATTCGCAGATTTTCACAGGTACGTATTTAGCACGTCTTCCGTTATTAAATAAACCCAGATCATCTTCATGATCAAATATGATGGAATGATTCGGTTAGGTAATCTTATACGTAGCTAATATTATATGATCGTTATCTAGTGCTTTCAATAGGAACTTACCGAATTATTATACGTGCAAAATTTATTTGTATGAATTCTTATGAAAGCGAAGTCAGTTTATTCCCAAAAATAGTAGACAATGATTAATGCAATGCATGAATGGTGTTTTACATGATTTTGACACGAGAGCTCTATTTCTTTATTGTTAAGGTGTGCGAGACAACTGAACTTGAGAGGGTACAACATTTGAAGGACCTATTTGTCAAATATAGTGAGATGCTTGAAGGGATCATACCACAGAAGCAAAAGGTAAATGTTGTAAGGGAATACTTATCTGTTTTCTTCAATAAAATATTCATTCTGCATGTAGTATATGTTTTTCTCGTACTAAAGCAATGTTTTATCATAATATTGTAGTGCTATTCATCCATCAAGAATGAATCATCATTAGTAGATCCATATAACGACGTTGAATCCGTAGCAGATCAACGAGGAACAGAACGCGAAGCTGCTGAACAAACATTGACGGATTACTACGTTAGTATGTCATGATAATTTCAAAGAGTGATATCCTTTGGTGTAGATTCAGCTTATTATTTTGTTCGTGTATATCTTTTTTTAAATTTTTGAAACAAACAACAAAGCCATCATGAACCGGCCTTTCATTAGAATTTGCGTGTGTGACATATTCATTTTCTTTACAGGAAGAAGATCTTCAAAATACAATGGATGTTGAGAGAAGAAGAAAAATGCTTGAAGAGAAAGTTCGAAATCATACCATTGATCTGAAAAGAGAAACAAAAGCCAGAGAGGGTATACTATTACATTCACCAATATCACATATTTATTTGATTGCTCGATTATCAAGATCTCCTTAATACGATCATTTATCCAAGACATTTAATTACAGGTATAGCACATCTTTTCAATGTTTACGAAACAACTCCAAATTACTCGGACGAAGAGGGAACAATGAACGTCGCTGAGCAGTTGACTGCAGTGAGTTATAGTTACGATAAGCTACTTTTTATCCTTTTCACAAGCTTTTACCCTGCTTAAAGTTGGTGCTGTGCAAAATCTTGTGTGAAAGAGGGGGGGGGGAGGGGTTGTTGAGTGGTTCCTTCAGCTCAGGTCCTCTGGCTTCTGTGCACAGCTTTGCCTACGGTGTTTAGTTGAAGAATTTCCGACTCCGACAAACAGTAGTATTCACTTGTTTTCACTTTTTTATTTCTTAGGCGGATGAAGTCATAAATAGTTTGGATGGAAGTTTATACAAATTAAAATGTGCATTAGCTGAAGTAAACGGACAGCAACCATTAAGTCACAGATTATCATCGTATATTCAGACCGTCAAAGATAAACAGGTCAGTATTTTTTTCTCGTTTACACCACCAGACTACATACAATACAGTCATAAAGATTGCGTGGACATATGGCAGTACTTTGTTTTGATGGGTTTACACATATAAATTACAATAAATCGTTTTAGTTGTCTAAATATTGAATGTTCGTGAATGGCGAGCAATTGTTACTCGTTCAAGAAATCAATTGTGTATGTTTAGGGGCTTGTTCAAAGCTTCCTTAAAATACCACCGGACGAAGTCTCCACTGCGCCATCAAACTCGGATTTTACAGATAATGTTGTTGAAAATTATGCAAGCGGTAGGTCTTGTTGTTCTACGTTATTTAGCTTAGCTAGGATAAAGGTGTGCGGGTGAAAATTGAAGGATAAAATTATTGCACACTTGTTATGAACACGTAAGTTTAGTGTACTTTTTATCTTAAGCAATTTATTTTTTATGATAATCTTGGTTTGTAATGTTATAGATAATGAGTTCGACGACTCCTATGCTCAACCAGGTAAAAACTGACATGCATATTTTTGAGGTGCAATTTCAAGTAGATACTTTTCATTGATTGTAGACAAAGATGTATACCATTGAGTTGTTAGAGACAAATTTAATTTATCGATAAAACTAATATTTTGTGAACTATTGATTTGCAAGACATAGATTTTTTCGTACATCGAGATATTCTTTGTATAAAAAAATGTTTTAATATCGTCAGGCTACATTGGTCAATGTGCTGCAGTCTATGATTACGATGCCACTCAAAGTGACGAATTAACGATAAGGTCTGGTGACGTCATTGATATCGTAGAAAAACAGGATTCTGATTGGTGGCTAGGTCATCTTAATGGCAGAACTGGAATATTTCCGGCAATGTACGTCGAGGAAATGAAATAAGGAGGAAAATTGGTATGATTGAACTTACTAAGATAAAAAATTAATGAAATCGTCCATTTAGTGATCCAATAATTTTTTTCTTTTGCATGAGTTCTCATATGGAAAAGGTCATTAGAATTAAGGTTTCAAACATTTTGGAATGTAGAATTTCTAGGTTGACAATTGAAAGATTGACGCTTTTTTTGTGCCAGTCTTTGTAAGCAAAACAAAGCACAGCAACTTTGCATGATTTTTAAATGTTACCTTATTGACATTCGATGAACTTCAGGAAAAGATATAATTTATGAAAAACTCGACTGATTGAATTGTATTATTGTTTGAAGTTGTTATCTCAATGTGCTTTTAACAACTGCTTCTAGAATAGTTAAAAAATACTTAATAAAAGTGAATTTTTTTGTAATTAATATTCATACTTTACATTCTCAAGGACAATAACTAGTGTTTATAGGACTTTACTGCCCAAGTTTACGTATAATAATGAACAATACTACTTCCTTAAATTATAAAATCAATTTGCATGGTAGACTTTCAAGAATATAAATAGTTTACATTATCTGTGTGTATCACTTTTTGTGGGCGATTTATCTGCTGTAGCATGAATTTGCAACCTTTTTTCTGCCGTTCGATATCAGTTTGACCAGAAGTATTCCGAGACAAATTAAATCAGTGAAGATGAAAGCCAACCCTTGGCTCACCTTACGTTCTCCGTGGTTAGCACTATTTTCCACCCAGCAAACCGCCCTTTACTTTACACAATCGTTAATAAATTAAAGATGGCGGCTAATGGGAAAGAACCAAAAGGTAAAAGGAAACCATGCATGCACTGGTGCTAGGTCGTTTTGAGATGGCGAGTAATTTTATATTTTTATCATACAGTTTTTAATATCAACATATGAAAATATTTACAGGTAAATGTTGCAGTATAAATTTTCATGCAACCACCTTAAGTCATAAACTTATAATCCAGGCTGGAAAATATGTCGTTTTTCGACGATTGTGTAAAATATTATATAAAATATTATATTGTGTAAAATATTAGATTGTGTAAAATATTATATTGTGTAAAATAATATATTTCAAATAAAGGGCGGTTTGCTGGGTGGAAAATAGTGCTAACCGTTCTCCGTTTGGACGATTAGAACGTGTATCTTGTAAACACGTTCAAGATTATGTCACGTGCGTTTGTTAGTTGTTGTGTTAATGTGTTTTCTTTGACATTTTTCAAGCATTATAAATTGTTGGCATGTATTACAGAAACAAATAAGTTGCAAATAGTTAGCGAAAATGGATAATAGAGTGTTGTGGTATCCTGGTTGCCCGGATAAGTTCGTAACTTTGGTCATGGTCAAGATGTAAAATTGTATAAAGTTGTTTGTATATCTGAGGTAAGTTCATGGTTCCATAGTTTAATATTGCTTCACAAGCAAAATTAACCGTATGATATCTCCCCTAATTTTAGTTTTAAATCAAGGCAAACCTTTACATCTTCTATGCACAGTTATCAACTTTTAGCAATTTCGTTGATTTGATTTAGAATTGCGTTGTTCCAATAAGGCAATGACTGACCTCAAAACTCATTACTCCACATAGCATGATCAAAAATTTAGACTCTTTGCGTGCATTCTTAAATTTTAACTTAGTTCAAATTATTTTATAGTTTTGGGAAAGTACGTTGATTTTCAACGAGTTTGTTGCGATAGTATAAAAGTCATATAAAGCAAAGAAAAGCAAAGCAATCGGCAGTATTAGATTATGAGCAATCAAAAAAGTTTGATTCATATCAGATTTTCAAAATATACAAAAAATACAAAGCAAATCAAACCAGCTTTATTGTACGGTATGCAATGGCACAGCCAGCACCAAGCAATTGAAGCATATATGCTAAATTACTCTTTGAGTGATCCAGTCACACCACACATACAAATTCTCCATTTATAAATTGTGAAAGAAAATCTCTTCTTTTCCAATATTAACAGGTGCTAGAGAGGTAGCAATAATATTTTTTGCTGTTACACAATGATCAATCTCACTTTTACCGTGAACTTTGTAAAACCACATCTTCATACATTAATATGTGAATATTTTCTGTTTCACATTAATTAAATGCAAAAAATTACGAAAGAGTCAACAATCAAACAAACTAGCTGTGTGATTGTTAAGATCCTCTTGATGGCATCATAGTTTTAGAAACAATCTTATCTTTCAGGATTCTCAACAACAATTAAATACCATAGGAAATAATGGTAAGAATGACTTGAATTGTTTCATAGATTTTAAACCAAAATATCCACTTATTCCTTAAAGATTTACTTCAGCGTTAATGTTGTAAATCCACAACAACCATCGTCTGGAAGGCTTTTAGTGAAATTCATAACTTTTAAATTCTGCTTTTATAATATATTACATAATAACCAGGACAAGCAGACAATTTCAAATAATACAAAATAAAGCAAATTCGAAGAGGACATCTCGTTTTCTTGATATTCAAGATATTACAAGAGTTTGAAACAAAATAATGTGTAATATTTAGTCTTTATTCCAAAGACATCATCAGACTTATGAGACTTATAAGTCTGATGATGTCTTTAATAAAACAAATATTACATTATTTGTTTCAAACTCTTTAATATCTTGAATATCAAACAATGTCCTCTTGAATTTTTTAATAATATAATATATTAATGCATAATACGTATGAATGTTTTGCTTACCCACAAAATCATATTTTTAATTGTATTCTTTAATTGCTATTTAATTGTTAGAGGTCAGACGTATAATTCAAATTTTATAGACATCAAAATTTCTGCTGAATGCTATGGAGTTCTTGTATCAAGACTGTCTCATATATCTTATAGGGTGATTATTAAATTAGCATGTTAAATATTGCATCTATATTTTCTGGTTGAACAGTGAAAGTACATCAATAATTCATGCTGCTTGTTGCATTTTGTTGTTCTTTCTTTCATTTCTCTCTGTTTCTCTGATATCATCCACTGTTGTGCTAAATGTTGCAACCTACTAATGATGACAATAGTATTTTAAGTGCAATATCATGTTTTTGCAATTGGGCTGTGTATATAGTTTAGAAGATCTTAAGCATATTTGAAATATATTTTATAATTCCAAAATTTGATCTTTGTGTGATCGTGAAATTTTAAAACTAGTGCAAAACCCAGATCTGACGTTCGTCGATAACATTTTAAGAGAACACTATACGTATGTATTTTACATAATCTCCTCAAAAGTAGAGCTATCTTGTTGCATTACACACAAGTGTGACATCTTGTGTTGTGGATGCTCAAAAGCATCCAGTTTTAAACAAAATACCATTGACGAATTCCCGTTGTGGACGTCAAAAATGACATTAGCCACCAGCTTTTTATACTGTCGGTCAAACCATGAAAATGGTAAATTTTTCAACTCCAAGTGCAAAAATCCAGCAAAATCATACTTTCGTACTATAAAATATATCACAAATATATCATTAAAGTAGCCTGAACTTTCCAATTTGCACAAATGGAAAAACATAGTGCATGGCACTTTAAAAAGTAATATCAATAAAGTATAACTCTTTTTATACTAGCTGAATACATGATGCCATCGACTGCTATTTTTCGCGCCAGCTGTGTTATCATTGATACGTTTCATATATTGGTTGTTTTTTAGTGTGCAGCATTATATCCTAAAGCTGACATTGAAAACAAAGATTTGATAGCGTTAGGTCAACTCAATGGAACAGTTACTGTTCGGACGTAAGTGTCATAGTTTTTACGTACATATAGTTATATGTCTACGTTGCGTACGAAAACCGAATAGATACATGTGCACGTCTAGCGTCAAGCGTGTGATTAGCTTAATTTGTGCTCTGATAGACTATTGTTTTTATCTATGATAATATTTAGTTTTGATCAAACAACACTTGGACCAATGCAGACTGAACGCGAATTTGGTTGGTGAAATGGTTTATAAATTTCTTTTTTTCATTTACACTTATTACTTTTGACTCTGAAGATGACTACCGCTAAGGTTGTCGAAACGTCAGTCCACATGAACAACAACAGTCCTTCTCAGGACTCTACTAACCTGGACAATCTACATTTACAAACATGTAACGATACTCCTGGGTTCAAACCATTTACGTACTTTAAATTTATTTCTTCATAATTAACGTCTTGTTTGTTTTACATATCTTATCATATTATCTATTCTCTATTTTACTGCATTTATAGTCCCCCATCATCAACGACCTTGTAATACTTTGGCATGGAATTCTGTCAATTCAAATTGGGTAGTGATATTTTCCTTGTTGGCTTATAATTTATAAATATTGTTTGTTTTGTCATCCGACGCAAGTTGAACTCACAAAACGTCAGTCATCACTCGTAGAATGTAACTTGTTATAGTCTTGTTTCAAACACATTTAGTATAGTTTGCAGATGTGCAAAATACGCTATACTTAGTTAACGTCTTAGTTCTTTACTTTTACGGTTGCAATTTGTTTCTCATGAAGCACTCTACTTCATTTTCTAATCATTGTTGGTCATGTGATTTTTTAGCTTGCTGCTGGTCTAGAGAAAGCAAGAAGCGGTGTTTCACTATTTATTTGGGATATTACTTCGAACTCGAGTAAGTTTTACGTGTTTTCCTTCGTTGAGTTATTTTTATGTTTTGTTTTATAAGTGATTCTCATAGTCTTATATTGTCTATTTAGATGTCGTGGCTCTAGACAAACAAAGGTAAGTTTTTAGGATCAATTTGGCTTATGGTATATTTGTCACCAACGTTGGTTGTGTAAAACGTCATACTCCCCCTCCCTTTTCCCGCCAAAATTTTCTTTCTATCATTTTTCTTCTCAGTTTGTCTTGTTTATTTGCATCCCCCCCCTTATTTCTTTAGATCATCTGGCCTCCCGGGTAGAAATAGTTCTTCAGGTTTTTCAGAGGCAGGTACTGAGTAAATTTTTATCATTACTCAATCATCGTCTACTGGGGCTTAAAAATTTTAAAATAAATCTTCTGAAATGATAATTTTATCAGGACCAACGTATGAAACAACCTCGATTGCTTGGTTTCCCACTGAATCAAATAATTTAATTGCTGGTCAAGGGGGGAAGTTTTTGAAAATATTTGATGTTCGAGATCAGCCTGGTAAGTTGATACGGATTCATTGTGCCTAACTATATGTAAAATGTATAGATTTTCAACTCATATTTTAGAGATGTATTGCAAACCCAAGAGGTTTGCAAGCACCAAAGCAGTGAATGGGGTTTGTGTTGATCCAAATTTTGAATATCGTGTTGCTTCATTTGTTGAGGTAATCGGCATTCTTTCCTTGTCGTATTGTTATAATTCATGTACGTAAAATTTTATTTATTTAACTCAAGGGCGATCAAGGAGCTGTAACTGTTTGGGATATTCGACGTTTTGAAAAACCAGTATCCTTTTCAGAATAATATGTACTCTTAGAAAAACGATGGATGTGTGCATTTTTTGATGTTTTGTTCCTTGTTGTTTGGAACAAACTTTTTCCACTGTAATGGATAATTCAAAAACATAGCCATGCTTGCCTTTCGTTACAATGAACTTAACGTCACGAAGCTGTTGATTCTCCCAAGTGAAAATGTGCTTCAGATTCAATGGAATCCAACGAGGTTATACAAACATAATACTGAAACAATAGAGTGTTAAATATCAACGACAATATAACTTATAGCTGCACTATGGTTAAGTAGAACTTCTATTACGGTGTTGTAAAGTAAAACTTATAGTTGCAGTATTGTACAGTAGAGCTTATAGTTGCATTGTTGTACAGTAGAACTTATGGTTGCAGTATTATACAGTAGAACTTATAGTAACAGTATTGTACAGTAGAAGTTATAGTTGCAGTGTTGTACAGTAGAATCTATAGTTGCAGTATTGTACAGTAGAACTTATAGTTGCAGTATTGTACAGTAGAACTTATAGTAACAGTATTGTACAGTAGAACTTATAGTTGCAGTATTGTACAATAGGTCAACTATTTGCTCTATTGACCTTCAATCTTTTTACAACAGAAAAATAATATATGTGTTATTGTCTTCTGTTCGCATTTAGGTCCGGATTGTTGACATCTCTAAGAAGAAACGAAAACGTTCTTCATCTTTATGACATTCAACATGGATTCCCAGGTATACGAAGCATTTGATCTTTGGTATTTTGCATAGTTTAAACTCTGCGGCTGTGTCAAATTCAAAGCTTGCATGAATGCAAGCATGTCTGTGGTCGACATGTGTAGTATCTTCACAGTTCATTAAAATGCCCGAAGAAATATTGTCGATAGCATTGATATCCTTTTGAATAAGATAAACAATAAGAGAAAAGACAGTTTTATTCAGTTCATACGTATATGTTACTTATGCAGCATATGAAAACACAAGTTATGAAGCAGAGCCTATTGTTTTGGAGAGAAATACAGGAGGTACGTATGTGCTATGAACTCAAATAGCTGTATAAATATTTAGATAGCAATTACGACAAATTTTCTTTATGTATATTTTGTATGTATTTATCACAATAGATTAATGCTTGTTTTATACCACTAACATCATGAAATTTTTGTTTGAAAAGTAAGTCTAAAATTTATTTGAAACGGGCGCATTAATTACCGTGCAATGATGCAAGTGGAAAGTTTGTGAATCAAAATCCAACAACGCGTTTTACTAAAATTATTCTACCTTACTTCCCTCCTTGCTTAAATTAGGTTTTTTACCGTAATGATATTTACATGTTTGTAGATGCAGATCGTCCAGGTTGGTATAGTCCTGAGAAGGACTGTTTTTGTGGTTGTTGTTGTCAGTCAACAACAGCAAAAACAGTCCTTCTCAGGACTATACTATCCTGGACGATCGACATCTACAAACATGTAACGATACTCCCGGGTTCAAACCATTTACTTTATAATGATATTTAGCTATTTGTTCTAAAAAGTGAAAAAAGGAGTGTAAATAGTTAAACTTGAATTTACATTTGAAAGATTTTGGCCAAATTCGACAGAAAGTCATAAATTTATTGCATACCGCAGATTCATATTTATTAAACCCTTGACAATTGTCTTCCGTAAAACACGCATGCGCAAATCAGAAGTAGAGTCGATCCCAATTGGAACGATCGATGAAAATTGTTATTTCTGGCATAGTGTTAGCAGATGTGAAAAATTTTTAAAGCATCCGGTTTTGTGATGCGGACGCTGTATGAAACATGAGAGTATAGTGTACTCAATGGAATTATTTAAAAGTTCAGACATAAGTTTGTTGCCATGCACAAGCTATAAGCAAATGATACAAAATGAGAGAAAGTGTGGATACATGATCTGATCGTGACGTAAAAAAAACTTTCATTGGTAGTTCCCAGAGCATTGTGGTTAGAGATGGATAAAAACCTTTCTCTAACAGCCAGCTTTCAGCAGCAACGTAACACAAGGACCTCGTGCATGAACTCTTCGAGGAAAAGTGATTTTAATACAAAAAGGACCACAAAAATGCCTTCAAACTACCTTTCCGACGGTAGATACACGTGCAAAAAATACGAGACCAAATTACAAAATTCGGACAATCAAATGGTCGGACATAGTATTGTTTATGTAAAATAGAGGCAATTTGAACGACCTACAACCGTGGACATCTAAAACATGGACATTTACACCGTAGATAACCAGACAATCATTGGCGTTGTCAGAAAAAAGAGTGGACTAAATTGCGAGAATGTGTGAAAGCTGAATTTTTTTCATTTAAATTCTCTGGAATGCTATTTCATGCGTCTTACGTATAAGGATATTTTATGGTATTACAAAGCATCTAGCATGTAATAATGTTAAATAGGAAACTTATATAAACTTCATCTAGCTACATAATTATAACACACTTCATGAGCAAACCATTATTGATATATACCATGTATTAATAAATATCGTTTGAACCGTGAAATACGCATAGTGTGCTGTCTTTTGCAGTAGATATTTAGATGAATTGTACAACTTCATGTCTTCATTACAGCCTTGGAACACAATATTTCTGGCTTCAACTGGCATCCATTTGATGAAAATCGAATGCTGATTGTATCTACTAAAGGTTAAAGATTCTTCGATATAATATTTATCTTAAAGAAATATCGATTAAATGAAATGAATTTTTTTAGGAAATATTAGTGACTTGACGATACTTGAAAGAATTTGTTTGGTAAGTTCTGTATTTCTATATTTCTTTCAATTAAATTTTCCCACATGGTATTCCTTGCAATTTGAGTCTTTTACCAGCATTGATATCAACCATCAAAATCACATTTCTTGGCAACGGGGATAATCTAGATGTCTCTAATATAATGCATGGATATTACTAGTCGGTGGAGGATTTATTTTTAATTTGATTGCGTAGGCTCTTACCCTCTACGTCCTCGTGACAGGACAATGTGCAACTTGAAGAAGTTTAGTTCTTGTTATGTAAATAATGTTCCGTGATTTAGAGTTGGTCACCACAGTTCTCGTTCTCTTGGGGGTGCGGCCGTCATCTTATGCATTGTAAAGGAGAAGTAAGCTGTTTTGTTGTTGTTTTCATTATAATTAGTTCAAATTCAGATGTTAGCATTTGTTGGAATCTTAAATTTAGTCAAATAAACATCATGATGTAAATACTTATAGTAAACAACAATTCATAAACTTTTGCAGAGCATAATTTATAAGAAAGTTCATATAAGACGTAACTCTTCTCACGGCATGGACAAAACTTATACCAACGCAAATTTAAAGGCTTTTGGACCTGCTAAATGTCCGCACAGTGCCAAGTTTTGCCAAGCGTTTACAGAAATTTTATTTATAGTCTGCATTCTCTGAAGATATATCAAGACTGATGTATGTTCGAGCTTGTAATTTATACGGAATAGAATGGTCAAAGTCAGAAGCCAACATTCAGGATCCTCAACTATCAAAGCTATGGTCATGGTTTCATCGTATCCTTTATTCAAGTTGTCAAAATATCTTTGATATTTGTTGATACGTCAAATTTGAACTTTATTACAATTTGTACATCTCATTCCAAAATTTGTTTCGAACAATTTAAATGCATCGATATTCAATTACATGCGATCCTGACCAATATCAAGTAATTTAAAGATTCAATAGTTTTTTTTCTTAAAATGGTTTGTAGGTGTTGGTAATATTGTAAAGTCAATTGGTAAGTACATAAGCATTTAAACGTTTTTATTTTTTGCTATTTACCACATTGCTCACGTTGAAGATTTTATTTTGGATGCGTGCTGCTTTCAAGACAAGTCGTTTGTTCTGATGTTATAAACCATAATGACTAGAACTGTCAATGGTTATGTAAAGGTTGGGATCTGGGTCAAGTTTAAACTTATGTAAGGGTTAGGGTCTTGGTCAAATTTAAGGTTATATAAGGGTTGGGTTCTGAGTCAAATTTAAGGTTATATAAGGGTTAGGGTCTGGGTCAAGTTTAAAGTTATATAAGGTTTGGGATCTGGGTCGATTTTAATCCGTATTCAAAAATGAACAATTGTAATCCGTCAGGTTCGGCTGTTGTATTGTTTTTTCTGATTCATTGTGCGTTTATATTTATCATTTTCACTTTATCATGATTTTTTATTGCGATAGACGATAGATTATCATTTGTGAAATATCCTGGTGTTGCATCGGTTATATATGGTGAATCTAGCAAACAAGGTAAATTAATTTCAAGAGCATTTGCATACCGTGCTTGGAAGGGAGAGGTTTACGAACGATGAGTTTAAAACATTTCAGGATTATGTCCCAGATCAAATAAAGTCGAAAATTCGAAATTATTGAGAACCGTCTATGACAGTGATTTGAGGTGATGTAATTCGTTTAATAACGATTCTCTCTCGTGAAAATTTCTTGAAAGTTTCCGCCAACCTTGGTTAATTAAAGTGTTGTATATTGTGAAAAATTATAAGAATGGTTCGGCTTTTTTGTAGGCAAGTAGCTCTACGGCTTTGCAATTGGAATTTTGACTTGGACAATGGAAGCAGCTTAAAGTCGTTTCTACATAAGTAAGTTACCATGATCTTTGCATATTTTCTTCTTTATTTATTTAATATAAGTAAGTTACCATGATTCTTTGCATATTTTCTTCTTTATTTATTTAATATAAGTAAGTTACCATGATTCTTTGCATATTTTCTTCTTTATTTATTTAATATAAGTAAGTTACCATGATTCTTTGCATATTTTTTCTTTCTTTATTTAATATAAGTAAGTTACCATGATTCTTTGCATATTTTTTCCTTATTTATTTAATATAAGTAAGTTACCATGATCCTTTGTATATTTTTTTCCTTATTTATTTAATATAAGTAAGTTACCATGATCCTTTGCATATTTTTTTCTTTATTTATTTAATATAAGTAAGTTACCATGATTCTTTGCATATTTTTTTCTTTCTTTATTTAATATAAGTAAGTTACCATGATTCTTTGCATATTTTTTTCTTTCTTTATTTAATATAAGTAAGTTACCATGATCCTTTGCATATTTTTTCCTTATTTATTTAATATAAGTAAGTTACCATGATCCTTTGCATATTTTTTTCCTTATTTATTTAATATAAGTAAGTTACCATGATCCTTTGCATATTTTTTCTTTATTTATTTAATATAAGTAAGTTACCATGATTCTTTGCATATTTTTTCTTTCTTTATTTAATATAAGTAAGTTACCATGATTCTTTGCATATTTTTTCTTTCTTTATTTAATATAAGTAAGTTACCATGATCCTTTGCATATTTTTTTCTTTCTTTATTTAATATAAGTAAGTTACCATGATTCTTTGCATATTTTTTCTTTCTTTATTTAATATAAGTAAGTTACCATGATTCTTTGCATATTTCTTTCTTTCTTTATTTAATATAAGTAAGTTACCATGATCCTTTGCATATTTCTTTCTTTCTTTATTTAATATAAGTAAGTTATCATGATCCTTTGCATATTTCTTTCTTTCTTTATTTAATATAAGTAAGTTACCATGATTCTTTGCCTATTTTCTTCTTTATTTATTTAATATAAGTAAGTTATCATGATCCTTTGCATATTTCTTTCTTTCTTTATTTAATATAAGTAAGTTACCATGATCCTTTGCATATTTTTTTCTTTATTTATTTAATATAAGTAAGTTACCATGATTCTTTGCATATTTCTTTCTTTATTTATTTAATATAAGTAAGTTACCATGATTCTTTGCATATTTCTTTCTTTCTTTATTTAATATAAGTAAGTTACCATGATCCTTTCCATATTTCTTTCTTTCTTTATTTAATATAAGTAAGTTATCATGATCCTTTGCATATTTCTTTCTTTCTTTATTTAATATAAGTAAGTTACCATGATTCTTTGCATATTTTCTTCTTTCTTTATTTAATATAAGTAAGTTATCATGATCCTTTGCATATTTCTTTCTTTCTTTATTTAATATAAGTAAGTTACCATGATCCTTTGCATATTTTTTTCTTTATTTATTTAATATAAGTAAGTTATCATGATTCTTTGCATATTTCTTTCTTTATTTATTTAATATAAGTAAGTTACCATGATTCTTTGCATATTTCTTTCTTTCTTTATTTAATATAAGTAAGTTACCATGATTCTTTGCATATTTTCTTCTTTCTTTATTTAATATAAGTAAGTTATCATGGTCCTTTGCATATTTCTTTCTTTATTTATTTAATATAAGTAAGTTATCATGATTCTTTGCATATTTTCTTCTTTATTTATTTAATATAAGTAAGTTACCATGATCATCTGCATATTTTTTTCTTTCTTTATTTAACATAAGTAAGTTACCATGATTCTTTCCATATTTTCTTCTTTATTTATTTAATATAAGTAAGTTACCATGATCATCTGCATATTTTTTTCTTTCTTTATTTAATATAAGTAAGTTACCATGATTCTTTCCATATTTTTTTCTTTATTTATTTAATATAAGTAAGTTACCATGATCCTTTGCATATTTTTTTCTTTATTTATTTAATATAAGTAAGTTACCATGATCCTTTGCATATTTTTTCTTTATTTATTTAATATATAGCTATATTGTAGATTAAAATCCAAGGGAATGTTCGAAAGGGCTGCGGCTGTTGCTGTTTTTAACAGTGATATATCCACTGCAATCAACATATTGAGTGAAGGATCGAATTCTCGTATGGATGTAAATCGACAGCCAGGTAAACGTTGACTTTATTACAACTTTACTATTGTTTAGTCTTAGATATCTAAGTCTTCCTGAGACATGTTTCTTATTTATATTTTGGTGCGCTCGCAAAGAAGAGCAGAGCAAGCGCGAATTTTAATCCTGCTACTCAAGTATTTAAACGTTTTGGTGACAGAAAATCTGCAGGCTGATTGCGTTGGTTCTCTCTTGCAAACCCCAGACATATGCTAAAAATTTAACTATAGATCGAAGTTGAAGGAAAAGATTTTGCATTTGTGAGAACCATGTAAATTACAAACTAGGGAATTTTGGCGATCGTCACAAGTTAAATTGCTCGAAAAAACTATTTTTTAAATTGCACTGCATTATTTGTTTTCTCGCAAATATTTTTTTATCAACTGTTCTCGAAAGGTTGTGTAGTAGCGATAATAACGTTTTTAATTCATTTGCTAATATAATTTTATTGGTAGATTCATATCTCGGCATGGTGGCTATGGCATTATCTGGTTATACACGGAGATAAAACGGCATTGTGGCAAAATCACTGCGTACAACTTTGTGCTAAGGTATGAACGATGTCAAATACAAAGCTTGTCCCAAACGTAAACCATCCTTGCTGGCATTTCCGTGAGCTCATTCCTTGTTTCAATGTCCTTAGTAAGTTGCTGTCGTATGCACAGACCGTATACGAAAACAATCTAGCTTTCTTGCTATTGTTAAATGTATGCTACAGTATCCTTCAAATGACTTTCACTTAATCTGTTTTACTTGTATGCATGTCAATGTTCAAGCATTTTATACTAATTTAACAAACACACAAATTTTATTACATCAGCTTTATACGTCGACAACGTCTTTATATTATTACAACTACTGAAAGCCATTTGTCTCAAAACAAGGGTTCAACAATTCTTTTTCCTGATGTAAACCATATTATCTACTGCTTGTGTACTTCGTTACGGCCTTTGTGCCTTCACTAACGGCATGTTTGGCCAACTCCCCCGGCAGAAGAAGTCTTACTGCCGTTTGAATTTCGCGAGAAGATATAGTAGATTTCCTGTTATAGTTAGCAAGACGCGTGGCTTCTGATGCAATTCGTTCAAAGATGTCATTAACGAATGAATTCATGATGTTCATAGCTTTGCTTGACACGCCTGTATCTGGATGAACTTGTTTCAATACTTTGTAGATGTAGACAGCATAGCTTTCCTTGCGTTTTCCTCTCTTTTTCTTTCCTTTCGCATCTACCAGGGGTTTTATTGCTGGACTGCTCTGTTTACCAACTTTTTTGCTCGCAGCGTCTTTTGGGGGCATCCTTTCAACCTTTCAGTCCAAGCAATCAACGCGACCGTTTATTGAATTCAAAGTTAGCAATGATTTATATCAGTTGGGATACCGTTTTTAAAAAAGTATTAACAGTTTGCACAGAAATCGACCAATGACAACCGCGCATCTTGAAGTTCACCATTATTCATTACAAATTTAAATGTATTAATGTTTAGATATGAACATCAAACGAAAAGACATAAACAACATAGCATTGCATGCATGATTAAGAAGATATGACACATGTCAGATTAAGTGATATTCTAAACTTGTTATCGTTGTTCGCGGATACTCAACTTGTTATTTGTTCCACAATAAAATCATAAATATTTCACATACAATCCGAATGTTATTGCCGAATCACGAATAATTTAACAATTAACAGAAATACAAGGTTTATCGAAAAACTGCTTATCTTTGAAATCAGCCAACGTTAAGAATTGCATGATTCACTAGTAATAAATCCCAAAGGAGGAGTAAACAGTAAACGTAACTAAACTGAGTTCCTTGCATGGGATTTACAATGTGCATTTGCTGCAATACGTATGTATCATTGTATTCAATTGCGTTTACGCCTCCTTGAGAATCCAATTACTGCAAATCGTGAAATTTAGATGTCGGCTGATTTCAAAGATCAGCAGTTTTTGGAGACATCCTGTTTATGGGTGCATAAATGGTAGCACAATAGCTTTTCTTCTCATGGGAATTTAACCCAATTTAATTCTAAAGCCTAGTTTAACAGCAAAACCTGCACAGCACGTAATGCATCTCTGGGATTAGCCCAGTGATATTTATCTTTTATATAATTTTTAATTTTTTTCTTACAGCTTTCTAATCCGTATCTTCGTGCTTTGTTTACGTTCTTGACTTGTGATACAAACAACTACGAAGGAATATTGGTATGCGTTTCATTTTTTTAAATCAGAATGCAAAGTGCTCGCAATGGTTTTAAAGTTATATAGCAAAATAAAAACTTATGGAGTATTTACGTTACGTATTGTATACTTTGTGTTATGTTTATTACAGAATGATTGTAAACTTGAAATCGAAGACCAAGTTGCTTTTGCTTGTAAATTCTTGTCAGATGATAAGGTAGTGAATTCATGTCTCCATTGATATACTGCATTTTTTTGCTTTTAACGTTTTGTTGTGCGTTTTAGTTAGTGTCGTTCTTGTATGAGCTGAGTAGGAAAATGATAGACGCTGGAAACCTAGAAGGAATTTTAGTCACTGGTATTATTTTGAGTCGTTTTTCAGAAATGCACTTGAAAACAAATTGAACACACATAGAAATCAATCATTCGCGCAATCATGTGAATTCCTATGCCTCCTAACTTTTTTATGAATTTATCATTTAGGAATGACTGAAAGTGGATTATCTTTACTTCAAAATTATATAAATAAGGTATTTGTATAAATATTCATTTTCTTATATTTTTTGCCATTTATTTGTTGCAATTGAGAATACATTCATAGGAATCATAATCCTATGTACATTTAATACTGCATATCTACTAAAAGTGCTTGTGACACGATTTTTTTTACTGTCTTAAACATAAAAGATCTTTTAAACTGTAATGGAACTTCCACTTCAATATTAGTGCTTCCATACTTATATTCATTTTTCATATTGAATGTGTGAATGGATGACGAAAATTTTTTTGGGAATTGTCAGTCAAGGTTGAATTTTTAAAAAGTCTTGTACTAAATCTTAAATTTGTCCTGTTTTCACTTTATCCTTCATGTCGATTAAATTATTTCTGGGTAGCCAATTATAAACCGAAAGACGTACAAAATGGTTGTAACTTTTCCTGTTTTATTACCATGTTTAGTTTTATGTTTTGTATGAGATGAAAAGATGATAAATAAAAACCACATTTCCTTTTGCCTAGCTTCATTCCAACTACATCATAGACTTTCTTTTATGATTTTCTGTCGACCATTCCTCTGCCAACGTTGAAAAATATGAAATGATTATTTCATTCACAATTGCAGAGAACGGACTTTTGATCTTTTGATCTTCATTTTCATTATATACGCATGCGTTGTTATCGTCTAATTCTTTTGAGTAATTTTTGTTAGACTGGCGATATTCAGACTGCATGTTTGCTTGCAATCAATTCTTTGTCGCCGAAATATCTTAACGATTCTACGAAAGTCGACAACTGGATTCAAAGGTGATACATACGTAAAGGATATGTTTTTTGATGGTTGCGATGGTCGATTTCAACTTATCATGACGAATGATGTTAAAATGAATAACTTTAATGACTTTTTCAGTTATCGTGATTTATTAGACCGTTGGGGTCTCTGGCACGAAAGGTGAGAACCTCATAAAATTAAATCACAGTTGTTAATTCAACCATTGTTGATACCACAAAGTTCACTTTGGAAACTCTTAAAAATCTTACTTAATTTAGTATATATTTCTGCTGAGTGCATCGAAAATATAAACTCGAGATTTCTTACATTGCCATCGTCGACTTATACCAAAAAAATTGATTTTGTTGCTACAGTCGACATGCCGGGTGTCTTTTCTTTCGCTAAAGAAATATCTGTTCTAATGATCTTCATGCGTATTTTGCCTGATTTAACTATTGTAATCTCAATACTTGAAATGGTACTGTGATGGACTGATCTTTTAATTTCCAATATCATTTTTTTTGCTGTAAACGTCTTCCTATGAAAGTATATATAGTAGCCTGGCCGTATTATATTGATGTTAGCGCTCTACTACTTGATGTTTCTGAAAAAAAACTTTTTTCATAAACTAGAATGCTCTTCTTTCTTATTCTTGTTATATATCCGTGTTTTTTCATTTCCTAGAGCCAAGTTTGATATCTATCATAGCAATAAAATAGGTGGTTTTAAAGTGGAATCTCAGCAAATATCAGTCAGCTGTTCCTTCTGTGGTAACTCAATTTTATCAAAGAATCCAGTTTCACAAGCTGGAAGAAAGTTACGCTTTTTTTCGCCGAAAGAAAAACCAACAAACAAAGTAAAGGTGAAAATAATAATTTATATAAATAAGATAACGTTTACATGAAAATTGCATTAATCATCAAATGGTTGCATTAACCAAATTCACTGACCATCATAACGTTGCTTAATTCATGTACTTAGTAAACATTTAATTTAATTGTCATTGATTATTAATGACTAACCATGTACGCTCATATTTCCGTACTTATTGCAGAGCATGAGCTGTAACGGTTGTGGTAATCCACTTCCCAGATGTTCACAATGTCTGTTGCGCATGGGAACGACATCAACTTATCATGATAACAAGACCAAGTCAGCAAATGAGTCGGGTAAAGGAAATTTGTGTATCCGTATCTATGTAATCTGCGTTACCTAATCTACGTAATTTATAGTTTGCTACTCTTCGTCTAAATGGTAAATTTGAAATATGTAAATCGTTTGAGGTTCTTTCTCTTGTAGAAAACGATTTTACTGTCGATAAACGTAAATTGAACGTCAGTGATCTTTGGTTCGCATGGTGTCAAACTTGTCGTCACGGTGGTCACGTGAAACACATGCTGGAGTGGTTTGAAGAACATACCGAATGTCCTGTGAACAATTGCGATTGTAACTGTATGAGTTTGGATCGAGTAAAGTAGCATTTTTAGACATTGTAATGATTATCTATTACATAAATCCTAAATCTTTCGTGAATAATTTTATTTATAATATGTCGAGTTTTTATGAGGTAAAATATGAACAAATAAAGGTAAAATTTATAAATGGTTATTGATAATTCTATTCTCAAGTCTCAAATAGCAATTTTAACAGTTTAAAGAGAATGTTAATATGTCATTCATTTCATGATATATCAACTTTAAACGGTAGCTTAGTGACCCTTGAAATGTTTTTCAAACGATAAGAAATATGATATAGAAAGACAGTGTAGCATTCAAACGATTACTATATTATAACTATAAGCAGCATAAAGTCCCGTTGAACGTTGCAAGATGTTAAAATGGGGTCTCTACTCTCTAGCCAAATAAAGCATTAAGAATGAGAATTTATTATATATCTGCGATCCTTGTCATCTTTATTAGCCCAATAGAAAGTTGTTAGAGCAAAATAAAATTAAAACAAAAGATTTATGCATATGGGGCAGTATATTAATGACTATGGAAAACAAATACTGCCTCTGCAGGTGATTGGTTGGTAGCTCAATTGCAACAAATGCTGAGGACGAGTCTCAAAATCTCCCTTGTCAACGGCGTCATGTTTGAGAAGTAGGCTGTGTAAATAAATAAATCACATAATTTCTCGGTTAAGCACTACTCTGAGGTCACATAAATCTTTCTAGCTATTCCCTTGCAAACACCTACCATTGGATTCGGAAAGTGGGCAGTTCTTTTTCTCATAACTGGTATAAAAACTTGGAAAAAGTGAACCCAGAAAAATTTTCCTATGTTGAATTTATAGTGACTTGAAGGATGTTTTGCTCTGCTCTGCTCATCAGGCGTAGACATGTCATGAACTTGTGAACCTTTGGCAAGATAGCATTTTCAGACGAGCAGTTTTGTGAAGACAAACGGTTGAAAAAAAGAATCGAGTTTCACACGATTTGAAAATTGAAGCTGATGATGAATGATTATCAGCATTCCACAGACTTGGGTGAAGAATATATTTGCACGATTAATTCAAAATTTAGAAAAAACAATTGGAATTTGTACAAATAATTACTACAAGATCGTCTTGGTGGAAATTCTACCAATGACGGTGAAATAACAGGAAATACACAAGCCACAACGCTACGTCACATGACCGGATAGCTTGGCAACAAAACACTTCTCATCAATGCTGAAACATGCCTTATGAACTAATTGGCCTTTGGTATTTTCATTTTAACGTTTAAACGTTATGTAAAAGAGTGCGTTTGTTAATTATATTATTGTACAGAGATTATACATGAAATTCCTCCAATGGCAGGCAGATTGTTTAACCCAAGACGCGACCTACAAAGTTCGAATTCAAACACCGGACCTTCTATCTTTATAAACAAACTTGTACCTACTAAATTTGTTCGCTGTATTGTCAAATTGCTTGACGACTCTCATTTCGAAGTGGAGATTGAGGTGTGTTGTATACGTTTTGTTTTCTATCTGTAATTTGAGCATATTTGTGTTGCCGTATACAGGCTTTAGAAGAATCAAAATTTCTTGAGTGGTTTTTAATTATCTTTTCAATGTTTTATATTCGCTCAATTTAAAATAATCGTTTTGCATATTTTATATAACATTCAAGGAAAACCGAAGACAATAGAAAGACACATGATCTCAATCAGATTAAAATTTAAATTACAGTTTTTACTGTCTGACATAAATGGCACTGGAGATTAATGTGTGCGATATTTTTTTGTTTTAATGAGTTCTGTCAAAGTAAATACCGTAATTTATTTCAACAATCAATTTTACGTTCATATTTTGAATTTTGAATAAATAAGATTATCACGAAATGTCTGGACGGTCAGTGGTCACCGTTTCAGTAAAACATTTCAACGAATACTTTCAATAGTCTTCTGCATGCATGTAAGTATGGCAAAAAATGAAAGACACATTGCTATAAGTAATGTCGTAAAGTGCTTGTCGCAAATTTGATGTATATTTCTTATAGTTGCAATTCTCATTTTCCCACACCATCGTGAACAGCGTTATTACTCTTGTTGTTCAAGATTTTTCAAAGAAAATTATTATATTCTCTCATGTAAAATAGCGCTTAACACTGAAGTGTTTTAGGAACAGATAAAGTAATAATTGCTGCAGAACGATTTGCGCATATCATCTGAGATTTAGAATACTGACTTCAAACGGTATTCTGTTATTTTGAAATATCTGTGTTTTTCATAGCTATATTCACACACAAAAAATTTTGTTTTGTTTTCAAGAACTTTTTGTTTGTTTTATTGTCATTAAAAATAAATGTTGAAGCTATAAGAAGATTATGTGGCCTCATTTCAACACTTCAAGTTCTTGTTAACATTTAAAGCTTTTTACCAACTGTTAGATTGAAATGCTATTATTCATTTGACAACAAATAAATTGAAATGGCTAAACAAGTTTGAATTGGTACTTTTTTGTAAATCTTTTATTCATGTCCTGTATCACATGGTACTATTTGTTTCAATTAAAAGCAGAAATCTATCAAAGCCTTTAATAAAGCTACTTGTTCAAATTGCTTCTCTAATAAATACATTAGCATATAAGTAATATACATGTATTAGAGAATATGTTATGCATGTACATATGTGACCTGAATTTGCCAAAGCTACATCATAAGTAGCTTTCTGCTTTGTGATGTTTATGCATTCTTTTCTCATAACAGAGCAACTCAAGTGGTGGCATGCTTTTCAAAAGGATAATTAATGAGCTAAATCTGGCTGAACCAGATTACTTTGGTTTGAAATTTTATCGCAATTCCACAGCAAAGTTTGTGAGTATATTATGATATTGACTTACTTCTCAGCCATAATACTGAGTCTGTGGTGTATCAATTATTTAGGTGCATCAACATTATCTTGTACCAGTGTGCAAATTAAAGGTGTGCAATGTGCAATTTGCACATTGTTTTAGCTAAAATGTAAACAATTGCACATCACTTTTTCAAATGATGTGCAAAAATCAGTGGTTTTAACAAAAAACACTGTCGTAAATCATATGAGTTTGTTCACTTTAAAACTATTAATTTAGCAATTAGCGCTATATAATAATTAATGTAATATCGATTTGATTATGCCTCTAAAGAAACACTTTTATCAAAAAAATTGCACATCGTTTTTTCTGAACTAATTCACACACTGTATTGTACAATAACTGTTCTTATTTATCAACAATATTAAACAGTGCTTTTTATTAGGAAATGGGACATGAACAAGCATAAAATTTTCACTGTAACCTATCAGTCTTGCATCAACAAGATTTATTTTGCTGTGTGTTGCTACTCTTTTTCTTCCTGTGCTGTAATATATTCATGAAGTATTGACCATTTTTAAAAAGTGTTATGAAGCTTGATAATTGTTTCTATCACACATAACATGAATTATGATGAGATAATTTATGTCATCAATTTAGACTGTAATCAGCTGTAGCATGTGTTTCTTCACACCCAGGGGGTACAAATTAAGAAGTTGAAGGTGTAAGAACCACCCAGCACTTGTGATATGTATATGTGTGTAAAAAAAGTTGGTTCAAAAACTGACAGAGGAGATAGTTGGTCAGACTAAAATTGTGGACTTTTACAAATAAAGATACCACAATATTTGATCCCAGGATGTAGAGCCCCTTCATTTTTTTTTGGGGGGGGGGATGTGCTCCTGGCTATGGGTTAAAATGATCAATGTTTTTTAATTTGCAACAAGTGATGAACATTAGTATAATGACGATAGGGGATTTAATAAGAAAGTCATATAATACTTCTACTAAACTTTTGTACTAAAGAAATGACATTGAAAATTTAATGACGAGTACGTGCGCCGCGCATGCGCGTAAACTTAGGCTATTTTCTGTTTTAACTTGTGACCTTTATCGTGCAAGAATGATTTTATGCATGAAAAATTGCTTTCGTTCCTCTTGGTGTAATTAACATTGCCTTTTTTTGAACAATAGTATGGAAAAAGAGGATTAAAGCATTAATGCACTTTGATACATTTACGTACGCTCTTTGTGTAAATGCATTGAAGTGCAGGAGGTCATTCGTTCATGAAAATAGTCATGTAAAGATAAGCTTTGAGATAAAACATAAAATCACTCAGGTTTATGCATCTGTGCGGAGGATTTACTCATTCTAAAATTTTCTGAAATTTTCTTTCTTTGTAAATCAAGACCTAAACTTTCATCCAATGAAATGAAAATTGATTCTATCACCTCATTCATGCTTGCACAAACCCTTCAAAATGAGGTTTTGCTAAGCGCGTACCAGTGGCGGATCTAGGGTTAGTCAAAATAAATTACTGCTGCACATTTTGGAATACATTTACATTTCTAAGCCCCTCAGAGACAAATCCATTGGTAAAATTATATTCTTTAGAATTCAAAACCAATAGTGTTTTTCTGAAAGTACTTTGAACTTAAAATTAAGCAGCTTTAATATATTTTGCTCGTTGCTGCTCGCTGTGACTACCCCTAGATCCGCTACTGGCGCGTACTCTATCGTTTTTCGAGGTCGAATTTTCTTTTTATTTTTAGTGTTTAATTGAAGATGCATAGGTACCAACACTAGCACAAATCTCTGAGTTGTTTAGCTAAATTTATGGCTTGATTAAAAATTGTCTAGTTTTTTGATACACCCAACACCTTGTGTTTAGGAATGGTTAGAACATGACAGGATAATAAGAAAACAGTTACGAGGTATTACTTTTGTTTTATTGTGTTTGTATATTGCGTCATGGGTAAAATATAGTTCGACCATTTATTTTTGTTCTGTTGTTGTGAAATCATCATCATTTATTTGTACTATTTTGTAAGCCATTTGTAAGCAAATAGTCCTCTGCAATTCAATTCAACAGAGCTTCTTTTCAAAAAATAATTAACTGTACAATGCTCTCATGGAAATAGGACAAGGACCGCCATACAATTTGGCGTTTGGCGTACGATTTTTCCCAACAGAGCCATCAAAAGTTGCTGAAGATTTAACAAGGTACGCGATACTTTGTGTGTTATCATTTATATAATATCTTCGTGGTTTATGCGTGTTGTTTAGTAAATTTGATGGTTATCATTTTGACATTTCAATGAAATTCAACAACGAAATTCGTTGTAAAAAACTTTTCCATTTTGCGGCAATAAACATTCACTTTTTGAATTATTTACGTCTCAGACCTCTTCTTTTACCCATACTCGTCGTGCCATGCCTCGCGACGTGTGAGAAAAGTCGATTAGAAATCACTAAAAGATACAATGTAGCAGTTAGCTAATTCATGTGTACGTATCCTACCATTTTAATAATGGTCACTAAAAAATACTATTCAATTAAAATATTCAGTGCATTGGGTATATATTCTGTTAGCATAAATAGAATGGATAAAATTGCCGAGATAAGACATATCAAAGGCAGAATATGAAATAAGTTATTGTTTTTTCAATTTGTTTTTAGGTATCATATGTTTTTGAGCATAAAAAAGGATCTAAACAATGGAAGGTAATTTTCGATTGTATTTTTTATTCAGTCTTGTTATGGTGAATAATTTTTTGCCATACTTGTTGTAAAAGCTAAATATACTACAGGTTGAAATTTTAGGGCCACCATCAGTAATTAAAAAAATAACAATGACAAATGAACACTTGTGTTCACACAAAACATAATATTAACAAGAAATGATGTTACATGTTATGTCCATTACTATTAATCGACAAACGTTTCAATTAACATTTCACTTACACTATATAAAACTTTTATAAAAAGGTCGCAGGTTGCCTTTTGTTGTGGAGCATTCAGCTTTAAAGTTTTTGAACATGTATACTTGGTAGCCTCTGCCATTCATTTTTCAGCATCTCTGCAGGTTGATGGTTAACGAGATCTCACGTTTCAGTCTAGTTTATTCCACGTCAACAGATGAGCAACTGTTGAGGCCAATGGTTGAGGCTATTTGATGATCCTTATGGATCCTTATATTTTTTAGTTCTGTTATTTTGATGTAGCTAGCGATGTAATAAATCGCTCAGAAAGAGAGACAAAAGTTGTTTTGCTAAATTACATAATACTACTACCTTGTTCATGCGTCGTTTCTGTTTTTAAAAGAAACTGAAAGTGGCCTTACTCTTGGCCTGTATTGTATATTGGCGAATACACAAAAATCTCATGCACCCCATAAAAATTTCATGGTTATGTCCCTATATTTAAGACATGTGACTTAATGTTTTGTTTTAGATTATCATGTCCTGAAGACACTGCTGCTCAACTATCCTCATTGATAGTTCAATGTGAGTTTAGTTTTCTTCATTTAAATTCAACATATTTGTAAGTGCAAACAAATTGACAATTTAAATAAAGAGAAGAGGTGGTTTGTTTAAGTTTAAGTTTAAAAAATGTATGAATGTATGAAATGCATTCAGCACATTCTTGCCTGACTAAAATTGCTTCTATTTTAGCTGAAAATGGAGATTATCATCCAGATAACATGCTAGATCAATACATTAGTGACTACCAATTTGTACCCAAACAGGTATGTCCTCTCCCCTTTAATTATATGTTTTTTGTATTTCTCTTTTCTTTAAAATAACCAGAAATTTAAATCACTAATTTTAGCAATCGCCTTTTCCTAGCAGCTATATATTTTTATGCTTGTACATACGTACTCTTTAGAAATAAAAACTGTTTATTATATTTGTATATATTTTGTAGACAAATGAATTTGAAGAACGAGTTTTCTATTATCATAAAAAACAAATGTGAGTATGTTAAAGTATTGTTAAGTTTTTGTTCGCTTCTGCGTGATGATGATTTTTTCCATGATGTATATGCATTAAGTTAAACTTTATGCATAAATTATGCATAATTTATGCATAATTTAGAACGGTTTTTTCTCTAGAGGACTGAGCCCAGCGAAAGCAGAGTTGAAATTTTTGGAAATAGCCAAGCGATTAGAAATTTATGGTTCAGAGGTACAAAAAGCAAAGGTAAATCAGATATAAATCACGCTATGATTTATTAACTGTGTAAACGCAATAACCAGCTTAAACATGAAAGTATTTGACGTTTTAAAAGCTCTCACCTCAGGTTCTTCAAAAAAACTTGCTGGCCATTTAAATGCCAGCAAGAAAATTTACATTTTTGTATTTAAGGAAACACTGGAATCGTTTTAGTCAATTTTATTTGTTGTTTAGTTTATTAGTGTAAAGTTTCGATAGAAATTTGTGATTTTGGGTGAGCCATTAGCAAGCTTCAGACAATCGAGATAAAGTGGGAAAATTAATCAAGTGGACTGCGCATGCTCAGTTGATTTCTTTGATTTGTAACTGAGCGAGCTATTTACTCCAAAATCGGTACAATTAGGACTAGTAAGACGACTGTTTATAAACGGGGACAGCAAGACAGCCACTGGTTATTGGAAATTAGCAAGAAATGAAATAAATGTCTATAATAAAACATTTTAATTATTGTTACTAGCAAAAAAATACTTCCAATTACAACTCGGCGTTTTTCTAAAACTTTGCACCATCTTTTGATCCTTAGTTCTTAAATGTGTTGTGTGTTTTTTTGTTTTCAGGACTCCGAGGGCTGTAATATTGAAGTTTATGTTTGTTCTGAAGGAATCAAGGTTTTTCGTGATCACACACGGCTTAATATTTTCATTTGGTAATGATTGTTATCTTTTTTGATTAATATACTAAATGATTATTAAGTTGCCATTGTTTGTTATATGTGATACTAATTTTCCCAATTTAGGTCAAGAATTGAAAAAATATCATTTAATAGGAAATATTTTAGAATCCAGCTCTTGCCTGACGTTGACAGGGTAAGCTATTACGAAATATTGCGTAGTATTCATGTGTGTGTGGCATAACAGAAACTAATGTAGCAGAACATGGATGTATGATCACCCCTTGATGCAACTGCCATGGTCAGGTATAGGATCAAGATGTACTCATCTTTCATGAAAATAAAGATACGTAAATATAAAAACATATCATCGTTTTAATTATCTCAGATCTAGCTTTCTATACATACGTAGCTAACTGGTCTTAGCTATGTATAATGAATTTAACACCATATTTCTTTCAATTTATGCAATGTCTGCCATTGTATTATGTTGTTTCAATTTGTTTATGTAATTAACGCATATCGGTCTTTCGATAAGCTATTCCTTCGTTATATCTAGAATCATTCTTCATTGAAAACGATTGTTGAATTCATTATGTCTTCGTTGGCGAGCTGTAAATGTTTATGGAAAAATGCAGTGGCACATCACACATTTTATAGGTTTGTGAAGATTTATCCTTTTCTTTTACTGCATGCTACTTTTGTGTATTGTTGCCAAAATCTCTATGACCAAGTGTGCGCACATTATTAGTTCCAATCTTATTTTTTTGCAGAATTTTGCAAACATTGTTTGTACTTATGCCTGAATCACACGTGTATAATAAACGTGAATGACAATACTTTAGTTTTGTTTGCTCTAGAGGTTTAGAAAGACATAGAAATCGTCATTTTATTTAAATGTTCTTTTGTTCTTGAAGAAAAAGTGAACGTCATGTCCGTTTGCTTTTGACGCTAATGACGTTGCCATTATAAGTATTGATTGATTTTAAGTTCTTGTTTAGCAGACGTTAACACGTGATGAGTATAGTCTGCAGAAATGCATCGTGTTTAAGTTCTCGTTTAGCAGACGTTAACACGTGATGAGTATAATCTGCAGAAATGCATCGTTTTAAGTTCTCGTTTAGCAGACGTTAAACGTGATGAGTATAGTCTGCATGCATCGTGTTTAAGTTCTTGTTTAGCAGACGTTAACGTATAGTCTGCAGAAATGCATCGTGTTTAAGTTCTTGTTTAGCAGACGTTGACACGTGAGAAGTATAGTCTGCAGAAATGCATCGTGTTTAAGTTCTTGTTTAGCAGACGTTAACACGTGATGAGTATAGTCTGCAGAAATGCATGTGTCTTTTCGCTTTAAAACAGTTCTTTTTAAAACTCTTAGTTTATTTTTGCCATCCACCATGGCAATTTCTCTTATTTTAGATTTGTCACCACGACAAAGTCTCTATTTTATTATACTTATTTCGTTCGTGTAAACCAGGTTTTTTAGAAGCTTCGTTTATTTATACTTTTTTTCCAATTAATCGTAATTCTTATCCAATATATCCAATAAACTATTCACTGTCATCTTTATTACAACAATAGTCTCACTTTTTTGTTTTTGTAATATAACTGTTTGAATAATTTAAAAGAAAAACGTGGCGAGCAAAGTTTTAGAAGTTTAACTTGTCGAAGAATTTTCGCCCGAGATGTAGATCACGCGTATTCATTATATTATTTTTCAAACGTCACAGATCCACGAATATCCCATGCGTGCAATTTATTATCCACTGTGATATACCTTTAACGCTGTTTTCCCAAATTAACCACTTGTATGATAAACTATACAGTTATTTTAGAAAATGAAAAGTTTAAAGTTTAGGTGTGACGAAACAAAAAATATCTATACTTATTTTCAAGCAGTCGCTACAGATCTTATCAAGTAAAACAACCTCGAGTACACATGGGATAATTGTGAATCTGTAATGTCCCTATTGTCATTTATGTCGAGATGTTTTTACCGCACATCTACATCTCAAATGTGATGGACGTGCATTATTTATAAGTCCACAATTTGCTTGTATGCATTCAAATTGTTTTCACTCGCAAACGCCAGTATCTTATTCTTTGTTATTTTACAATTCTTCTACATTTTTCATCATTTGTTGTATGTAGACAGAATTATCGACAACGACTGAGGGAAAGACCAAAACTTATTCGATTCGGATCTACTTACAAGTACAGGTATGAATATAGTTATTTTTTAGTAGAATTATCATAACTGTCTTTTTCTCCAGTTTTTGGTCAAATGTTAATTGTAAATCAAAAAACTTAGAACTTAATTCATTGATTACGAAGCAACACAGTCGGTGGAAATGAACGACATAGTTACGATTTCCTCGTTTATATATGTTCTTCATTTCATATTCTACAAATTTACTATATTTCCTTTTCGTATTATGTCGATAACTGTCTGAAGACTGCCGATCACTTAAGTTTCGCGTGATTCAACACGTGATTTGAGAGCTTTAATGCTCATCGAACATCATTGTAAATTCATCATCACACATCACCATGCGCACTCGCTACAGATCCATTTGTTTTGTAAAAAATCATCGAGTGGTAGTTTGAATCATTGTTCTTTTTGCTCAGTGACCTTATGCATAATACGAGCCACTTCTTCACTAGCTTCTTTGAAGAATTTACTTACCTGGCCAACTAGCATGATCTATCTAAACTCTCTGTTTTTGGTTTCGCCCTGAACCCTAGCTCTTTTTTATTTGCATGCATCACATTAAAGAATCATGGTGAACTATCGATGTGTGAGATGTTACAAGTCACCCGATTGGCATTTTTTTTGCAAGGATTATTTTTAAAAAACACATTCGAAGATCACAATGGAGTTTGCCAAAAATATTTTGTTTCAGTTTACATCCAAGTGATGCAGATGTTGTGATTACGACTTCACGTAATATGCTTAAACAGATAAATAAGCCTATCAGAAATATAAATTTGAATATCACGATTAGATTTGGAAATATTTGTTTTCGTTAGTGTAGTGAAAGGTTAAATGAGTTTTTGAAATCTTGTTCGAGGTTACGATAATTCAGTATTTTAATTTTTTACAGTGTCATTACAACAATAATGTCTGTGTTCATTTAGAGGTAGAACTGAATTTCAAGCTGTTGAAGCAGGAAAACGAAGCGTTCGAAAAGAAATACCCTTTCAAAGGTTTGTTTGAAAGTGTTGCCGTTCAATTGTTTCTTCAATGTTAAAATGCTGTTTGTACTATATTCTCCCAGACTTAAGTCGTCTGTGTACTTGAGAAGCCGGGAAAGCCACCTGTATATTTGTCTTGTATCATCCTTTATTTGTCTCAAATCTATCGTCCTTTACTTCTTTGCTGTATTTTATTTAGAACAAGCTTAAGACGAAATTCAACTAGATCATTCGGTGAGTGCTAAAATTATTTACTATATATGTGTGTATGAAGGGCATAACAAGGACACACTCGCAACAGACTGTATTTATAGAGTAGAAAAACATGGTGTTTCGAGAACACTTTGAAAGTGTGAATCTTGCACTTTTAATTTTGAAATCACAATTAGTGTCATAATTTTTTCTGTATAGCAAGCTTTTTTAGTTTCATGGCGTTGATTACTTTTCTGCTACAACAAATACACTACGTATGTATGAATTGTAGGTTCCAGTACGTTTTATATTGACGTTGATTCAGATGTTGCATCCATGTCGACAACGCAAGGAAGGTACAAAAGAATGTATATGTATGTCTGTTTTTGCTTATCGATCTGAAGATTACGATCGAGATTTGACGATACTTGTCGTTAAGTTTCCCTAGAGATAAAGACAAGAAAAATCGTTATTTTTGTTTGTACCTAAAATTTTGTATTGTTTTAATTAACGAAATTTGGCTGCTTTATATGAATAACTTTGTACATAGTTTTGAAGGCAAATGAATTCTGAATGTATGTATTGAAGCATTAATTTTAAACATAAACTTTCTTTCATTTTTAGCTATGATGCAATGCATCGATCAGATAACGAATTTAAGTCTCCGAGTAGTCTATCACCTGCTCGCAGGCATGTGACTGAGGTAAGTGTTTAGCATTCTTATGCATGGACGCGGCCAAAATCACATTGCATGAATGTATTTTTCACTCTAACAACTCTTTGTCTCTTTTGTCACGTGTTGTGCAATTCTATTAATCATTGTTTATCCTGTTGTAAAGACGGATTAGGTCAATGCAGACATTACCACTGAATAATGCAGCTGCTACATGTTTTTACCTAAAGTATAGTTAGTAACATAAAGTATAGTTAGTAACATCAAGTATAGTTAGTAACCATAATTTATGGTTGAAAAAAGTTATGACAGCCGTATGGGTTATACAACTAATGCAGGTTATGTTGCATTGCTGGAACAAAGAACAAGGAGCATAGTTAGAATAAAGGCAATAACAACCTTTAAAAAACATTTAGAGATAGCAGCAGGCTGGCAGATAAAGCAAGTGAAAAAAACTGAAGATTGTGTATCTTAGCTATGAGAGACAGCAGCTTACTGTATAGATAAGCAACGAAAACTATGGGCTGTATCTAAAAACATTGAGATGTAGCAGTAAGTTCTGTATATGAAAAAAATTATACTTTAAGTTAGATTAGAATGTAGTAGCTAAAGATTGTATTATGTAGGCATTGTAGATTATGCAGCTGAAGATATCAGTGGGTTAATTGTAGTTAATAAATGGCTGCAAGCTGAAAAAATAAAGTCAAACTGTTAATTGTTTACTAGCTGATATTTTGGATGAATTATATTTTGCTATTACGCTACATACCAGTATGTTGTCGTTATACTTAATAAATTTACTTTACAGATGAATGGTATACTCAACGATGAAGGTCTACTTGACGTCAGGTAAAACTTATTATTGCATGGATATTTGTCACGCATGCGCTTTTATTATTGATGTTTATCAAGAAGCAAAACTATATTTTTTGTATGTTTGTTTTCAGTGTGAAACCGAACAATAATGGTCAATTTGGATTAAACTTTAAGGTAACATTGAGCTAAGCAGCAACCAACAATAGTCGAATATTGCAAAACAAGATGGGTCAATACACTTTTTTATATTGAAAATTTTTTTAAAGGGGGGTGCTGACCAAAATTTGAAACCAATCATAACTCAAATTGCTCAGAATTCTCCGGTAAGAATTTATATTTTTAATAGATTTGGACTTAAGGAAATAGAAAGTTTCTTAAGTATGTATGTTTTCTTTAAATTTGGAACTGGAACTCTCTCAAACTATAGTCGCATCACCATTTCTATTCTCAATTTTATCAAATCACGCAGTTCTATTGGATAGTACTCATGATCTGAGCGAGTAATGAAACTTGGTGTAATGTTAAGTTTTAAATATAATCAGCATTACGAATATCAAAGAATAGTCTGTAGTATTAAAAGCATCTTCTTTTTCTCCTTTTGGTTGTTCGTCATACCGCGTTTTTTCTCTCCAATTTGCTCTTTTAATCACATTCTCTTGTATCTCATCAATGTTCCTCATATCCTTCTTTACCACGTCCATCCGCCTCTGACGTGCATGCGTGACCTTTCTCTTCTCTACCCTGGCACTGCTATCTTCAACATCTGTCTTCCCAAATAGTCCTCTTCACTCCTCATTACACAGCCAAAGAAGCGCAGCCTTGCCTATTTCAATTCATCTGTTATCTTTGTAAGGCTACCTCAAACATCAAGAAGGCAAATTTTGTCTACAATCAAGGAAATGTATAGGTGTAAAACTCGCGTACTTTTTTCGTCCACAATTTCAAACGGATCTCGTACAAAACGAGTTTTTTACTTTTTATTTAGGCCAGCATGTGTGACCCACAATTGCAAGAAGGTGATGAAATTGTTTATATTAATGGAAGAAAAGCTGAACAGCTGTCTCATGAGCAGGTCAATGACAATAGTATATAGAATAAATAAGTTTATCCTAAAGCATAATTTTATCTATTTGTATGATGTGTTAGATATGTTGTCTTATCCGTTCTATTGGCCAATCTGCAACGAACAGAACCTTAACGCTTTCAGTGCGACCTTTCGGTAAGAAGTCAATGCGTTTTGTTTTCAGATTAATAATGCTGTAGCATGGCAATTTATGTTTTACAACATTTGCGTACAGGAAGCATTGAAAACCACGAAATAACGAATTCAGAGAAGAAACACTCTTTGACTTATGGAATATCTTCACAGTTGCTCATGTCAATGGGAAAAATTAAACAGGTATTTCTTGGCAACTAGTAAATTGCGCTAGCATTTTGTTTTAAGAAACGAGGTGTTTACCTTCATATTTTGAATGTGTTCACACTGTTTATTTTGTTAGATCTAGTTTGAAAGTATATATATTGCGGATGGGGAGAGGGAGAGAAGGATGTCTTATGAAGGTTTAGATATAGTTCAGTTCATGAGCAGAGAGTTTTATTAAAGAATTGTAATAATGTCATATTTCCATGATTGTATGAAATCATTGATCGTTTCTGTGTTTTGTTAGTTACTGTATAATCTGCGTTGTATAAACGCTCGGTAAATAAATGTTTTCCGTGTACATCACGACAATGATATACGTATCAAAAATATTTCTTGTTTTCTTTTAGGGATTAGAAAATGGTGACTTATTGGAATTTTATGTTGTGAGTTTTTTGTATTTGCTTTATCTTGTCTGTTAAGTTAATTTTGTTATCTTTTTCGCTCGTGAGTTACGCGTGATATTGTAAAATTGCCTTCACTTTGAATGCATATAACTGTTTCGAATAACTCTTTGGGGATCTTCAACTTGTAGCTTTTCCCCGACTTTAATGTCATTATACTTATTTGTGCCAAATGTATTTCAAAAAGCGTGATCTAAAGCAATATATATTATCATATTATATAAAAAGTATGGATTTTCTGCTCCAACTTATCATGCGTAAAGCATAGTCCTATTGTTTTAGTATTTTTTTTGTCAAGGTTTTTGTAATAAAACATATACATACTAACATACTATACTCGTTCATAATGAGAAATTTACGGATCTTGTTTGTTTTTTGCAGGATATGCCCAAGAAGAAGCTTGAATTTTCAACAGAAATCGCTCATCTGCCAAGAAATAAAACAAAGAACAGATATCGTGATATACTACCATGTAAGAACTATAATCTTCTCCTCATAAGTATTCTTAGATTTTCGGATGATTTTAATGTACATTGGAAATATTTTAATGACAGATTCTCGAACGGTTTTCATATTTTGTGTTACACCACGTATTGAGCTCTATCATTAAGATATCCTCCACCCTTCAACTTCCCAGTGGGTAGAAACCGAAGGAAAACCCAAGATTTGCCAAAGACTTACCATCATTTCAATCTCAAACGAATGCGCTTTTTAAGTCCTTCAGTTAAATTATTGTATTTAGCGTGAATAATAAGTCGTGGTTCACTTTAGCGTGAATAATAAGTCGTGGTTCACTTTAGCGTGAATAATAAGTCGTGGTTCACTTTAGCGTGAATAATAAGTCGTGGTTCACTTTAGCGTAATAAGTCGTGGTTCACTTTAGCGTGAATAATAAGTCGTGGTTCACTTCAGCGTGAATAATAAGTCGTGGTTCACTTTAGCGCGAATAATAAGTCGTGGTTCACTTTAGCGTGAATAATAAGTCGTGGTTCACTTCAGCGTGGATAATAAGTCGTGGCTCACTTTAGCATGAATAATAAGTCGTGGTTCACTTTAGCGTGAATAATAAGTCGTGGTTCACTTCAGCGTGAATAATAAGTCGTGGTTCACTTTAGCGTGAATAATAAGTCGTGGTTCACTTTAGCGTGAATAATAAGTCGTGGTTCAAGCGTGAATAATAAGTCGTGGTTCACTTTAGCATGAATAATAAGTCGTGGTTCACTTTAGCGTGAATAATAAGTCGTGGTTCACTTTAGCGTGAATAATAAGTCGTGGTTCCCTTCAGCGTGAATAAAAGTCGTGGTTCACTTCAGCGTGAATAATAAGTCATGGTCTCACTTCAGCGTCAACGATAAGTCGTGGTTCACTTCAGCGTGAATAATAAGTCGTGGTTCACTTCAGCACAACTTAATCACTATGCCCGCTTCTTACTTAATTTTGCTATTATTTATTATTTTTATTAGATGATTACAACAGAGTTGTGATAAATAGAGAAAATGACTATATTAACGCCAGTCATATTCAGGTAATGAATGTCTTTGTTTTTTATCAGGGGGGGATCTGTGAGGAGTTTGGCGCGTATGATAAAATGATCTTTGCTTGGCGTAACGTGAATAAGGGGCTCACACTTTATAAACTTGTTCACTACACAAGCTTAAATAGCGTTATTTCCATGATACTTTTTCAGATGGATATAGGTTATTCAGGAATGAAAAATGAATATTTAGCTGCACAAGGCCCTCTCTCAGACACTTGTGGTGATTTCTGGCAAGTAAGAGTTTTTAAAGCTTTTTTGTCATTGGTTACAGTAAATCTCCAGCGTTCAGCGTGAAATAAATTACTCATGAGAATATAAATTACATCAATTGATTAGATGATATGGGACCAAGACGTAAGTGTGATTGTCATGTTGACAACGACCATGGAAAATGGAAAGGTATGGTGCTTCAATGTGGTTGATATAGTTTACCCTTGGTGCAGGGCACTCGTAGCAAACACAAAGCAAGCAATGAGGGAGGGCACACAGTTTGCCCAACACGAATGCAATTCTTTTATGGCTTCTAGAAAAAGCCTGTTTACATTGCAAAAGTCTGCATAAATACTGTCACTCGAAGTACTGCGTGGACGCGTAGCAATTCCATCAGTTAAGTATATGGTTGTGCTTCTGTTTACTTGCAGGCAAAATGTCATCAGTATTGGCCTGAATGCGGAGAACATTTTGAAATTGGTAACTTCGAGGTGTCGCCTTTGTCATCACGTGATTATTCGCCCTCCTACATTTATCGTGAACTGATTGTAGCTGATCTTGAGGTATCAAAATTTTATCGATATTTTTTTCTTTCGTGCTTTGATGTTTACATTGGAAAATCTTGGGAATAACTTGTGCTTATTTTAAATTGTGTTTCGATTACATGACTGGAAGAAAGGTTTAAATAAGGAAATTATTTAGGTTTTGATCTATCATTAAATTTTAATTTATCTTCTTTCAGACTGATGAAGAAAGGAGTATCCAACATTTACAGTTCATTGCGTGGCCAGATCATGGTATGTTTGTTTTAAGTGCAATATTGTGAGCTAGTTAGGAGCAAAAATTCATGAAATAACAAATATTGTTTAACAATTGTTGGACTATAAACTAGTGATAAGTTTTATTTAAAATGTTTTTATTTGCCATGGAGTAAATGGATGTTCGCCTTATGACTTAAAATTAAATGGGAGTTTATGGAGTAATGTTACGAGTCGAAAGGCAGTGTTTTTTAAACTTTGCACTATCCTTGGATCCCTAGTTTTCTTTCGTGAAAAGAAAGCAACTGAAGTATTTACCAATGGTGAAATTCTTTAAATGATCAGTGTTGTTAACCTAGCTACCGACCATTATAATTTTCATAAACTTGCTATAATTTTGGTAACAAACTGACTAGAAAACTAGATGTTTTTCTCACTGGATTGGATGAGAACTTTAAAACAGAATTTAGTCGATGATGTATCTATCCTAACTGCTTATATTTTATTGAGAATGTGTCTAGTGTCACCACATATGTTTTACGAGAGCTATAAAAACGTTGCATAACATCAATTTTTGCATGTTGAATCTCTTTTTTTCTCAATTTCTGTTATGGGGCTTTGGGTCAGACTTTAATGCCTTCTTAACGATACGTCTTTAAATTATTCAGGTGTACCTGAGGATTCTCGAAGTTTTTTAAAGTTTGTCAACGAGGTTCGTCGGTACCGATCGACAACTTCACGCCCGATTGCTATTCATTGTAGGTGGGTTGAAATACGTACAACATGTTGAAAATTGAATTTAATATCATTTAATAACATTTGCCTGAGTCCATTATTAGTCTTGGACTAATGTTTAATTCTTTAAAGTGCTCTCTCAGTTGGTGTTGGAACATGTTTCAGACAATTCTTTGAAGATAATTTCTTCTGGATGTTTATAACTTTGTGTGTTTTTTATAGCGCTGGTGTTGGACGAACTGGCGTCTTCATTGCTGTGGAAACTGCTTGTTGCTTGATTGAAGCGGGAGTACCATTATCTCCTGAAGAGATGTTAGATACTCTACGATGTCAACGGCCATCACTTATTCAGACACCAGTAAGACAATATTTTGTTTACTACGTATGTATAGAATTATTGTTCGAAAAATTCAAAGAATTTATCTTTTGATTGATTGGATAATGCGTTCAGCAACCGTTACTCAAATATAAATATTGTACGATATATTCAGATATTACATCTTTAACTCTGATTATGTTGTACATTGTCAAACTGTTCGATCAATGGCAGAGGGATAAATAACGTTGTCTTACGCTCTAATTCTAAAAGCTTTCTCATACTTCAAACTCATTGAGTGTGACATAAAAATCGAGTTCTCTCTAATCAATGGCAAGAGTTCTCTCTCTGATTGCTTGATTTAAAACATTTTAGCAAAATGCCGTTTTCGATTATTATGAGATGGTTTTAAACCACTACTCAGTGAGTGTGAGTGAGCTTTTAGTATTTACGGGCGTTAGTCACTTTATTTTTGTTTTATCATAAATTTTGTACGAAGCTGTTTTTTATGTTTTTAATCGTATACTCTGTTTTCAGGGGCAATTCAAGTTTACATGCGAAACGTTTTTGGATATTTATCAAGGTAAATTTTTTTTATGAAAATCAATGTCTTACGACACATGAAGTCAGTAACGGATCCATCCTTAGTCCATATAAATTGTAGCTGTTCAATTTTCTTTCAAAATACCTTCTAAACAAAACTAGTGGTCACGAAATTCTAAAGCAGGGGCGGATTTAGGGGGTGGGGTGGTGGTGAATCTGCCGCCCCCCCCCCCCTTTTGCTAGAAAAACCCCAACAAATTGAATAATAGTAAAAAATGACAGGCCAGTTTCAGTTTTCAAACTAATTCAAAGAGTTCGCCTCCCCTCTTTCATAATCTCCTGAATCCGCCCCTGTAAAGAATATAAAATTTTGCTTGTCAAGTTGTCTCTAAGGTATTTGAAAGTGTAAATATATCGGAAAATGAGCTGCTGTATTATATTTTGTTGTGTGATCATTCTTTAAAGAATTATGAATGTTGCACAATTAATGAATTTTATAAATATCCACGAGTGTCAAATTATTAGGATATATTTAATGAGATCCATGATGACAACTTTTTGGCAAACAAATTGTTGCATACTTTATTTTGTACGTATGTTTTAGTCGATCATTATTTTTTTGATTTGATTGCGGGTTTTGTTTTTTTTAATGCAGAACATTTTCTGAAAACTCAATCAATGAACAGCAACTGAAACCAAGATTTACGCCAAGAAAAGGAAGAGGTTTCAACTATGTCCACGTGCTGTGCTTTTCATCGTTGTAAAGTGCTTGAGTTGTATATATGATGGCAAGTGGAGTCACAACGAAGCAAAAATTTCATTGGATAACATGCACTTTCTATTCAAAGTTCACGATGGAACTTAACTCGAATGTATGGTGTTTTGCAAGCTGTAAGCAGTAAGCTCCATACGTCTAGATTTATGAAAAAGCTGGTGGGATTAAAACACTTCAAATCAACACTTTTTATTTGAAAGGTTTCTTTTTTTGTGCCGTATTGAGCAGTAGGAATAGGAAAAAATGGTCTATTTATTTAAACTTGAAGAAACCTGAAACAGAATTTGCAATAATTCTTAGCCCCTAGAGGCTCGCATTCTGACAAAAGTATGCTACCTCAAACGAAGGATCTGCGTTACAGAACAAGAGCTGTGTATTATGGTCGTTTGCTTTTTATCAAATAGCTATGGCATCAAAATTAAGTTTCATCAGGTTGCATGACGAAGAATATGAATTTTATTACTTAAATTAAAAATATTATTTTAATTGATTTAGTAGATAAATTAATTCTAGAAATTTAATGTAGCAATCAAGAATTATTGTAGTAAATTTTAATATATAAGTGTCATAATATATTGATTTTTAAATGCAAATTGATTCTGGCTATTTTTTCTTCTTTTTTCTCTGCTCTCTTACTTCTGACTCCGCTGTTACCATCGTTTCATAACAGCGGTGTCCATGGCAACAGAAATGTGCGCGATTTTGAAATTTTCAAAACTGTGATTTGACAAGGCGTAAAATATTTTTCATTTTAAGTCTTTATTAGTTAATATATTCTGCCAATACATGTCTCGTTCAGTGCCATGGCGAAGGACATGTCCTGAGAAAATATTATCTCGTATTGAACGAACGATGACAGCAAGAATTTACTTACTAAGAGCGACTGGCCCAACTGGATTTCTTCTAGCTGCCGATGGAGATGAAAAAAAGTATAAGGTAGATACAAAAGCTAAGTCTCCTTTGGCCTCTTCTTTTAATGTAAAAGTACTGAAAATGTATGTTTTTTTCTTTAGGTGTTTCTGGGTGATCCCCACTCTTGCACCTGTAATTTGTTTATGAAAGAAAAAGATTTGTGTATTCACATTTTATGGTATGCAAATACGTTATACAATTTTAAAGTTCGCTAAAATAAGATTGTTTGGATTTGTATGATGGTATCCATATTAAATTGAATAAAATGCAACTATTATGTAAAATATTGTGATTAAACATTTATTTTACGAAATTTCTTTAACAAAGTTAATAAAAAACATTCAGTATAGCAGAACTGAACGTTATTGCCTATTTTAAGTTGATGTAAATTATCAACGACCAACTTTTACAAAGGTCAAAGTTGTGTGTTGCTTTAACAATATTTTCTCTGTTCTTTTAGGGTTTTAATAAAAAAGTTTCGGATACCAAAAGAAAGTTCAGGTTGGAATGGCATACTTGATAAACACCTCATTTATCTTCTCTTCATAATCATAAATTGAACTGAGATGAGTTACTTGATTTAAAATGTCCTTAGTGGTGTATCAACTTGGTTTGGTTGAAAGAGAAATTGCTGAAGTAGTGTATGGAAAGAGCACTGTCAATAATTCTACCAAAAAGATCAATGATGATACAGGCTCTAATTGTCGAGAAAAATTATGCAAGAAAGAAATATCTGAAGATGATATATGTCCAATTTGTCAAGAAGATTTACTTGGTGACTGAAGCAACAACTTATTGCAAGTAAGCAATGATTGATATAATTATTAAGCATGCATATACATAAATTTCCATTCTCTCTGAATGCATTATATACAACCATTTTGTCATGACATATAAATTCAAATTAAGAATTTGTGTTTCAACATGTCTATTTTTATTGCATTGAATATATTTTACAGTAGTAATTGAATTTCTCTAAAATGTGTAAATCCATTTGCCAAGATATATTTTGACCACAATGTATGACAAATGCAGATCTTTAACTCAACAGATATGGTTGTGGCAATAGTGTTCATGTGAAATGTATGAAAATATGGGCTGATCATCAAAAATCATCTGGTGAATCTACCATAAAATGTCCTTTGTGTCGTGAAGATTTTGGACCATTTGAGGTAGAATTAATGTTCAACTGAACATCATGCATATTTGTTGGTTGACCTGTTTTGCCATATTTTTTTCTACTGACAAATTTTTTTAAAATTTTGTTATTTTCGTGATAATGTTTATCAGTGAAGATTCAAGTGGAAACTGAGACCAAGTATATAATCTAAGTGGACAAATGTCAGAGAGTGACAGAAGGGAGTGTGTATTGCCAAAGTCCGAAGAGCCTATCAATTTTTTCCAAAACGAGCGCAATGTTATGAAATTTCAGATGCAATTAATAAATCCCAAAAAGTATCGAACAAAAATATTACTACCAATAATTTATCTTTCCTAACCGACCATCCGCTTCTGTTTTTTCTTCAGCCAACCCAATGTTACATTAACGTCCTTTTTTATTGTCATTGAACTGCTATCATAAATCATCCCTCGATAAAGACAAATTTTGCAGAAATCTCAAGTTTCTAACTATGTATTCCAGTTTTTTGTTTGTTTTGAATTTTTTTATGGTTGACTTTTTTGAAGAAAAATATGGCAAAATGTCCATGTTGTGTATTGTTAATGGAAAGAATGTTGTTTCGCGATATTTTCTACGAATACATAGTTTAAGAAAGGATAAACACCAAAAGCTACATTTAAGTTTCAAAAACATACGTAAATATAATGTAATTTATATAAATGTGTATGGAAGTATGTTTAGAAATTAATATGTCTTTTTTTTGTTTTATGTAGAGAATAAAAAGTGATTATCTCCATTCTTTGAATTGTCGACAAAGACGTAATCGTCATTTTGGTAGTCAATGTGCTCATTGTCGAATTTTGCCGATTGTAGGACGATGTTACAGGTAAGTTTATGTTTCAAATAAATGAGTTTTCTTGTCTGCAGTCTCTGCATGTTGCGTATTTGGGTGTTAAAAACAATACGTATGTTCAACATTCAGAGCTGTATGATGTAGCAAAATGCGTAAACCGATGACTTGAGAGTTTGTATTTCAGAGCTGTTAAATTTTCTTCCATTATAATATATAGCTACTCTTCTGTTCATGATAACCTGCAAGTTCACTGATCTTTCAGATCTTAGACTGTAGTTTCTCTTACGAAGAAGACGATTCGTAAACTCACTGTAGGATGTTTGATTAATTATTCCCCCTTCGACCAATCTTGAAAAGTTCACTAATATGTCTTCTCCTTTGATTCTTTCCCAAAACAACACTTTTCATCCCCTTGCTTAACATATATCCTTACTCGCACAAGACTGCCATTGATGGTTGCACGGTGCTTAACCGTATAAGGATTACTGTTTTGAAGTCCATCTTAAGTAAGATTGTTAGTAGCTTATTCTAAGGCTTTTGGCGATGTTTTTTCATTGAAGATTTTTTCGTTGTTCTTGGGGCTTTAGTTTTATAAAAGCCTGTTTCTGCTAAATTTACCTTAAACTTCTTCTGAATTTTGAAACAGATACCTTTATTATTAAAAAGATTGTTTAGTTGCATCATATCTTACCATTACAGATGCACAGTATGTCATGATTATCAGCTCTGTCACCGTTGTTTTGAAATGAATGTACACTCTCAACATAAGTTTAACTATAGAGAGGTATGTTTCATGACTATTGAGCAAGTTTTGATCTTATTATATTTTTGATCTTATATTTTTGTAACTGACCTATTGTTCTTTGTTGTTTGAATCATGTTTATCTCAGTTTTACGTATCTCGTTTAAATCATTAAAATCACCATTAAACCATGTGTTGGTTGTGTTTTAGAAAACTAATCAACGATGGCGTCAAGCTCGGAAGTTTGTAGCTATTCCTTCTGCTGTAGCCAATGAATTGGAAAGAAGGGAAATCACAGAGCAAGACTACGATCTTTTACTTCAGTTAGACATCAGGTAAGAGAATTTGAAATCTATGAAATAATATCTAGTTGATTTTGACTATTTCAGGTACAATTAGAATAACAGTTGCATTTCGGTAAATATACAATAAGATATAGCTATATTATAACAATATACTGTTAGTCTAATTTCTTTCTCGATTGAATAATTTCTTTCCAAAATAAACGGACGGTTTTCTTTTATTCTACTGGTGTATCAAGAAAAAAGAGACATGTTGTTATAATTGCAACGCCCTATCACTACAGGATGTCTAAAGAAACTGCTAATCTTTGAAATCAAACACAATTTACATGATTCAGCAGTAGTTAATCCTCATAGAGCCGTAAAACACAATTGAATAAAATAATACAGCAGCTACTGCTCCATTGCAAATCCCAAACATTTAAGCCTCCTTTGGGATCAATTACTTCTGAATCATACAAATTCTTAATGTCAGCCGATGTCAAAGATGAGCAGTTTTTTAGACACCCAGAGCAAGACACATTTACAATATTCCATAAGCTGGACATCTGTAAGTTTTCAAAAATTTATGCAATCCAGCTCATCGACAAGACAACGTGGTGTTCCTGCTCATATACTACATTCGTTACCAACGGAAAGTATTTCAAACGAAAATGACCGATTACTAACCAATGAATTAGCAAAGTGTGGTATTTGTCTATGCAGCTATCGTTCAACGCAGGTTGTACGCAAGCTTCCATGTGGCCACGAGGTTTGTCAAATATTCATTCTTATGCACGTATATTCATTCAATGACTACTACACTCACTGATCAAATAAGTACATGAAGCTCGACCGCAGTTCTTGATTCATTACCTTACGTCGTTGATAGGCAAATATTAAATGAAAAAGAAATAAATCCATGATCCTATAGATGATCGTGTAAATAGATTCATTACAATAAGGATTTGTCTATATACAGTATACATTTTATGTTTTATCAATCAACATGTATGGCCTGTGGTCTCAGATCAAGATATGATGTCTTCATATTTGTATAAAGTAACCTCGTTCATACACGTTCTAATTGTTTTCATATTTACATTTTCAATTACAGTTCCATCGAGTATGTATCGATTCCTGGCTATCTAACGATCATAATGTTTGTCCAATTGATGGGCTGACAATTTACTCGGAGCATGAAACGAGCAATGTTTCAAGAAACAATCGAACCTTTACGTCGAGTAATGAGCGTGTAAGAAATATTCCAACTTTGCAAACCACGAAACTACAAAGAAATTTAAATGGCGAGAATCATACTTTGCCACAAGATTTCTTTCTGAATGGTTTGAGTTTAGAACAAAGGTACCATTTCAAATATTAGTAAAACTGTATCAACTTTGGGACTACTGCAGTTTAGCGGACACTTTGGACGCTGACCCAAACCCTAACCCTATAATCTCAACAAAAACGAGCCCGCGGTCCCCATACATGTGCTTCGGGTGTCTGCTAAACTGCAGTCTAGCCGCAATTTTGCACATAGGCTGTGTCCGTAGAAGACTATCAGCTGTGGTTAGCAAGTTTTTGAAAGCTAAATGTAAAGTATTTAAAATTAGGCAGTCTCTTAATTTGAGATAAAATGATGCTTGCAGGAAATTAAATGAATAGCCGATAACGTTTACTTATGTATGGTTGCATGGAAAGACAAAGTATGTTGAGGAATCAATTTACCATGTGGGTTTTTTCCCCAAAATACACACTGTGAAACCAAAGTAAAGACAATGTTCATCACGTACATACGTGTCACTTATATTTATTTATAGCCATACGAAGGAAACATTACCTCTTTATTACTTTCTCACACAGAAATACAAAATCAAAATTGCATCCTCCAATGGTACAGTCAACTACAACTGAAAATACGTCGCCAGCTAAATTTCATCAAACATCGTTCTCCAGTAGACACTTTGTGTTTGATACTCAATTACCTGGGCGATCTGTGGTGGATGTTGACAAAATAGCGAGGTATGGTCGTCACAGTGGAGACAGCAGGATCAGAGCTATAAAAATAAAAATCGAAATATAAACATTAGAAGTACGGTAAGTTGAAGTTGAAGTAAGTTGTTCATGTTGATGGAGGGTTTATGATAATATGTTTTGATTTTATGTTGAGAAAAGTTTTGAAATAATTTTTTAAAGCAGCACAATGCAACTTAATACAAAATGGTTGAAGTTTTAAAACATAAGGAGAGGAAAGGCAAACTTACCGCTGTTATTAGTGACAAAAATGTACAAAATTTCTTGAATGACACGGCCCTGTTTTAGCCAACAAAAAGCGCAGCCTTGTTACGTTCACGCACTGTTAATTACTTTCAAAAGAAATCAGTTGGGCATTACTTAGGGGCAACCCTGTTTGACTGAATTTTAAACGACTTCGTCTGTGGTTAAACTTAATGGGAAGGCAAAATACTATTTATATACTCCAGTTAATAGCCCAAACAAGCTTATAAACCAATTCGTTATTTTTACCTATTTTTCAGTCTTTAACGGATATAATACTTAGCGGGCAAAAAATAACTGCCGAAAAACGACAAAATAAAGTGGTAAATGATTCTATTATCACGAACTGTGACAGAGTTCCTTCGCATGATGGTCGGACTATGCTTCGTTCTTCAATTACGAACTTAAAACCAGATGCTGACTATTGTACATATACACGAGTCGATTTCTAAATTCATACAGAATCGTCATTCAGATCATATGAAATATTTCGTGAAGTTGATAGTTTACCTTTAATCTCATCAAAAAAACTTAAGCTGTGAAAACCGTCACCAAGCAAGCATAGACAGATTGCGCACGACTCTTCACTATTGATAAACAAGAGTGACGCAGCTGATGGCAAAATAACGTAATTATAAATACAAAAGAACTATAAAGATGTATTACAGGTTGTTTATTCACTTTCACTTGACGTTAAGTATTATTAGTCAGGTAGATAAATTCATATTTTTAACCTTATCAAGTAAAGACTGTTTATCGTTAAAACTTTCAATTACTTTCTCTCGCTCTTTCTTAACATCTTCGTGGTCGGCAAGATATCCCCGTTTGCTTGGATCTCTATAATATTTTTCCAGTTTGGGAGGAGGTGCTGCCCTTCTGGGTAATCTTTTTTCGTTAAATTTCCATGGTTTCAAGAGAACACGCAAACCAAGCTTGGTGTAGTAGCTACATGTGATATTTCCTCCTTGCCTTTCTATGCTTTCAATGGCTTTCTTTGAAGCTCGACTCACTTCAATTTTTATTTGGGAGTTGAATGTTTCAGAACCCTTGAACAGAGATGACAAATATAAGACACAGCAAAAAATAGGTTTTTGTATTTTGACAACAGTAATTTTGACCTAATTTGTCGTGTCTCATGTTAAATACATCAAATACACAGACCTACCGTTCCTAATAGACACACGCCATCTCCAATTTTTGATACAGCTCCACTTCTCCATAATGTATTCATGTCAATTGGCTTACTATGATCAATACGACCACAATCAATGAAATATTGAAGTCTGTTCAAATTCAGTGGAACATAGTTCTTTTTGTTGCTATGAAAGATATGTACTCTGTATTAATAAAAGTGTTGGAAGAATCCAAGGGGAGATGTTTTTGCAAGTGCTTCAATATTTTATGAGTTGTTTACAAATTACCAGACAGTAAAATCACAAGGAATACCAACTCATACAGTTATTGAAAAATTTTGAATAACAGATGAAGAATGATGATAAAACCAAGAAATTGTTATTAATAAACCTTATGAATAATGAACATCCTAAATGCAAAAAAAAATGAACATCCCCTTTCATGCAAAAAATAAATGCTTTAACAGACAAAGTGTAAATACACAGGTTCATCCACATATAAAACAGTCAAATTTTAAATTCTTATGAAAATGTCTTATGAAAACTAAACAGAGTTGTTGAAGTGTTAATATTTCTGTAGATTTTAGTTATAAAATGGAGATATAACTGGCATTAATACCATAGCCAGCCTTGTATAATAAAGCTCGGGGGGTGTTTACATTCATTTTATAATCTGCAATAACAATTCACAGAAATTTATAAAGCAGAACATGCATTTAGAAATATCGCCACCTCCAATATTAAGCTGACTATGGCACTGTTGGAAAGTTATTGCATAGAAGAGACTATGGCACTGTTGGAAAGTTAGTGCATAGAAGAGACTATGGCACTGTTGGAAAGTTAGTGCATAGAAGAGATGTGCACATAGTGCACAAGTTACACAAACTTACACATTCTTGAAACCGTGTTTTGGTACTCTGAGATAAAAAGGAGTTTGACCTCCTTCAAAGCCAATTCTAGGCAAAGTTCCCCGTTGACCTTGACCTTTATGTCCTCTTCCAGAAGTTTTTCCACGACTTGAGCCAGGCCCTCTACCTTTTCTTCGATGCTGGTGTTACAAATTAAATCAATAAAATAGCATTTTATACACTTTAAACTAGACTTTTTTTAATTTAATGTGCCACACAATGGCACAAATTTTCAAGATGCTTGGACAACAGGCGGAATAATTAAGTACTTGTTCTCCTCAGTAAATTTTTAGTATTCAACCTCGTTCTACGGTAAATTGCAGCATATACTCATACGTTTTCCGTAATAATCGAGAAAGATATGTTGACATTTCATAGAATATCTGATTTTCCATGGAATGTTTAACTACAAGTGACATTTTAATACATTTACTTGAATTACATAATAGTAAATAATGAAATAAGTTAAGATTTTTTTGTTTGCCAACTATAGAAACATACAAACCGTCTTAAATGCTTCTGGTAAATCTTTTATATTGTTCAAAGATACTCGGGGAAAAGATTTTAGAGCTTTCAAACTTTTCTCGATATGACACAATCCACCGTTGCCAGCCATGTTGTTAACCGCAAGATAATACTTATTTCCATCTGCTAAACGGAGGACGAAAAGATACACTTATAAAGGATAAAAGTCACTAAAAAGTCAGGCTGCGAAGAGTTCTATAAAATTAATTTACTAATTGCGACCAGTGGTTGGGATAGCATACTGACTATTGAGTCTATTGTATAGACTTTAGAAAACACAACGCACTAAAAATTGATGTTTTTTATTGTAAATGTTATATTTAATTGGTCTACAGCTACAAGTAAAAAAAAGGGGAAAATGTTTCGTTTCCTTGTTGATTCTCTCCTGTATTTTGACGATCATTATTATTATATGGCTTACGCGGTGATTAATTTATCATGATTATATTATAGAATAATTTCTCTGAAAAAAAAAGTGCACTTTCATTTACTATTCCTTATAATAATGCCCACAAGATTCAATCAAGTTGATAGTTTGCCATGTTAGCTCGATCTGACCATGCTGGATGTGTCGCTCCGTCCATTTCTGGTGCCAATTCATTATTATCAGCAAGACGATGTTGCTGACCACCAATAGTTGCACCACAATCTGGACATTTGCTTTCCTCCATTGCTCCACCGCATTCTCCAATGGCATAAATGAAACTGCAACTGCACTTAAACCAATGGCCTTGTTTGAATCCCATTGCACTTACGATTTCTACTCTTTCTTCTTGTGTGATCGGTGTGAGTTGAGGATATCGAGAAAAAATATCAGCTACTCCTTTTTTAAACTTTGTTAAAGAATTTTCCTTAATGGTGTCCGGAGTTTTAAGAGCGTTCAGTATTCTTTTTACGATATCTTCATCGTCTTCATCAAGTGTAATATTTAAACGATTACAATTTGTCTTCAATATCAGAAGGTCCCTTTTAAGAGACAATCGTTGCAGCTCTAAATTCAAATCATTAAGAATGCGAGTGCTTGTGTTGTTCGGAACCACAACCATCTTACTCAGCAGGAACTGCATTTCTCTTTCAAAGGCGACTTGGGCAGCAGATCGATTTTCAAAATTGATTAAAGATTCCCAGTAGTGCATGCTAACACAACGCCAATTATTTATGAGCAATATTTCTGACGACAACAGCATCATATCATTCTCACACAATGTTTTTTTATTCATGAAAACTTTAAGTTTTTTTAGCAATTCCTCCAAATTATTCGGCAGCATATCTTCAGGACATTTTAATAATTCATCCAGTATATTTCCCGAAGGCAAAAGATTCTGCATTGTTTTCAACGCATCTACCAAATTTCTATTTCCTAAAATCTCTTTTTTTACCACATCAATGTCGTTTTGAATTGTCTTCAAAATGTTCCCATACCTCAATGATTTCATGATCGGTATCCGACAGAGAGGACAAACTTTTGGCTTGATTTCATTATTTACCTGACCATCCATGTATTTGTCCATACCAGTTTGCTCAAAAATATGGTCACACTCAGATAACTTGATGAACCTTGCATCATCAGCGTCTTCATTTCCAAACAATATGTCTGTGACGTCATTATCATTATTTTTGTCACACACAACACAAACACACGGTTCACCACAAAGACTTCGGCATTTATGACCACATTTAAGGTTCTTATAACACGGTTCATTACATCTTGGCCGATTGCAGATATCACTGCAGAGTTTGGTGCACTGAAGATGTTCACATTTCCATTCACAAGACTCTTTGCAAGGTACACAAACCTCTCCACATTTCTTTTGGCATTTGCTGTGAATGCAATGGCGTTCACACTTTCTCTCACAAGGAGGACAATTCTTTGAGCAAAAGCTTTTACATTGATGAGAACATACAAGATTTCTATCGCATTTCTCTTTGCATTTTACGTGTACTCTGCCTTGAATACATTGCCCGCATTTTCCTTTGCAAGGGTGTCCACATTCTAAAATGGCCTCACATGGAACATTACAATCTTTTTGCGTTGCTGAGCAAGCCATCGTATTTTCATGTCCACATGAGAAATCAGTTTTCTTCACCAGTTCTTGGCAATCTTTAGTACACGGTTTACTGCATTTTGCCTGACATCTATGCCCACATGCAAGAGTTTTTTCACATCTTTCTTCACAGTGAACGAAGTTTACGAAGCTTTCTTCACTACAAGGCAAAGTCTTCCAATGGCCACAGTTAAGTCTCTTCTCCACAGGATATTTGCAATTCTGGTCGCAAATCTCGTGACACAGTTTAGTGCATTGATGACCTAAAACTTCACAATCAGCCACATTTCTTCTGCACGGTTTCATACATTTGTAGTTGTCGTGGCTGCTAGGATGACACATCTGAGGACAAGCATGGCCACAATCGAGACGATGTTCACATTTTTCCAAACAACCTCCATTAGGAGCTAGTTTTTTAAAATCTTCAGCTGTCCTGACAAAGTTCTTTGTTTGATGATTACTACACACAAGAGCTAATGCGGGACCAAGACAATGATTTTGTCTGAGGTCTTTCACTATTTTCTCCCAGAGTAAGCTTTGCTTGGATAAAATTTTGCTGTTACCAATGATATAAAGTGCTTTACGAGCCCTCGACAGAGAAACACATACACGATTATCAGTTTTTAAAAATCCAATGTCTTCGTCTTGATTATTTCGAACCAAAGACAGAAGAATGATATCGTTTTCTTCCCCCTGATAATTATCAACGCAAGCAACACGTGGCATGTCACTTTCATATTCCTCGCCTATCGTCTTCATCAAGTCACGAATGACGAACATTTGACCTTTGTAGGTTGTTAAAATAGTAATCTTGGAGGACAAGTAACCTTGTTTCATAAAATACAAAGCGAGCTCAGCCATAAATTTTGCTTCGTGATGATTAACTTTGCTATGAACATTATCGTGGACATTTTCAGATTGATCATGATCGATAAAGTACAAATTATGCTCTACACCTCGAATGTTTTCGTACTCGTTTACAGACTCGTGATCTTCCAGGTTTTCATAAATATGACGAAATAAGTTGGAAATTTCCGGTCGCATCCTATGCTGAACCGACAAACGGCTATACGGGACCCCTGTTTCAATCATTCTTTCCATCAACGACACATCAAGGCTATATTGCTTGCCTAGTTTGTAAACGCTTGGATTTGGTCGGAGTTGTTGATGATCTCCAATGAGAATAAGATGTTGACAATGTTGTGTTAAACAAGCAATAATGTGAGCTTCGAACAACTCAGCTGCCTCTTCAATGATAACAACACGAGGTTGAAGTTGACTAAGAAGATTATGTTTCTTTGATGCACACGTTGTTGTCATTCCAACCACTCGACAACTCTGTAGTATTGCAAGATCTTCCACATTACGCATTTCTTCATACTCAGTGCTGAGCTCAAGATACTTGCTTTGCTCCTTTGCTATTTCATTTGGCAAATTTTGTCGAAGTCTGGAAAGCCAATGTAAGTAATATGTCCACCGTTCTGTCATGGGTAGATCCCCATGATAATACATGGGGAATCCATCATGAAGATTTTCATTAGTTTCTTGCTCATTCTTCAAAAGATCAAGTAGACCATCAGGGTGAGTTGTTTCTTCAGCAGAACAAAGCAATATCGTGTCCTCACTCGAAGACTGTTTATCTTCATCTTCCATGTTACCAGTGTAAAAATATCCACCTGTCTCGTCTCCATAATATTCATCATAATTATCAACAATTTGATGATAAATTGCTGGTTTAAGGTTGATTCCGAGAAACTGAATCATATTTTCGTTCTCAAAATGGTGTTTCCAGTCATTTGACATGACCTGACGAAACTCCCGCGCGGGCAAAATTCCCTGAAAAGATTTCGTGTAGATTGCCCTCAATCTGCTAAGCCTTTCCTGACACTCATGTTTCTTCATTTCAACTTCACGGAATCTTTTTCGTCCTCTACGTCGTACATTATTGTCTCTGTAGACTTGTCGCCGCTCTCGTCGTACATTATTGATATTACATTGCTTGAGAACTTCATTTGATGAACGTCCTCCTACTCGGATAATATCTATTTGCGTGAAAAAAAACACAAAAGAATATAATCAAACTGAAGTGGAGAATTGGTAGTGTGCTTAACAACACTATAGCAAGTGATTAATTTGTTTTTAAATTTGTGTGACGAGTATCCCTAAGCTTGAACACCTAAAAAACACCCCCACATTCTACGCCTACGCCCAAGGTCATCTGTCAAATACTCCACAGATGAAAAATTTCTCTCTGTCAATCCTTCTTTATTGTTATTGGAAAGTATAAAGTTGATACAATTTGGCGCGTTTCTGTTTCAGAAAATTCAAGTGGAACAAACATGCCCCGTTGTAAGTGCAACTATAATCTGCTTACCCTTATAATGCAAAGTTTTTCAGCAATATAACACGAAATCAGAACTAATGCCACAGTGATAAAACTTCATTATCACACTATAAAACATTACTAAAATTACCTTTTGAATCGACGTCCAGACCTTCTAAAAATGAATCCAAAGCATGATTAGTGTAGGCGAGCATAAGTATAGGACATGAAATCCTTTCATCACTTTTTTTCCAGAGATTATCGTTGTTCAACAGAGTGTGAGCGATTTTCAAACCTAGATATGTCTTACCAGTACCAGGTGGACCTTGAATGACAACAAACTCTCTTCGTAAAGCCCAACGAAATGCTTCGTATTGAGATTTATTCAAACCAATTACATCACCATCAGGCCAAGTGCTTAGGTCATGTGGATTGACACATAACTTTCGGCTCTCTTCTTCGGAATCATAATATTTTGTATTTAATTTCTTGATTCTAGCAGAATTTAGGTTAATCATTAGAGGATTCTTTTCTTCTGATGGTTTCATTTTGAGATAAGCCGGCTAAAAATGTGGAATAAAATTATGTTCAATCAGCTTATATTAATTGTTGCTTTAAATTACATGTCTCGTGTACTGCCTATCGATAGCGATATTGTAAAAGCAGAGACGTTCCTATTATTTCTTTGAATACAAGAGACGATGGGACAATATTTTTCAGTATGTGACATTCTTCGGTCTTCATCATTTTATTGCAAATTCAGGGGAAAGGGGGGCTTAAGGCCCTTCCTTACAATTAGCCTTTTCATGAGAAATATATGAATTTAAAAGAAGCAAATTTCAAAACTTGGCAACTATTGGAAATATTTGTGGAAGATTTATGGACATTGTTTAATAGGAGAAATGTTCAAGAATATATTCGTTGATAAAAAAACGAAAGGTTGACAAAAGTTACTCTTTACCATGTCAATTTGCTGTTTACATGACACAATGTATTTCTGAAATGGCATATTTTCTTCGCTTAGTTGCTGTAGACGCTCAAGAATATGACGATATGCGACAAAATAGGCTGAACTGCTTTCCACCATTTGATACTCATCCTGTAGATCGTAAAAATCAGGGCAATCATGTTTCTCAAAACAAACTTGCACTACGCCTTGTTCTAGCATCTTAGAATCTCGATCCTGAACGGTTGCAAAATGAAGCTTTCTAAAGTCGTTTGATATTAAACAAACTAGAGAGCCAAAAAGAAGTCGTTTCGATCGCGACCAGTTGATAAATTTCACTGATGGATGTTTAACATCAAATGATACATTATAAACCAATCCTTTGACAACACTTCGGCTGTTTGTCTGGACATTATCTTTAATGGAGACTTTATGAAACACCACCACATTGCTTTTTCCACTGTTGTAATTCTTTTCTAGATTCGTACTAGCTATTTGTCCGTATTGCTTGTGTTTAAAACGTTTTCGCAGCTCTAAAATTCCATTGCGTAGGTCCGCCAACGAGTCCTCTTTTAGCAGGCGAAAGTGTACGTCCAGATAATGATCAACATTGGTGAATGACAATTTAATAATATTTTTTCTAAGAAATGGTTTCTTAAATATATCTTCAGCCGTTGGAAATACGTTAAGACTTCTAAAGTCTTCGGGTGGCTGCGCTTGTAACTCTTTGTTTTCGCGAGTCTTTTTCCTAACTTGCTCATACTTCTTTTCGACCTCAGATAAAAGATTATCCAGGGTACTATCGATCGATACAAGACTATTCTCTTTAAGAAAGGAAACCGAGTTTTTTAATTGCAAAAATGGAATCCTGGAATATAATTCGGGTAAAAGATCTAGTGAACTTTTAAACATCGTGGCAACATGTCTTATAATGCTAGAAATGTCACTATTCTTTTCGTGAAAAGAATCTTTTTCGAGTTTTCCAACAAAATCCATAAGGTTATTCCAGAATACTCGTTCTTTATTCAAAATAGCAAAAACTTTAGTTTGATGTTTTGATATGGTTGACTTGCAAACTTTGTATATAACTGACAAGACCAATTTCATCATGTCATCGTTGAGATCGCTTTGGTGTAATAATGCTTCAAAACGTTGAAGTTGCGTCTCTTCACAGATTCTTGAAGATGCGTCTTCCGGAGAAACCGTTTTATCACAAAGGCTTTTTAGGCAGGAAAAACTTGATGGAGCAGCTGTTGAAGAACTGTCCTGGTTGCTCGTTGCTTTCTTGCTTCCACTGACATGATGAATTTGATTAGGCCCAATATTTCCTTTTTGGAATTCCCCGAATTTTCTTCTTTTTCCATGAAAATATTTATGTTCATCGAAAAGTCCTTTCCTTTTAAATTGAGTTTCATTGATGTTTATATCTCTACTTGTTGGTCGTATGACATGTTGATTCTGTGAAGGGAAAACTGGGGATAACATCTCATTTTTCTTGGCTTCTTTGTCATTGATTATCGTAAACCTCATGCGTTTCAAAGATGAAAATAAGAATGTATTATCTGAAAAGGAATTTGAATTTAAACTGTAAATATTTTCTTGGTTAACACGAATGCATCTCTAGGTGCATTCATTTTTCAATCAATTCTGGTTCATCGCTTTTTCCGGTTGGTTGATTAGCAACAACTATGCACAAAAACAACAGATGGGCTTTTGCTTACTACAGCAGGTATAAACATACGAAGGCATTAAAATGCAGCTTAAAATTCGTTTATCTTTAGTAAATTTGTCAAAAGTGGACGTTTACTTAATGGCCAGAATAGAAACTACACCGCATGCATACAATATATAGCAAATAATGGCTGAACAACAAGTGTCGCTCTCATCTTCTTTCTAAAGTGCTTAAAACTATACAATTTTAATGCCTTGCAGCTGTTGTGAATACTAAAAAGTGCTATTTTATCATAAAACTAAAGTTGGTGTTACAATAATCTTTTCTACACATGTTCCAGTACCTTCTTCACAAGTATAATCATCATGGTCATCGTGTGTGGAAGACGTCAAGATCACTTTTCTCTCATTTGTAAACTGTGGTCTTTTTCTTTTACGTTTTCCACGTAAACCACCATTTTTCTTTTTTCTCGGCATTATCTTGATGACTACTTCATACTGATTCAGTCATTCTTTCTACAGACAAAAAATGATGATATCTAGTTCTTGTGAAAAAGGCATATTTATTGCGTTGATAAAATCTGCTGGCAGTGGGTATAGAAAATGCTATTTTGATTCTTCTAATTTTATTGAATGGTAAATGAACCCGGAAAGGAGCAGTTGAGTATTTGCACAAACTTTGCTATGATAATGTAGTCGAGAAAAACCATGAAATAAACTATTTAATATTTTTATATCAGGCTTACTGCTATTGTAAAGACGGTTTAGCATAGTATTCCCATATAGCAACCGTATTTTTGCACAATATATATATATATTGCTATAGAAAATAACATTTTTTCACTTAACTAAATAGTAAAGTCTATTAAAATTACTAAAAATACTATCACCTCAAAATTACATTCAAATTGAGTACGCTAAGGGGCGTTTGATAAACGACATTTGATTGCTACGTTTTATGTAATACATTAACTATTTTGAAACACACGTTAAAGCAATCGCATGTTAAACGCATGTTAAAGTTGGATTCACATCTTTAGATGTACATATTGTAGAGAGGCATGATCGGATAAGTATATGTTTACTAAATAAACAGTATACATCATGATAAACTAGCTATATTAAAAATAAAAATAAATCCAAGCGTGTATCCTTGATAAAGTAGCATTGCTCGTGCTCGCTAGGTGGGTTATTCAGTCAGTTGGAGCTACCTATGTTGTGAAACAGTGTTCTGGTCTCATTTAGCCATCTTTAGACGTCAAAGTACACATAAACGACCGATAATCCTCGAGAAGAATATGCTGTTACAGCACATACAATTAGCAGAAGAACCATTACTCTGTCAAAAATAATTTGCGATTATCATGTTCACTCACACTTATTGAAGATGATATGAACGTGTTGCTTTTAGTTTTCTATTCGTATCAAACAATAAAACTAGATCTTTTGACGGATCGCCACAATTTGTCGACAAAGTTCAGAAAATTTATATACCTGAGCTACCATGAATAGTTGTCAATTCAATTGCAACGAAATATAAATGTTAGAAGCAAGGTTACACAGTGAATTATTTCGAGAGCGTATTAACCCATGCACGTATGTGCATAACAAAAGTTTAGAATTAATCTGACGCAACTGATTTCGCCCCTTGTGCTCACTTTCGATTTAAATTCATTAATTTGCAACAGCTGCAGCATGTTTCTCGGTAAACCTTTACGATGTATTCTTGCACATATTGAAATGAAAAATCATAAGTTTCAGTCAAGAAAAAAGATTGTAATGAAAAACCTACCGTTCAAGGCGTTCGTACATCTTTGCTTCTGCTCACACATTTTATGTTCAGCACTTTCACCTTTAACTTTCCGAGAAACTGATGTTAGTTTCCGGGGAAGGAGCAGTGCTGCCACTCTGTATGCACATTTCACCTACCAAAACTTTCTTTTCCCCCTACCTCCCCTACGATGATTTTCCTTGTTTTCCCCTACTTCTCCCCTACACAGCAACATATCCCCCTATTATATACCTACGTCGGGTCAGACCATTGAATTTTTTAGTCTGTTTTTAAAAAATGCATACAAAAAAAGATTCATTGAAAACGAAGACCATCTTGACGACAAAGTTAGTAATTTGACGTAGGAAGTAATGACTTGCAGGTGGCACAAATGACACACTGAGTTTATCTAAGTTGCTGATCTTCTATTGCCATATATGGTCACAAATGTGCCAAAAGAAAGATTCTGTTACAATCACTTGCTAAATGGTGAGAACACAGGAAGAAAAGAGTATTTTCGGCAAAAATGAAGCTCATTTTTAAACAAATTTCTTTTCTCCCTAAAATCCCCCTACATTTTACAGTTTTCCCCTACCACCTACAAACACTAAATCCCCCTACTGTAGGGGATTTCCCCTAAGAGTGGCAGCACTGGGAAGGAGAAACATACAAATGTATGTCTCGTGTAGGGGAACTAAAACCACGTGATTTTCTATTGCTGACGATTGTTGGCCAACAGCAGGGATAGTCAGAATTACTAGCGTTATTACTCATTCACAAGTGTCAAAATGGTTTTTGCACTTGATTGATTTTGACTTATGTTCCTACAATTTAAGATGAACTGGACATTACAAAATCAATATGTGTTAATTAGTGAAAAAAAACGGAATTTTTATGAATCAAATTTTTTCAGACCAACTGAAGTGTTCAGTTGTGTAGAAACAACATTGATCAATTATGATATCCATAAATCTGATAGTTAAGCAATAACTTAACGGTTTCTTAAACTGTTTTACATCAACAAAACATTTTAAAATTTTCACTTACTCCTATATGAATAGTTTTTTATTTTCATATTGTATAGTTAACTGTGCAGGTTGTACAGCTACAAAGATTCGATATAGCTAAGTGAAGCTATTGGCAAACGCAAAAGATTCGCTTTGGATCCTTAGAAACACATTTATACATTGAAATAACTTGCGATCCGTGTACATTGTTGATTGTTCGAGAGGCATTTTTACCACAAACTCAAATTAACGATGTTTGCGTGACATTCAATATAAACGATTTCCTAGTTTTCATTGGTTTACGATTTCTTAATTGTACACAGGGTTTATTTACTGTAAGAAAGCATGGACGCCCCGTAAACTCGGAAAACGAACATGATAGCATGTTTGGTTACATTTACTCATGAAGCTCAGTTACAACTTTACAACTTTAACAATGTTAGTAAGTACAGAAAGTTCATCAAAATTTGCTCATTTATTGCAAAGTTCAAGGTTGAGTATAATGATCAAGGGTACGAGCAGAAGGATCTTGACTTTCCGACCACTTGGGCAACCACATATAAGGTATTAAATGACTTTGACCAGGATATTTACTTTCAAAGATCTTCCTATAGTAATAAGCTTCCTTTGTTTTGGGAGAGTTGAATGAATACCGCTCGGCTGCCGTTTCCAACTTTAAATCGCTCACAACCTTCTTGCAATGCCTCTGAATTATCTCGTACCATGATTCACCAGCTTTCGTGGACGATACGCCATCACTGAAAGCTTCTTTTGGTCGCCATAAGATTTCATTTGGCAACAGGTTTTCTCCGTCGAACGCTGATCGTAGAAGGTATTTCTCAATCTTATTTTGAGGCTGGCGAATTGATGGCGTTAAAGAAAGAAAATATGAAGTGAATGCCACATCGAGAAACGGAACTCGAATTTCCAAGCCATGAGCAGCAGTTGATCGATCGCCACGAAGCACATCATAAAGATAAAGATCCTCCAAAAGGCGTTTGGATTCAACATCGGCTTCTTCAGCTGTTGGAGCTTTATGGAAATATATATAACCTTGTGTAAGTTCATCCGAACCTTCACCAGAAAATATTACAATAGTATCGGTCTTTTCTCGGATATATTTACTAATTAAATACATTCCGACTGAAGCACGAACAGTGGTAATATCATAGCTTTCTAGGGATTCTACGACTTCAGGAATAGCTGCCAAACCTTCCTCGGCAGTAAATACCAACTCATGATGCTCAGATCCTAGGAAATCAGCTACTTTTCTGGCAGCAGCCAGGTCTGTACTTCCTATCATTCCAACAGAGAAAGTTTGAATGGGATATTCAACGCCAGTTTCACGAGCAAGCTTTACCAATACGGCTGCAACTAGGCTAGAGTCCAAGCCACCAGACAAAAGACATCCGATACGTCGATCCGACATTAGACGTTTTTTCACTGCCTGAGTAAATAAAGCTCGAATATTTTCTTTAACATCACTTTTCAATTTGACAGCAAAATCAAACACTGGTATCTTCGTCAAGGTGGTGTAAGGAGCCATTTTCTTTATAGTTGCAACTCCATCGTCGTCAAAGGACAAACATGCATAATGTCCAGGAAGAAATGGCTCAATCACAGATTCAATATTAACCAAATCCTTCTGCAACTTTAGTAGGCCTTTGACTTCAGAGCAAACTGCCAAACATTGATCTCCGCTTTTTAAAAGGAACATTGGACGAATGCCAAATGTATCGCGACCAAGATGTATTTCTTCTTTATTGTATCGACGACGACAAATGCAAAGACACCGTCCATCATTTGAGCCGTTTTTTCTCCTCCAAATTCATTACACAAATGCAAAATTACTTCTCCATCACATTTGGTGTGGTATTGAAATCCAAATTGCTTTCCCAAGGCCTTGTGGTTGTAAATTTCACCATTATAGATAAGATAAAGATGAGGAAGGGAAAAAACACGCATTGGTTGCATACCATAGACACTATCAACAACAGCAAGACGGTGGAAAGCTAAACAAGAGTTACCAAAGTTTGGTATGCTCTCAAGACGGAAGCAATCAGGACCACGATGTGCAATTTTCAAAGCACAGTTAAAATAATCAGCAATCTCTTCGGAGGATCCAAAAATTGCCCAAATTCCACACATCTTTCAAATTTTGGGAGCTAAAAAATTTCAAAAAAATGTTAGCCTGAAATACAGAATTGGAGAATTAGTGTAGTTAGACCAGCTACTTGCTCAAAATATCATTATCATGTTTATGTATGTGCTTCACTCAAGTATCTTACACCAGTGAACTGTATTATTAACTGGAATGCTAACTCCAATACCATCATTATAGACCATGATGAAGCTTGCATAAACATTTTTGCTACTGAGTTTTTCAAGAAATTACCTGAGCTTATGTGGTGAAACCAGGGTAAAACCTATTATGACCATCTGTGCTACTGTATTTTATGCAAATCATTGATAATGATTTTATCATCATGGAGCATGTAAAAACTCAGAAATAGAAATTTCATTTTTGGCTTAAAAGATGGTGGCAAAGTTAGCATTCAAGCTGATGAAACAGTTCACTGCCTTACACAGGTTGGAAATTTCATAAGTGATGTATTTAAAAATTGTCAAAATTTTCCCAGGGTTTCATATGATGTCATAACTATAAATATCTGGTTGGCAAACATTTTAAAAATGCTGTCTAGGTACGGTCTCTTACATAAACAAAATATTTTCTAAAGAGGCTTGCTTTAAGCCTGACAACAAGATGAAAGGGTTGTGTGACCACAGTTAAAAAATCATAATTTGGTAATCCCCTCATTAAAAATTCCACACTTCATAAATAAAAAGCCCTTTCCTGAGAGTTGATAGAAAAATAAATAAATTGCTACTGTAGGGGAAAACTTGACCTAGGTTTTAAAATAAACCTTAAATGAAATAGAGCCTGTAAAATCAACAATGTTGACACAAGTAATGATTACATGCTGCCAAATAAAAATCTACTAGATCTTCAAAAATACTTGCAATTGGGCAAAATACATGCTCATGTATTCATCCATTAAAAAATATGATTTATTTGAAATCCTATTGTATTGGAGTTAGTAATCACATTCATTATATGTATATAATTAACTATAATTAGGAATCGATCAAAATCCTTACGACTTGACATATGAATGAAATCTTTCGACTTACTGTCTATTTACATGGTTTTCTTGAGAGAATTGCTAGTCATTACTGCAACAATTCAATCACAGTAGATAGAAACAAATAATATAAAAAAAGTAAAGTGCTTTAACGAAAGCACTTAAACAATATTCTTCCGCAACTAGTCTACTAACTTTTTCCTTAAAATGAAATCATTTGGACAACATCGCACAAGACACAGTGACCTATCATCGGGTATTTTGTTGGCCAAATTTGCATTAAGTTGAGTTGCAATCGCTTATAACGAGAGCAGTATGGATTATATATTCAGGCATACACACCGCTACATTACAATACAATACAAAATACTTCAACGTGGCATTTCCAGCACTTAGAAACGACACCTAAACTACTAATTTAATTATTAATAGAAATATATATACCTTTAAAGTAGGTAAAAGTTGGTCTAAAAGTGCAAATAAATGATCCAACGATTCCGTCAGTCCAATAAATTCCTTTCTAGCTTCGTAGCGTGATCAATGACCATAACCACTACAGAAAGCTTACAATTGCATCAGCTTTGTCACTGCATGTGGTGTGATTCACAAAAGGATTACCGCTGGACATTATTCGATTGGCTCACGCCGAACTGAAACAATAGTTCACTTGTCGTGTCATTGAACAATTTGTCCGTTAGCTATTGCTATTCAAATCTAGACAAGCTGCAAAACTAAATTTTTACTTTTTGGTGCCTTAGCAGGGCTGAGAGATACGTGTGGCTGGATGAGTTAGAACTCTAGTATTGTCTTCAAGTTTCAACTTCATATTTTTCATCACTAAAACCATATTAGAGCCAGTCACACGCCGAGTCTTGACAACAACCCAATCAACTTTTCTTCAAGAGTCGAAAAAGAAATTTAAAAACAAAACTTGTGCACGCGGAACCTCTCGAATTCTTATTAGGTACGTAATCTCTCTCTTTATCCTATTTTTACAGCAGAATTATTGGAGCGGAGCTGGTTTCATCTGCTTAATAATTAATTCCTTGTTTTACAGCGATGTTTGTCCTGCGTTTGGGCAATTGATTGTAAAACCATTAAGAATAAAAATAAATAATTAAAATTCGAAGCTGGGTACCTAATCTATTTGTAAGTACTAACTTTGTAATTCGTAAACTTGTGTTGCTTTGAACGCGTTTGATGGTAAATGACAATATTATTCATGTAATATCAACATGGCTGATGCTAATGACACAAGTAATATAATTAGTCAAGATGACTCGCAAAAAACATCAAAAAATACATCGACGATAGATGACATAGATGATGTAGAAAGAAGTTGCTGTACTTCTTCATCTTCCGTTTGCTCAAATATCCATTCGAGTTGTACAGATGAATCAGCTTCCTACAAGTTTTTTAACTTTTTTTTCTACGGAGCAGTACAAACATTCAACTCCTATGTATCGGTTTATTTAAAGACGCTTGGATTGACCGCCAGCCATGTTGGTTTGATTAATGGCACACATCCACTTCTTCAAATCATAGGCGCGCCTTTAGCAGGAATTCTCGGTGATCGGTATAAAATCAAACGCTTACTTTTATTAGTCGGATTAGTGACAATGACTGTGCGTACAATGCTCTATCTGCCGTTTCAACCTAAGAAGCAAGTCTGCACTGTGGTTTATGTGAATAGCACTCATCATAAAGTCATATCGTCAATGCCCATCCAATTGTATGTTCTTAAACGGTCAAAAAAACATAACTATTTAGAATATGAAACGAGCTTTTTGATCGATAACGGCAATATGACCGAAGAAATGATGAAAACGTTAAATAATTTATCAGATTTTAGCAAACGAGTAAGGAGCAACTCTGAGCTCAATCCATTTCTAACACGGCCTAATGTAATCATCAAAAAGACGAAAGACTATAAGTTGGTTTACGTCAAAATTAACGATCAAGATGAAATTGAACAAATTTTCCTTATTCTTTTGTGCCTCACTTTGTTTGGTGAAGTTTTCGAGGCTCTTGTGTCGACAATTGCAGACACTTGCTGCCTTGATTACCTTGGTGAAGCGAGAGAGAGTTTTGGAATGTTCCGTTTTTGGGGAGCGTTAGGAGCTGGCATAACATCTCCCATTAGTGGAGCAATATTTGACTACTACGGGAAAATTGTATGTGGACGAACTGTTAGCGGCTATCATTGTATTTTCTTTATTTATTTTGTTTATTTATGTGCATCGTTTATTGCTGCAACGCATTTTCATTATCGCTATGATGGAGTGATATCTTCATCAAAGGAAAAAAACATCAAAGAAGCTTTACTTAATTTAAATTATGGAATATTTATATTGGTGACAATGTTTATGGGACTTTGCTACGGTTTTTTAACAAGTTTTGGTTTTTGGTTTTTGGATGATCTTGGTGCAAATGCCGTACTACTTGGTGTAGCTTCTTCGTTGAGAAGTGTCGCTGAAAATATCGTTTATTTTGTTTCGCCTTTTGTGCTTGTTCGAATCGGCCATGTTTATGTTGCTGGTGGTTGTTTAATAGCATTTTCTATAGCGTGTCTGGCATATTCATACCTGTTAAATCCTTGGTTTGCCATACCTTTGGAGGTTTTATCAACAAGTGCTTACGCCTTCTCATGGACAACCTGTGTCTCTTATCTTAATAAGGCAGCACCCCCTGGCTCTAGCACAATAGTTCAAGGTATGTTTGAAAAAACTGTTAAAAACTTTATAAAGCTATGTAAAATTCAAAAATAATAGTTTTACCAATTTTTTAATCACGCGTGACTGGCGCAAAGGCCTTGAACCAATCAAAATTTTTCTAGGATCGTTTCATGTGTGTGTGTAATAAATGACACGTATAATAAAACATGATTTAGGCCTGTTTCAAAAAAACGTCGCATTTTACATGAGCCGAATGCATTTTAAGCAAAAGATAATGAGGAATTTTATCTCATTTTCTTTTGTTTTACATGCATTCTGCGCATGTAAAATGCGACGTTTGAAACGGGCCTTACTTATAAAACATTTTGTCACATGTGCGATTGCATTGCCGTGAATTTTTTGTGCTATTTGGTAACAATTATAATACGTAAAGCAGTAACCAAACACTGTTCTTGAGAAACCCAAGTGAAAGCTAAAGCACGTGAATTGAACTTGTTAATCAAATTTTGCCATAATTTTCTTGTTGCAGTCATTATAAATTATCTAAAGTACTAATTTTCAACAAACAATGTTTACTATAAATAATTTGTTATGACGAGTTGCTTGAACATTGATCTGGTGATGAACTGTTTAGCAATTAACAGAGTACGAAGAACTGTTGATTGCCCACAATAAATTGTTTTGACGGCCACTTGGATATCTTACTTTGATAAATCTTTGGTCATCGCTCTGTCTTTCCAACTGATACCATACAAGTAGCCATTTGAACACAGCAAAGATTTATTGGGGAACGAGTGCAGTGATAAACATTTAACTTTACGTGCAGTTAAACAAAAGTGAAAAATATACTGAGTGTATCAAAAAGTTCATTGATATGTGCTTTAAGCCCTTTTAATTCCCTGATACCAAAAGGAAATTTTATCGAAAATGCTTGCGTCCAAAGCTGTAGTCCTCGGCAAATCATAATATAGAGACTCGGTTTAAACAAAACCTTTATAATTACCTGCAAAACACCAACAGAGAACGTTCTCCTTACGACGACTGTAGTAATAACTATCACAACAAGCCTTCACATTTTCTCTCTACATTACGTCTATACTTATTGATATATGTGAGAAGTGTTGATTTTCTTCTATTACGTAAATGTCAAGTCAGTTCCGACAATATAGCCCTGTTGAAAAAACTCAATGTCACCTTATGCGTTGTCACGTGCATATTTTATTGATGACGATACATGGCTGATATGTTGTTAACGATACTTATCTCGTTTAAAGGTATTGTGCAAGCTTCATTTTGGGGTCTTGGGTTTGGCGGTGGTTCAATCGTCGGAGGTTTTTCATTTCGTGTGTTTGGGGACCGTGAAACATTTCGTGGTTTTTCTATTGCTTCACTCGCAGTTCTCTTGTTCTTCATCTTAGTTCAGTTAATGATAAAATCAAACAAGCAAGAGGAAAGGAACTCGAGCTATCAGACTGTTTCTGGAGAAGATGAAGCAATGTCATCAAATTATGAAAACACTGCGTTAGAGTAATATTTTTTAAAAAAAAAATACATAAAATATAGAAAAACATAAATGGAAATACATTAAGGCTTATCCATGCAACGTCTTCGTTTACGAACTTTTCTTCTCATTCAGAATTGTTGAGGAAAAGAGGTTCAAAGCCTCTTGAGACGTATTGCTGTGCTATATTCCTAGTTTTAATCAAACCACATCAACCACTACTTATGTTTATGAAAACTTGCTTCAAATTATCGAAATGTCGTTAGCTGCAAATGCTATTCTAGATTCTTCAATTAGAAGTTTTCCCTGAAAATTGTTTTTCTGCCTGTTGGAATACAATGCAGATACTGAAGTTGTGTAGATGAACTAAAAGTTATAAAAATGGCGAATTGGGAGATTAAAATTGAATACAGTCTTTTTTTATCAAATAAATACTCTAAAAAAGAACAAATCGACCAAGAAAATATTGAAAAATGACTGATGCATGTTGCAGACATTGATAAATTTGTCGTTTCATTTAATTCGACTTATTTTTTTTCATTTCACTTGATTGGAGTATGCAAAAAAAACTAACTTTAACTTTGACTCCCTTTTAGCACATTACTGGCACAAATCACGAAATTGCTTCAAATTAATGTTCGTTGTTTATAAAAAAACCTGCCAAACTTTTTGGTGACTCTTATAGCTATATATACACTGGATTTATTTCAGTCCATGGATTAAATAAAATTGAAAGCATGCAGTCTTTTACAGGTGGTTGAGTAGATGGTGAATTTGACATTTAATAATTCGTAGATTTTTTACAAATTTTTATGAGAAATATGTAGCTGCCAAACTGGGCTATCTACTTATAACGACAAAAATTGCTCATAGACATTTAAAGGTGAACAGTGTCTTTGTAATTAAACAGTTATGATTGTAATGAAACAGTGCGAAGATGCATTAACGTGGCAAGACTCTTCGCTTGTTAAGTATTATAGGAAAAACAAGTCTTTGCAAGCTCAAACTTGATCCATTTGTAATGTGCATTAGACGGATGCCAAAAATTTTCACGCGATAGCCCCAACTGTGGCGGTTTGCATAAGTTTGTCATCGTTCTGAGATTGTATTTCATCCACTAAATATTTTCTATCCATAATAACACACCATATATGTGGTCACGATATTTACAAACATACACATGAAGAGGGAAAATATAGCGTAAGCATCTCGAAGAGTTGATGTCAGCAAAATTTAGTCTTTGGAGACCTTTATTTGAAATATGATTAAATTTAAAGCGCATATGACTTAAAAATTTTACTACATAAATTATAGTTTCATTTAATAGAACTTTGAAAATCACAGTGTATATTCTAAAACAGTTTGTGCATATCTCTTTTCATTCTCGAAATATTGAAGTTTTTGTAATGTCCGATCTATACAACTTTCTACGTCATTTTGCATAATGAGAATTTGAAATAGCAGGTATATTTGCCGATATATTATTTCAACTGAGCAGAGTTCCCTTAATTGTGAAGAGTTAATGGTATAAACAATTGCATGATCATTTCAACCAAAAGTTGGCTTGAATATAAAAGATGTTGGAAACTTTGCAGGGACTCGTCATGCAAAATGACGTAGAAAGTTGTATAGATCGGACATTACAAAAACTTCAAGATTTCGAGAATGAAAAGAGATGTTCACAAACTGTTTTAGAAAATACACTGTCATTTTCAAAGTTCGATTAAATGAAACTGTAATTTAAGTAGTAAAATTTTTAAGTTTTATGCTCTTTAAAAGTTCATATGTCGCTTTACAATATTTTATTATTAATCCATTTTACCTCAGCTGATTTCTTGTTAGATATGCGTGAAAGAGAATTGCACAAACGCCAAACTGTCGCAATTGCAAGATTTTAGCACGGCTTGACAATCTTTGAACAAAACTGTATGTGAATTATGGAAATGCGCATGTGCAGAACAATTTTAGTACGGTGACAATCTCAGACGGCCACACCTGCATTGGCTTGCCAAAAACTCCCGCGGCTTGTTTATTAAAACGAATATTAATTGTCAACATATTGAATTTATGGGAAATCTGAACAATTCGGATGATATGAATCATATGTGTGTGGTCATAGTTTACTCAAATTTATTCTTACATTTCCGAAACGGAAACACAAGAAGCAATTAAATAATCAGTAAACTATTTATGCTGCCAACAATGAACACAATTGACAATTACAACTTTGTGGGCAATCTGCTATATGAAAAAGAAATAAAGGAAAACGTGAAAAAATCTGAAGAATCTGAAAGGCAAAATCATTCTTGTTCGAAAGGTAAGTCGATTTCACTACCAATTTAACGAAGATAATCATAAGTTTAAAAATGCGTTTTTCCATGAGACTATAGATTGCATAAATACAACGCGTGACCAGCACACAGTGCCAGAACCAATCAAAATCTTTCGTGGATCGTTTCATCCTTGAACTCAAATAGAGCCAAACTATATTGTGACCAAACACAGTTGACGAGTAGTATAGATAAGTATCTTCTTTGAGGTAAATCTGAACAATTTGTATCATATGTGTGTGGTATAATGTAATAGTTAACTCAAATTTATTCCTGTGTTACAGAAACCGAAGTACAAACTACAAAGCCACAATAATCAAGTAAACTATTTACTGACATTTCATCTGTTTTATAAAAGAGAAAAATGGCAAATGTGAACAAGCCCGATAAGTCTCAATTCGAAAATCATTCTTGTTAGGTAAGTGACGTAAATCATCGCAACGGTCAATCACTAAGCGTTATTTTCCCTGTGTGAAACATTAGAAACAATTCTGTTGCTTCGTGTTTTATCCACTTGATTAAACACATTTTGTGAAAATATAATATTCCGGCAATATAATATAATATATAAACATTAGGTGATTTGAATCATTTGATAGCCGTTTTCAAATAAATACATACATTTTTTTATAAAATAAAACGAATATAGTAAGACAGAGTATTGCAAAAGTATAGCTTCCAAATTCCAATCAATTGTCAGCTAGACATGATAACCCAATTATTTAAAGTGGTTCTATGACGAAAACTTAACGTTAAAAAATCATCGATTTTAGGATTCAATAGTTTAAGCACATATCAATTATTGCTTTCGTAAAATGTAAGCAAAAATAATAATATAACGAGGGAGTTATGAACATTTGAAATGTCTAATTTTCATGTCCGCCATTAAAATCGGCCATTCTGAATATTTGCAATCAGCAAAGTCTGTGACGTCATAGTCTTAACACCGCAAGAAGCGCACATTGGAAAGTATACAAAGTAATACATAAATAGAGCAAAAAAATGTCAAATTCATCGAGATCTAGCTCGCTCTCTGAGTCTTCGATCGAGACAAACGCATCGATTTCTTCATCGGAATTTGTGACGGCAAATTCGAACGAATCTAATTCGGAAATTTTGCCATTTGTCGATAATATTGAACCGCTTGCTTAGCCCGATGAAATTGCTGAGTACGAAGCTACAGTCGCAGAAGAACGGCGGGTTGAAGACATGCTGCAAGATCGTTTTGATGCCCGTGTTGATGTTACTTCATGGTAAGATGTCATTCTTAGTGTGTTACTTTGATCTGAATCGTCTGCCGTTAGCTATGATAACTTTATGGAAACATACAATTTGGCCAATATTAAAGGTGTGAATGTGGCCATTGTTCGTTGGATCTTGTTGTCAACCCTCAAGAGTGCCGATGCTGCATGGAAATAGAGCAATGCCGTGGTAAAATGTATCAGTTTGAAATCGATGAAAGGAAATGCATTTTGGATCACCCTGGTTTTAACGAAGTTTGCCTGAACGAATTTGTTCTTCAAGCAGCTTCGTTAGGTTTAAAGACCAAAGGTCATCGCATGATACAGACACTTCATTTTGTATTTCCTTTAAAACCTTAGTATAAATGTATATTATATATTGAAAGTTTGCCTGGATGTATTATTGGTTCTCTCAAATTGTGAAAATTTATCATGTGCAATATGTGTAAGTATATAATAATTGCAACTTGTGCTAACCTGACGCCGCTCTCTTGAACGTTGTTGGTGTTTGTGATTTCTTCCAAATAGTAGGTACTGGCACCAGGTTTGAGCCGTCTAGTCATACCACCCAAATGGAATAAACGCTCAAAGCAATCATCCGAGAAGTGATTCGAACAAATCATAAATCGAATTTCGCGCGAACTCGGATTAAAGTTTGCGCGCTTCGTCTGAACAAATTTAACCCAAATTCTTCTCAAAGACTCGTCGTTTAGGTTTTTATGTAATGAAATGCCTGTACTTCTATCAGACTTATTACTGCAATCTTGCACGACACAGCGTGTTGAAGGCAGGTTAAAAAAATTGAGTTATACAACCTTTTAAATCTCTATTTGTATATTGTGTTATATTGTAAACAGCCGCGAGTTAAGACTATGACGTCACAAGCACCTTCCTTCTTGAAAATTCAAATATGGCGCATTTTAATGGCGGCTCTTAAAGTTCAAGTTTTATCGCTGCGTAACTCGAGCAGCATGAAATACATTGCGCTAAAATTTCGCAAGAAGAGATTTTTTTACATACACTATTAATCTATGAAAAAAAAACGAGAGGCAAAATTTTCGTCATAGTACCACTTTAATGTCTGAGCCGTTTACTCGAGTCGAGGTATAAATCAAGTAGCTATGTCGCAATGTCGAGCGATTTTATGAATTTGTGTACGATTAAGAACCGTTTGCAGAAGATGGTGAAGGTTCTCCAGACAATCTAGATGACACTTTCTCGGCAACATTAAACGAACAAAGTCACGGTCTTGTACATACAATGCAAAACTGTATTGTTATCATTCTCATATAGTTAGTTGTATCACTGGGAGACGATAATTCATGGTCAAGAAAACACATTTCTTTCTTTTTTGGTTGATGTAAAGTGCTTCAAATAACTTGTAAAAGCCATGTATCTACTTTATATTATAAAAGATAAATTCTCAGCAGTATATTATTAAACTGGATAGTTAATCATAAGCGTAGACTTGGACTTTGGGATGAGTCCCCGTTGAGTCACCTGAATTTTTCAGGTTCATGAGACAATTGCCTAAATTGTCCAGCAAAGTGCGAAGATCATATCTACATTTAATTAAGTAGTTTTATTAAATATCAACAAGAGGGCTGCGTTACAAGTATTGTAAGCAAAGTATTAAGTATGAAAGCTAAATCCTCCCAAATTCCAAATTGCAATGTTGAAATTTTTCAAGCAAAGGAGTCTGTGATAATTTGTTAACAACAACGTCAAAATATCGATATTTCTTGCTTTCATACAGGAATTTAATATGCACCATGCAATAGGTTGTAGTGTAGCTTTTTCTTTTGTACGTATATATTTTGCATCCTTTGTATTGTTTGTAAAAGGATAGCTTCAATGTTTGTATTGTCCATTGAACTAAAATAGATGGAAGGCTGCGTCAATCGATATTTTGATGCCAGTAGCGCCCAGTCTTTCCACGCATTGTCAACACAGTGAACACACGGCCAATAGTAGCGAACGAAAAAATAACTTGTACGAAAATTATGAATCTCCAAAATAAAAACAAAAATCCTTTTTTGTTTTTATTTGGAAAAAAAACACCTTTTCAAATGACACTTAACATCAAGCATACTCAATATCGACAGATAAATTTTTGTAAAGGAAGCCAAAGACAGCCATAACTAGAAGGCATTTTGCCAGAGTTGTTTGTTTTCGTATGTCTGGAAGGTGGAAACATGACAAAAACTAAAGCGTGTTTGTTCCAAAGAAGCCACTATTATGCGCAAGATACTTACGAACTTCGTATAACATAATTTTTTATATAAGACCATTAAAACCATACAAACGTGGAATTCCCGCGAGATCGCGTGCGTGTCAAACATTGCACATAAATCAAATAATATATTTACTATTGACATAAATCGATTGAATAAAAAATTTAAACAGATTTCTGGGCCCGCCAATGGTAAAAACATGTTTTAGTAAAAAGTCTCGCATAACGTGTAATTTCGCGCGTGTAATACACGTCAATTGTGACCTTCAGACACGCGTGTCTGTCAAATTCGGCTTCAAAAAATTGTGAGGCCTTCCATCTATTATTTTAGAAATAGAAGATGTTTACTGTGTTTGCACGATCTTATGCAAACCGAGGAGACCTTTGCGAGAACTCGAGAGCAGATCAGTGCAAGCTCGAGACCGAAGGTCGAGGATTGCACCTACTCGAGAGTTATTGTAGCTGGGTTATATGAGTTGATATTTCTTCACTTCCTCTCCCTTCTCCTTCTGAGTGTTTATATACATGACACCTGAGTGTTTGTATGCATGACTTCTGAGTGTTTGTATGCATGACACTTGAGTGTTTACATGCTTGACAAACTCTTAATTAGCAAACCATGTGCTATTTACGCTTTTCTTTATCTACGGCAAAGATTGAATTGGATATAAACATACAAATACATTTTTCTGTTGTATCAGTCAGTCACTATTGAAAACGCTAAAATTTGTCCATCAACAAATATCCCGCTGTGTGATCGCGTGGGGCATTATTAGATTGTCTTGTCTAAATACCGGATACGTTATTTTGAATTCGACAGTTGAAGCCAAACCTTTGACTTTGTTGGGGATCGCCTCCCAAGTTTCTCCCAACACTTCACAATTTTTCAACACCAGGTTTTGATGAGGATATATTTTATTTCACAGCCACAAAAACAACAAGATAATAATAATAACACGTTTTTCCCTTCTATCGCAATTGGCATATCACACCATTTTCCTTGCTTACTATTGGTGCGCTCAAGTGTTTGTTACAACTACTCATCTAAAAGAAGGCGAGTCTCTGACACTCTCCCCCCATATACCTTGATTTATAAGGTATATGTAACCTTTAAGAGACTGCCTTCTGTAAATAAAACAAAAATTTATAAAGTTCAATAAAGTGTTTGTTCATTTCCAAAAGTTTCTGTCCTTCTTCCAATCTCTTTCAAACTTCTAAATCCGTTACTTCCTGGATACGTTGTTCTGCTGCTACTGCGGCGTCTAGTTTAGGTTTAAACGCTGGTGCTCTGGGATCCAATGGCACGGGGATCGGTTCAACACGGTCGCATGATAGCTCTAGCGGGTAAAGGTAGTTCACTGCTCTCTCCAAATACGTTTTCCCCGCACGAAGTTTACGGCACGAACAACACCATCTCGCCCATTATACAACTCCTCCACGATTCCAAGAGGCCATTTACGACTTCTCTCGTCTGATCGTATGATAACAACATCGCCCTTTTTCATAGTAAATGTTGTTTGCTTGTGTTGTTGGTTGTGACGCTCACGCAATCCTCTTAGATACTCATTAGACCATCTCCGCCAGATAGCTTGCTTGCATTTCAATAAATACTTAGCCCGTTTCCGTTGGTCCCTTTCTTCTATGTGATGTGCTTCCAGCTCTGGTGCGAATGTACAACCAACGAAGAGCATGGAGTTAGGGGTCAATGTTGGAAGTTGAATATCATCCTCCATGCAACTTAATGGTCTATCGTTCAAAGACACTTCAACATCCAAAAGAACATCCTTTAACTCTTCCCAATTCAGCAATCCATTTCCGATCGTCTTATGAAGAGCCCGTTTGACCAATCCGATTAGGCGCTCGAATTGACCGCCCCACCACGGGGCACGACTTAGATTGAACTGCCATTTCACCTGATTCTTGCTGAGAAACTCGTTAAACCGTTCATCCCTCTGAGCCTCCCGTAACCACTTTGCTGCTGCAACAAAAGTCTTCGCATTATCAGAGTATACCTTGTTCGGTCTTCCCTTCCTAGCTATGAACTGTTTGAAACTTTCCATAAAGCGTTGGGTATCCGAACTCGGCATCAACTCGAGATACACAGCTCGCGTTAGGCTGCAGGCATAAAGTAAGACATAAGCTTTTCTTCTTTTGTATTTAAGTGGTCCGGCGAAATCAACACCAACAGCTTCGAACGGGCGACTTCCTTCAGTTCGATCTTGGGGTAACAATCCAGGGGGTGGTTGCTGCACTGCTTTCGCTTGGAAACGACGACAGCCATAGCACGCTTTGATTATTCTACGTGTTAATTGCCTTAGTCGAGGTACCCAATACCGCTCCCGAACTCGAGCCATGGTCATCCCAACTCCCCCGTGGAGAGTTTGAAGATGGGCATCTTCCACAAGCTTGGTTGTGAATAGGTGTTTGTCTGATAGGTATACGGGATAATGCCCATGAATCCGCCCTCTGCATTCCATGATACCATCGTGATCCTCTTGAAGATTAAGTCGACTTTTGTCGTCTAAACAATCACAACTTTGCTGCACTCTTTTCTCCCAGAATTTATACTGTCGTTCAATGTCATCAGTTGTTAATGGTCCAACTACTCGGCTGTTCACACGTCTGGCATTTGTGATAAACCTCTTTATCCAAGCACACACTCTCATAACTTTCCTCAGAGACGAAAACTTCTCGAGGATGTAATCAAAACAATCCGAGTTGTCCATTGGTACGCCGAGTACTGTATTTATGACCTTTGCTTCCTTCTCACTCTCTTTGGTCGATTGAGTTACAATGTCTTGTGGCCACTCATTAATGTTTTGGAGCCAATGTGGTCCATTCAGCCACAACTTGTTTTCTTTCACCGTGCCACCTCGACTTCCCACATCAGCAGGATTTCGATCGGTTGGTACATATCGCCATTCGATACCCTGTTTGGACTGGATCTTTTGGACTCTGTTGGCCACAAACTGTTTGTATTCTCCTCCTCCTTTGATCCAGTGCAGTGCCACAGTACTGTCGAGCCAGGCATACGTTCCTTCCACTGGGAATTCACTTAGGACCTTCCGTACATTGTCCACAATGTTACAAGCCATGTGCGCTGAGACCAACTCCAACCTGGGGATTGTTATTCCTTGTTTGGCTAATCTGGCCTTTGCTGTTATGATGCCTTGTGTTGAACCAGAGGATTGCTTGACAACAGCATAAACAACTGATGCCACTCCTTTCCCGCTCGCGTCTCCAAACGCATGCAGCGATATTGAGTCGATCTCTTCTTGGAAGGTGTGGATTGAACGAGGTACAGCAATATTGTTTGGCAATTGTTTTTCCCAGTTCGTCCATTTAGCCTTTTGTTCGTCAGATAATAGTGCATCCCACGGTAATTTCATCTCACACACTTCACGATATATTAATTTTCCCTGCAACGTTCTTGGCGACAGTAACCCTAGTTGATCGTAGATCTGAGCCAGTTTGCTTAAAATTCCTCGTTTTGTTGTAGTAGCTACAGTTGAAGGAACTATGACCTTTATCTCGTCCTTATTCTTTGACCAACCTAATCCCAGAATACTCGCATCTTCCTCACTAGGTGTTCCTAGTTGTTGCTTTGCAAAGGTTTCTTCATCGGTGATGCAATTCATGTCTTCTAACTCCTTCTTATTCGAGTGCCATTTGTGCAGAGTAAACGTCGCATCGTTAAAGATTTCTATTGCTTCTTTCTTCAACTCGCGCGCTTTTGCTACCGTTGTCGTTCCACTTACTAGATCATCTACATATAGGCTTTTGAGCAATTCAGTTACCACTTCTGGTCTGCGGTTTTCCCAACAGGTGAGATGTTGGTCAATCACTCCCCCAAGGAGAAACGGCGATGACGTTAACCCGAACAACGCTCTTGTAAACCTCAGTGTTTCAATTTCACGAGCTGCATCTGGGCTCCAGTGGAATCGTAGTGCATCCCTGTCACCTTCCTTGATTCGAACTTGCAGGAACGCTTGTTTATTAGGGAGTTTTAGCAGAGCCAACGAGTACGACTACGAGTACGATTTACGTCATTTTGGCGCGAAAACATTGTTGCGACTACAAAAACACGTAGCCGTCATCAATCTGAGTACGATGTTTTGTAAAAAATTCGCAGTCGCGACTACGATGTCTTTTTAAGCAAAGAAAGTAGGTATATTTCTTCATTCTGTAAGAAATTAGTTTACAGTACTATTTTCGAGCATCCAGGCTTTAATATAGAACCCTTTTTGAGCGCAGATGTACATTAAAAAGGAAAATATGACCTGCAAAACTTTCATGTATTTCGTACGCAAAGTGAAAGGTAAACAAACAATAAAATAGTACAAATATATCGTACATAAAACTTAAAATAGTGAAGATTTTTCAGTCTAAAGAGTCCTATATTCTCGCAAAACCAGTATTATCGATTCTTTGATATCATTATTGACAAATAGAGCCGTAGCTGCTTTGCAAACGTCGGTGTTTTACACAATAAAAAGCTCGTTCTGTTGTTTACAACTAAAGCAAAATTTTGACGAAGGGACAACGACAACAACCTTCCTCGTGCCATTCCGTTACACGGTCAAATTTCGTACTCGTTCTCGTAGTCGTACTCTTGCTAAAACTCCCTAATATCTCCTGACAGTGCAACAGGATGAAATCTCATTCGTACTAAAATGTTCCAAAGATTGTTCTGTAGTGGAGGGCCTGGGTTTAAACACTGGTTCAGACTTGGAGCTTCATTATTGGCTTTGGCAGAGGCATCGTACACGATTCGAACCTTTGTGGTTTCTGCTCTTTCTCTGACCACTGGTTTATGCGGAATATAGAATTCAAAACCTCGGGCTTCATGTTTAGCAGCTTCAACGATCCCTTCGACTTTCTGCTGCTCAATGATTTCAGAATAAGAATTAGTCAACCCCTTCTGATGCAATCTGCGTTGAAGGTTTGCTAGTCTTCGTAAACTTCCTTTATAATTACTTTGTAGTTGTGGGTGATTACCCTTCCATGGAAGGCCGGTTTCATACCACCCTTCTTCACTTCGCACAAGCTGCTCTTGAAACTCAGCATAAACTTCATGTTGATCATTTTCAGGTTTGTCAGCCAAACCCAGGACATCTAACCGACACAATTCTTCGTAGTCGCTTTGGCTTGTTTGTGAAAGAAACATAACAGCGTAGTCTAGTTCTTTGCCTTGTGCCAATATAGTCCAGCCAAACTTGGTTTTTTCAGCAACAGGTTCTCCCACCTTTCCGACGCGGGGTTTCTCAGACGTCTTGATGCGTATGTAGTCTGTAGCTCCCAGGATTAAATGCACAGGGAGTCTTGGTTTTTGATCATCGTCTTCTATCTTCACACCCGCTAAATGTGAATAAGAACTTACTAATGCCTTATAATTTGGGTTGTCCACAAACAGTAGTTCTCCCTTATTTACTTTGGTTACGTTCACGTCCATTTGAAATTCCCCTTTGACATCCTTTACACGTATGGTTGACAGTTCCATTTCCTTGGTAACTGAGGTGAGCATCATTTCGACACGTCGTGTTTCCTTTCTATAAGATCGCTTTGGAAGTAAGTCTAACAAGGCTGCCGATGCATAAGAATTACCAGAGCCTGTATCTAGAAGCGCACGACACTTTATTCCTTCTACACTCACCACAACGGTTGGATATACGGCTGGCCCATCACCTGCCGTTAAAAGCTAATCTTTCTTTGTGCATATTGACGAATGATGTTTACCATTGCACTTTGAACACCTATGAGAACTCTTACAGTCAGCTGCGCGATGTTTTGTCCCCGTGCAATTGCAAAGTTTTTCTCAGCTAATAATTTCTTCCATTTATCGATGTCGGTTACAACCGTACAATCAACAGCGCTGTGATTTTCAGCATTACAATAAGCACACCTTCGCTTACGTCGCTCACTGCCTGCTACAAGTAAAGGTTTCCGAGTTTTCTTAGAACTTCCACTCTCTTATAGGAGAGTCTTATAAAATTCTTTCACTTTAGCAGAGTTCCCGTCCAAAATTGTTGGCAGTCCCATGATGTTTTGAACATGTGTGTTAACGATCTCACTGGTTTTCCCATATTCACTTTCGAGTACATTCTTTGCTCTTTGATATCCTTCTGTTGTAAAAGGTAATCCTTCGATTTCCATTCTAACTTTCAGTTCTAACCATTCTTTCAGGTACGCAAACTTAGTAACAGGGGGTACGTCAGATTTATCTACCTCTGCTTGAAACGTGTTCCAAAACGGAAGCCAGTTTGCATAATTCCCGTCAAATTTTGTTACAGGAAGTTTTGGTAATTTAATACTCGCATTTTGTTCGGATCTTTTCACCGACTTCTCTACCGCTTTTTGATGCTCTAGTTGTTGGTTTAATAACTCCGATTTGTATTGCAGTTCTCGCTTACGCTCTTCTTCTTTTGCTGCCTGTTCGAGCTCGAGTTTTCGTTTCTCAAATTCTAGTGGCTTTTGTCTGTCAACTTCCGTAGCAGCCCGTGCTGTTTCTTGAGCTTCAGCTTTTTGATTTCCTTCGATATAATTTATTCGTTCTCGTAATTCACTCAATTTGCTGTCAGCTTCGGTAATTTTCAATTCAATTTCTCGAGCCCACGATTGGACGTCTTCCTCAGATTCGCCATTGGTAAACTTAGGGCCTGTTCACACTGGTCGTTTAGATCGATCTGAGATCGATCTAACGTAAAGCGAGCTAAGTGTGAACCTTCGCTAAAATTTGAGATCGATCTCAGTCAGCTCGCTTCGAAAGGTGGTCTGAGATCGATCTGAGATCGATCCGGTTTATATGTGAACGTAAGTGAGCTTATTTCGATAGAACCAGTTTCGCTCCCATGTCGTTTCCGCAAAAACGCAGACATTTTCCCCAAAATTTAAAATCAAAACAGAGAAAAAAGCTTGGAAAATGGCGCAAAAACGAGAGGTTTGGTCAGAAAAAGACTGTTTAGCCCTCTTCTCAGCGTACGGTACAGAAGAAATTCAACAAAATTTAAAGGTACCCACAAAAACGCTGATATTTATAAAAAAATCAGCATTACAATAAAAAAAAGGGAAAGATCGTGATTGGACGCAATGTAGAACTAAATTTAAGCATATGAAATCTGAATACAAAAAGTTCAAAGACACATTATCACGATCAGGAGCTGGGAGAGGCAAGGAACCTAAATCTTTAACGTTATGGACAGTTTCTTGGGTGACAGACCAGAAGCAAGGGGTCTAAAAAACGTCATCGATACATCTGATAAATCAACGTGTTCATCAGCTGAAGCTGAAATAAAAAGCATTAACGGGCATGATGATGATGGTAAGTTATCGTGGATGAGTTGATATCGAGTGGTTTTTTTGCCAAATGCCAAAGACAAATTCCTACTTATTTTGGCACAGGGATAGCCTTTCTGAAATTTGTATCTTCTCGCAAGAGTGTCATTAATCTTGTCGCAAATGAAATCGAATGTTCCCTTAGACATACGAAAATTTTCTAGCCACAACCCATCATCTTTCCACCTATCGATAGTTTTTCCCAGAGCAAACCGGTGCCTTTGCTTGCATCCACCCAGAAACGTCTTTCACTCATTAATTTATTTCCTAGAGCGCCAATAAACCAAAAATAAAAGTGGCCATCCCTTCTTTTACTTCGCTGCTTTCTCAGTTTCAAAAAATATTTCTTTCTTCTTACACGACGCATTCGCATCTTTTTGTGTTATTCAGATGTAATATTGAAAATGGTTGCGATCACTTCGTCCGCCATATTTGATTGCAATAATATAAATATTACACTTTGTTGTCAAGGAAACTAGCTCGGTTTACGTGTGGCGTCAGTCAAGTGTGAACGCTCACAAAATTGAGCTTGGTCATTCAAAAGATCGATCTGAGATCGATCTTCTCGGATCGATCTTAAAGTGAGCTAAGTGTGAACAGGCCCTTAATCTCCTCGACTTCATCTTTTAAATCGCACACTGTTTTTATCCGATTCGTTACCGAACTGATTTGTCGCGTTAAAACCTCTACTTTCGTAGAATCATTACTTCGGTTGATTTTCTTATGGCAAAGTTTAATGCTTTGAATTTGCCAGTCAAATCGGTCATCATCGATATTATATTCACTCCACGCACCAATATCCCGTTAAAATTGTGCCTTAGATTGAACTAAACCACAGCCAAATATCCCGTCTTCAGATTGATGACGGCTACCTGTTGTTGTTGTCGCAACAATGTTTTCGCGCCAAAATGATGTAATTAGTACTCGTAGTCGTACTCGTAGCCTTTGCTAAAGCTCCCTATTATCACCTCAGCCGTAACATTATCTTTCGTAACAATGTTTCGATGTAGTTCATCAAATAAACTAAAGCCTCTCGCTAAGAATTCCACAATATCCCGATATTCTGCCATATTTAATATGGAAGGGACAGGCAGACAGAAAGGATGGAAGGAACAAGATAACGAGTCATCGACAGTGTTCACGGAACGCGAAATAAAACATCGTTTTTTCTTTGATGTCAGTGGCAGGGCGCGGTAAAAAATTTTGTTTGTTCGAAGAAAATGTCGTTTTATGAATGTCAATTTCGTTTTATATAAATGAGTTTCGTTTTATAAAAATAATTTTCATAATTTGAAAAATAAATTTCGTTGTGTATATATAAATTATGGTAAACGAATTTTTGTTTTCTTTTATATTTTTGCGTTTCGTTTTACAAATATTGAAAAAGTTGCCAGTATATTATTTTCGATATACGATAATGTGTTTCGTTGTAAATATTTTCGATTTTGGTAATATTGTCCATCTTGGCGCGCCATAATTTTCCTTGCTTACTATTGGTGCGCTCAAGTGTTTGTTACAACTACTCATATAAAAGAGGGCGAGTCTCTGACAACTTTATAATTCTCAAATTTAGGATTTACTTTAGCCATATAACTACCTTGCATCGAATAGAAAATCAAAATGATGACAAAAGATAAACGCAAACAAGAGAGCAAAACTTCTGATGTTGATACTATTACATTGAACTATAGAATTGATGAAACGCCGC